ATCGCGGCTTATTATTTTCGGTCGTCGCTTCGGACACTACTATTGCCGGTCTGGTTGAGTGTCCAAAGTTAAATTTGGGCGGGTTTCGACGGAGCGACAGTCAGTACCCGCCCGATAATATCTGCTTTTTCTTTAAATGCCACTAGCTGCCCACACGTACCAGTCTCTTTGAATTAGTTTTAATAACCAATTCAAAACTTTCAAATCATTTTCTGTAATATTCCAGAAACTGAATTTCTGTATTCAAGCACAAATCTGCACGGCCTGTGATAATTTGAGTATAAAAGGGTAATAAAATAAAAGATAAAAATAAACAAGTAAAGAAATGAGACTCTTTAATCCTTTATTATAAGTTGGAGAGTTTGTCATGATAAAAATAGAGGTCCTTTTATATTAAATTATTACTTCAATTAATTTCTGCGTAGATCGAATAAACATTTCCAGAGACTGGGAATTGTTGGATTTGAAATATAAATCAGTAACGACATGAAACATAGCTTATAATTTATAGTTATGTAAGCCTATGGTTGTATGTCCGGAATTTCCAGCAGAGAAATCATTTATCCATTTAGCAATATGTGCGATGATTGGATTACTTGATTACTCATCGTAGGTGCTAGAAGGAACCGCAGTAAATCAGCTAACCGGGGTCCAATGTAGGGTATGATTTCCAGTTAGAAGATTATGAGAACTGGTACTGTGTCTGTTATCATATATGAAGTATATTATAACTCAAGACAGATTAAATAGTAATTGTATTCGATTTATTTAGGCGTCAAATACGACATTGCCCCCAACCAGAATAGAATTACCCTTCAATCATTTAAGCAGTTTAACGAGAGAAGAAACGATTTTCAATAGCAGAAAAAAAAAAAAATTTACAGCATCGATTCTTATAGAACGGATGAGTAGGTATAAAAAAAAGAAAAAGGAAGCCGATACCAAAAGAAATTATAATTAATTTGATTTAGGGGATGTGGCTACCAAGTGACGTTTAGAACGACGGATAGAATGCACAGGATTTAAATTCTTACGTTTGTTAGAATTCTTCACCGGAGAAGGCACATCAAAAGATGGGGCTAAGGTGGGAACTTGATGACGTGGGGATGCACGAGTTGGAGTGTCAGGCTTTTCAGAACGTGAACTTTGATCAACAGGAGACCCACTATCAGTAAAAGAATTAATCAGTGTAGAAACTGAACCTGGAGGATTCTTTTTCAAGGACATAAGGGAAGTAGGAGAGTTCGTGATCACATTAGATTTTTTAGGTTTATAAGGAGTGCCTAATTTTTTCCAATAATCACGTAGCGTGTCGGTGGCATTGAATTGATCTTGACTGATCCATTCATCCCAATCACTGCTATAATTTTTCCATCGAACAAGGTATTCTCTTTTATTAGGAGTTCCTCGATGATTTAAAATTGCTTCGACCTCATAACTTTTCATTTCATTTCCTTCATCATCAAGTTCGATGACCTCATCTTGGGAGATAAGTTTAAGTTCAACGGAAGTATAGTTACGAGGCATGAGAGCGCCAGTATGATCTCTTAAAATATAAGAATTTCCACGATTCTTTCTTACGACAGAATATGGACCAACATACGAAGGAGCTAATTGACCAGCTTTCGTTTGTAAACGAACCATGACATGACTACCCTCAGGATAGTCAACAAGCAGGTGTTTATTATCAAACTTGGCTTTTTCAAGATCGAGTTGTGCCATTGTTTTAGCATGAATAGCAGGAAAAACAATGTCGGCCATGTAATCGATACGCTTCATTAATTCTTCGTGAGAAATAGGTTTGCGCTGCTCAGGTGGTACAGAGCTATCGACTTTTCGGAAACCAAAAGGCTCTGCCATTTTACGGGCAAACATCAATGAAAAAGGAGTTGAATTCAACCTCTTTGAAATACGATTGTTGAGAGCGAGTTGGACAGCGTTGAGATGTAAGTCCCAATCATTACCTACACCCTGAGTGGCTTTGGCAAGTAATCGTTTTACAGACTGTACAAATCTTTCGCTAATACCGTTGGCACTTGCATGCATCGGGGTAATGAAACGATGGTCGAAACCCATGGCTGTGGCGAGGTCAGTGGCTAAAGTGTGGCGGAAATCGCACCCATTATCACTTTGAAGCACACCTCCACATGGAAAGCCAAGGATAGAGAAGACCTCAACAAGAGCAGTAATGACAGTATCACTACGTTTGTCTCGAAGAGGGCGTAAAACGCAAAAACGTGTGGCAACGCAAACAATAACAAGAAAATAATTATTTCCGCGTACCGATGTAGTATTTATAGGTCCGCCAAGGTCTACGGCGTAGTGGTCACCTGGGAGATAACTATAAATAGGGCGAAGGGGGTGGTAACCTCTCTTCTGGATATTGTGTTTCTGACACTCAGTGCATTTACGTATGAACTCAATACAGTCATTAATCAGCTTAGGCCAATGAATACCTTCTTGGTGAAGACGTTTAACCATTTGTTCAGCGCCATAATGACCGACTTTATTATGAGCATCTTCAAGAAGTGATTTCCTTTCAGATTCGGGTGCAACTAAATAATCAGCATGGATGCTTTGTCCACTCTGGATATAAAATAAATTGCTCGCAGAGGTGGGAATAGAGTTTGGAATGGAAGTAGAATTGGAATATGAATTGGAATTGGAAATGGAGATGGGAATGGAGTTGGAGTTGCTACAAACGGAGACTGCGTCAACGTGAGCATCATTTACACTTCCAAGTGAATCTTGGAGATCGCGTTTGTAAAGTTCATTTTGACGAAATGAAGGTAAATGGGTGGAAGATCCATTAATAACTGAATCAGGAATTTGCACAGACCTAACGCTCAAAGCTTTTTTCTTAAGATTGATGTTGGCGGAAATCGCGTGATTGTTACCTTGGGATGTGATACGTAAAGGTTTACTATGATCTGGATTGGAATCAACAGACGGAGGATACAAACGGGATAAAGCATCAGGTAAGATATTATCTACACCTTTAATATAGACGACTTTGAAGTCATAATCTAATATTATGTCTAGCCATTTGATCATCATAGAGTTGGAATGTTTTTGGGTATGGAGATAAGAAAGTGCTTTATGATCGCTATATAAGGTAAAGTGTGTACCCCAGACGAACTTGTGAAATTGTTTTAACGCAAAAACACAGGCAAGCATTTCTCGCATGGTGCAACTATATCTAACTTCACTAGAAGATAATTTTCGTGAAAAGAACCCAATATGTTTAATAATAGTCTTTGGATCTCCATCTGCTGTTGTAGTCTTATATTCTTGAAATAAAGAACAGCCAATCGCAAAATCAGAGGCATCTGTTGCAATACAGAAGGGATGATTGAGGTCAGGGTGGCTTAGTACAATGTCAGAGACGAGGATACGTTTAAGAGTATTAAAGTGCATATCATGAATGGATGACCATTCGAATCTTTTTCCTTTATTCTTCTCATCGTGTGATCGGAGGAAATCGATGGGTGCCATTAGCATAGCCGCATTTGGAATGTGCTGTCTAAAATAGTTAACGAAACCTAAGAAAGACTGGCATTGTTTGGATGTAACCGGGCGAGGTAACGATTCCAAATTGGAAAGTTTGCGAGTATCAATTCTTCGCCCTCTAGCAGAGATTGAAAAACCTAAAAGATATACTTCGGATTTAGCAAAGTGTGATTTCTTAAAGTTGATACGTAAGTTGGATTTTGTCAATATGGAGATTACATGTTTCACATGTTGAAAATGGGAATCAAGGGATCGAGACATGATGCATATGTCGTCAATGAAAGTGCGAACATATGAAAGGTCTTTGAATAATGAGAGTACTACACGGCTAAACAATTGACTTATAGTAGACACACCGAAAGGTGATCCTACATGCATATACTTCAAGTTGTCTGGACCGGTAAAACTGGTTTTGATTTGATCATCTGGATTAACTAAGAATTGTGAAAATGCAGACTTGAGATCAATAGTGGAGAATACAACGCAACCTTCCATTGAAGTGAAAAAGATATCATTGATCAATGGTTGTGTTTCGTTAATAGTGGGAAGAGCTTTATTTAATAATCTTGTATCCAGTACAACTCTGATATCGTCTTTGGTAACATTATCCTTTGATGATGTTACACCCGATTCATGATTTTTCTTCAGAGTTACTGTAATAGGAAGATTCCATGCAGAAGCAGGGGCTCTTGTGATAATTCCATCAGCTACCCAATCGTTAATTACTTCCATTACTTTAGGTTGTAATTTGTAAGCGATAGGATATTGACGAACATGAACATGATAATCAGGAGGAGTGGGAAGGTGGAGAACACTTTCAGGAATATTACAAAATGAATTTTTATTAAGCGCCTTGTTAGCCTCAATGTATGGCGTAAGAGCTAAATTAAATGCAATTTGTTCCTTTTCCGATCCGAATGGTGTTACGTTAGGTTCGTAAGCATGATCATCAATAGAATCATCAACTTCTTTGACAGTGTCTTTGAACTTGTATGCAACATTAACCATATGGAGAGAAAGCTTGGGCATTAAATCCACACCGATTAATATTTTGTTAGAGAGAGATAAGATCGAATTATCGATGATATCAAACTTATGCAATACTTGTTTGTCAACACCATCGTAGTCAATTTTAAGACATTCAGAAGTTTGATAACGAGGGATTTGAGTACCATTGGCCAACAAAAGAGAACCTTCAATTTTATTAAATTCAATATTATTGTCAATGGCAAATTGTTTATTCATGACCGATACTTGGGCTCCAGTATCCAAAGTAGCGTATGTCTTCACTGAGTTAATAATAATGGGAGTAACGGGAGAATACGCAACATTGTTTGTATGGAACGGATTGTTTGTATCGCCGACGGAATTACTGAAAATGGAAACATTATTATTAAGACAATTTGTAGAAGAAGAATTAATTTGAATAGAGAAAATATTTTTATTTAAAGTATCATTTAATTCATCATTGTCATGAATGATAAAATTATCTAACTCCAAAAGTGCTGCCTGAAACTCGTTGTCATCATTGAGGATGGGGAGAGGGACATTTGGCTGTTCTTCATGATCATTGTCGGTTCTACAATTGGAAGAGGAGTTAGTATTAATTTCATGAATAGAAGTTGAAAGAACAGTAAGGGGTTCATCGATGTGATTACTTACTTTATTGGCAAGAAATTTCTTTCTTTCCGCACATTCCTTCAAATGATCAGGAGTAAAACGAGCCACCCGACAAGAAAGACACTTGAGCTGTTTACGCATGTGCGTACGTTCTTGATCATTGAGTACGTAGGTGGGATCGAATAATCGTTCAAAGTTGATGGAAGACTTTGACGATTCAGACTTGTCATCCATTCTTCTTTTCTTGTTGGATTCCCTAGAGCTGGAATTGGAAGATGAGGAAGAAGAGACGGGAGAGGAGGAAGAAGATGAGGAGGAGGACTTGGCAGAGGAACTGTTCTTGACTTGAATTTCTTTAAGAGTAGATTCAAGGTTACCAAGGTAATGATTCAAGGCTTCACCTAGACGACCAAAGTTGCTGTAGAACTCATAGAATTGTGTTTCATTATGAGTTGCATACTTGCTAGCCATTGAAGAGTCCATGGTGTAGAGTTGTTCCTTCATATATTCGTATAACTTTTCCTGTACCTTATCTTGAAATTCTTTAGTGAACAAAGACGAGAGGAAAGCAACCGAGAAGTAGAAGTTCTCATGAGTGTGTACCTTGGCGGCACGGAGACAGGCACCAAAACGATCCATGTATTCGGCTAATTGTTCATGGGAACTTTGTCTCATACTATGAAGCATGAAGTTCACCTTGATCAATCCAAGACGGGCAGCGGCATCGAAACGGTGTTCCAAAATTTTCTTAGCATCAGACCAGGACTTCTTCTTGCCTTTACCAATAGCCTTGAAATTTTGTTGGAACCAGTTACAGTAGAGATCGTTGTTTTCAAAACTGGCCTCAAGATGAAACAACCAATGAACTTCCACATCCACATCATAATTCTTATAGGCTCGTTCGAACTTTCGGATGAAAGATTTGAGCGAATAATCGTCGGTGCTGTGAATGTCGGGATTGGTATCGAGATCGGTATACTTGACATCGAAAACCGGAATTTCTTTGGCTGGGATATCAGAATGATCCTTAGGCTTTGTAAGAGCTTTATCAGAGTCATCCAACTTCATGACATTGGCCAGATGAGAAATGTGGCTGACAGAAGTTTCCTTGAAAGAGGTATACAACAAGTTGGCATCAACGAGTTGGTTCTTCCAATAGGTGATATCATGTTTCAGGGAACGGACCTTGGCCTCTCTGAGATTGAATTCCTCCATAGTGGTTGTTTCCAAATCCATTATAGAATCTTCTCGATCAAAGAGAGCTGCAAGGCGGGCATTACAATTACCAATTCTCTTCAACACTTGAACAGCATTTTCGTCAAATGTGTTATGAACGGTGTTGGAAGAAGAAGGGGAATCGAGTTCAGGAAAGTCAATGAGCATGGGATCATTTTTTTCCTGGGAGTCGGTAGTAGCAGGGCCGTTGGAACCAGAGTTACCAGAAGTACCACTAGGGGCATCAGACAAGGAAACAGAGGAACCAGGGTTACCAGCAGTACCAGAGGGAGAGTTGGCATCAACAACAGGGGAAGAGACAAGGGGAGAACCAGAGCCAGAATTACCAGAGTTGGAGCCAGAGATAGGAGCAGGAGAATTCATTTAAAAAAATGTGATAATTTGAGTATAAAAGGGTAATAAAATAAAAGATAAAAATAAACAAGTAAAGAAATGAGACTCTTTAATCCTTTATTATAAGTTGGAGAGTTTGTCATGATAAAAATAGAGGTCCTTTTATATTAAATTATTACTTCAATTAATTTCTGCGTAGATCGAATAAACATTTCCAGAGACTGGGAATTGTTGGATTTGAAATATAAATCAGTAACGACATGAAACATAGCTTATAATTTATAGTTATGTAAGCCTATGGTTGTATGTCCGGAATTTCCAGCAGAGAAATCATTTATCCATTTAGCAATATGTGCGATGATTGGATTACTTGATTACTCATCGTAGGTGCTAGAAGGAACCGCAGTAAATCAGCTAACCGGGGTCCAATGTAGGGTATGATTTCCAGTTAGAAGATTATGAGAACTGGTACTGTGTCTGTTATCATATATGAAGTATATTATAACTCAAGACAGATTAAATAGTAATTGTATTCGATTTATTTAGGCGTCAAATACGACACGGCCAAGCCTATCATGCAGTAACTTGAGCCGAGCGCAGTAAAAGTTACTTTTGAACGGGTTTCAACTGAAAACAGCTGAAGCCCGCCCAGTAGTTCCCTTCTTCACTTCGAAGCTTTTTACAGTTCTTCGCCGAGAGCATTTGCTTTTGTCATCACCAAGATTTAGTTTCGTCATACTAAGTGATACATCATGCAATGATTTTAGATATTAACGTATGTAAGGTCCACATATAAATTTATAGACCTTTCTTCAATATATCATTATGCTAAATGAATATGAAAAAGGTTGCATACTGTGGTAAAATTTATATTGAAAATCACTACAGGGTGCACATGGTTTGATGAAACTAGCCTTGGTGATGATGAGAGCAACTACTCTTCGACAAACATGTACTTTAAATAATTTAGCACTAGAGCAGAAAATAAAATAAGCACTTCTGAGATGAAGAAATGAAGTAAAGTTAGCATGGTCGTCATTTGCATCGGTTTTATTTCGGATCACCAGTTTTGTGGGTCAGGTGGTGAAGTGACCCCTTTGTCTTCTCTTAGCACTGAAGAAAAGTATACATCAAAGTATATATTTAGACGCAAAGCTGCTTCTTTGCATGTACTTACAATGGCATTTCAGATTGCGTTTCAGGATTGCGGTCTTGGCAAGTGTTTTTCACACATAAACCGGGCTCAAAGCACAGATTGTATTTCTCCCACAGAAAACATAAACAACATACCCTGGCTTATCTTGTATTACACCCAAGCCACTGATAAATTGCGCAGATCCGATTTCATTTGCCTAGCGCTTTTCCTGGCCTATAAAATTGTTACAGCTATATTCTTACTTTTTTCACGGGTTTTACGATGTTCCTCCCCGGGATGAAAGAGAGCAGTTTGAGGTATTCAAATGGTGTCAGATAGTTGCAGGTGAGTTTTAAATACTCGCATGTGACGAGGAAAAGCAGTCCTTGTTTATTTGGTCGAACCAATCAGAACAGAAACGCGTACTCATACGGCGAAGCTATTTACCACCTGTAACTCCGATTAATATCTGTTAAAAAAGGGTGTTAAAAAAATAAATTTTTCGAATTTTTTTTTCAATCTTGATTGAACATCCTTACTTTTTTTAAAAATCTAAATAGCAATGTCGAATAATGATCAGTTCAAATACATTGTTAAGGAGAGAACCAAGAGTGTGATTATAATAAGTGACAGTGACGAAGAGGACGTGTCCGTAAGGACTGTCATTCCACCTATGCCCGTCCCAAAACGGTCCAACAAGAGAAAGCGTGAGAGAACTTTACCTGGGAACGCAAACGATCCTATTGCCTTATTGTCAGATTCGGATGAAGACCTAGGAAGCGGAGATATCAGTACCAGTCCTTTAATCAGCAATACAGACACTACAGGTAACACCCAGGACGCCAATAATGTAAACGCGGAACATACCAATATAGATGCTGAGATGAATACCAATCCTGCGGCGGTGGAAAATGCTTTAACTGATAAACACGTGACCACTCTTAATCCTGTGGCTATTGGCAATGACTGTGATGTAGATATTATCCCCAATACCAATTGCAAAATACATACCCAAGGTACGGGCGTCATACCTGACCTAAACATGAATGGCTTGAATCATATGAATACCTTTGTTCAGGAGATCAAATCCACTTTTGATAACGTATTTGGGGGTCCGCAGATCCAAGATCAACCCGTAAAGAATGAAATAAAGGAAAGCGACAATATAATTGGATCAACACATATCATAGTTCACACAGAAACGGAAGATACAACTATAGTATCCACTGACAATGTTTCGGAACTATCACAGGCTATGGAAGAAGATTATTCAAGTGACGAATGTTTTTTCGACATGATCATTTCAACATCCGAGGTAACTCTCTCACCACCAATGTCTCCACTATCTGATCCAATGAGCCAACCCGATGTAAGTGCATGGCTAGCTGATTATTATATTATTGTGTTACTAAAATTTGTTTTGTGTAGATGGAACCACCCACTACAGTGGAAACCAATATACCACAAAATATGGATCTTGCTACGCGTTTGCGTACCATCGAATTATATTTGGAATCAGTATCGGACATTGAAACGTCACAAAATAAAAACGAAATACGAGTGTCGCGCCGGTCTCGCGATACATCTAGTAACAAGAAGCCTGAACACAGCACCTCAAATAGGCCTTATGTACCCAATCGCGTATGGTATAACTCCACTTGGGAGGATTGGGCCCAGCTTGATGCAGGAGATGTATTGCATATTCCATTCAACGAGCAAGAAGTCGAAATTCTTAAAAACGCTGTCACGAAACAAAACTACAAAAAGAGTAAATCTGGGAGAGAATTGGTCGACTTTTGGCAATATGTTTCAGCTCTTTTACCAGGTAGAAGTCATATAGATTGTAAATGTTTTTGGTCAGACTACATGGAAGGAAATAGTCAATTATACAACAAAACCATTGTGATTGCTCGTCGTCCAGGTAAAATTATAAAGAAAACGTTTGACTGTGATGTCCATTTAAATTTTGTTATAGATAAACCTCGCAATAGATCTTTAAATCAAATGTTGATGAAAAGACGGCGAACTGGTATAATAAATTATAATTCAATGGGAAATACGCTACTGGGTAACATGAATCGAGAGAGTACAATTTCCGAAGGAAGTGGTGATGCTATTTCTTTGGCTATTTTCAAGCATGGAGGAGGTATCCGTGTTGTGTCTGGTTCCTTATGTGATGAGCATGAGCAATACAACATGCCAGGAAACCTAAGACTTTGGGATTCCGAACTAGATCATACATTAATTTTAAAAGGTCACAAAACCGAGGATCCAAGAACTAACGCAAGTAAGTTGAAATTGTTATTATGGAATCTTTAAGACTTACTTTATATGTAGCCATTTGGAGGACTGTAACGGATGTTAAAATGTCCAAAGATAAGAGTTTAATTTATTCTGCATCACATGATGGTAGTGCTAACATTTGGAGAGCGAGTACTGGCCGATTGGTTTCTACACTGCGTAAATATATAGTAAATCTGTTAAATATGTGCATATTTTAAATTTATTGTTACACAGAATATCATTGTAAGCCTATTAACCAAATGGCTGTGGATTTATCATCCAATGATAACGTCCTGGCGACATGTTCCAATGATGGAACAGCAACTATTTGGAAAATCGGTGCAAATGGTAAAACTGGAGAAGGTTTTATTTGTGAATTAAATACTCGTTTTTACAAAAATCCGTCTGTTGAATGCATTGAATTTGGTCATCATAAAACTGCCAATATGTTGTTCCTGGGTATCAAAAATGAAAGTAATGAGCACACAGGATACGTAAGTTGATTCTGCTTTAAAAAAAAAAGATTTATAAATTAATTGGGTTGCTTAGATTGAGGTTTTTGATACAAACACTTGTAACCCTGTTATGAAATTTGATTCAATGAAAGGATCTGTTTGTGCCTTGGCCATTTCGTCCTCTGGTAGATTTGTTGTTTCGGGAAATTATAATAATTATGACAACATGTCGGGTGACAAATTTATCCATATGCACGACTGCAACAATAGACGCATAGCACATAAATTTTACTCTGGTCACCCCGATGTGAATGTTGTTGCAATCAGTCCCTGTGAAACCTATGTTGCTTCCGGGAACGCTGACAAGGAGAAAAGCGAGGTACTTGTGTTTGACGTAAGAAATAACAAAAGACCTCTTCACAAACTATGCCATGATCGTAAGTGTCACCATGCAATAGTTTTATCAGTACTAATATGTCATTGTAGAGACTTTAATTGATCAGTCTTTGATTGCCCCTGACTCCAGTATGGGTATTGGTGGTCTGTATTGGACATCGGATAGCCGCACTATCATTACTGGTGGTGGTGATTCTACCGTTAAAATTTGGGGAATCGAAGGCGAAACCCGATTGATCAAAACATATCAGACATCTAGCTGTGTAACGAGTATTGCTGTGGATGAAGAATCTATGACTGTTGCTGCTGGTGTCGCTGGAGCCGAAGGAATTGTTCATGTCTGGCGTCCATAATATCCTATGAATAAAATTAAGCTCAAACAATTTTGTGTATCTACTGGGTTATTTTTTAACTAGCGCATCTTTTTCTTAGACCCAACCCCGTCAGAAAGTTCTTTTTATTTTCAGTTTATAACAATGGGCCACCTGTAACTATAACTAAGCCCGATCAAATCTTGTGCATTGCTCTAATGTCAATTATATACATAGTATTACATTGGCGACTTGTTCGCTCAACCAATGGGCAATGGATTTCGATGGCAACCTCGAACGTATATTGGAAAGTATTAGGCTTGCTAAAGAAAAAGGCGCTAAATTACGTGTTGGTCCTGAACTTGAAGTAACGTAAGTAACCAGAACATTCACTTGCAATGACATTTCAGTAATTGAATGTGATATCATTTTGTAGTGGCTATGGTTGTCAAGACCATTTCTTGGAAGGTAACAGGATAACACATAAAATTGGTTGAATAATGTTATTAACCGTTGTTCTAAGAAAAGGTGATACTTATCTGCATTCTTGGGAAGTGCTTGCTGAGATTTTAAAGAGTGATGAGGCAAAGGACATGATTTTAGATATTGGAATGTAAGTGTTTAATAACTTAGGTGATAAATGGAAGGAAAAGATTGACGAGCCGGAATATAGGCCTGTCATGCACAAATCTGTTAAATACAATTGTCGTGTTATCATTGCTGATGGTAAAATTGTTTTAATCCGCCCCAAGATTTTCTTGGCCAATGATGGCAATTATCGTGAGTTACGCTTTTTCACTCCCTGGACTACAAGAAAGGTTGAGCAGTACTATTTACCTCGCATGATTTCTAAGATTACAAACCAGGTTAGCGATCGTATTATTATTGGTTGACTCGTGTACTCATATTTCATAGACATTGGTACCTTTTGGCGATTGCGTCATAAGTACTTTGGACACTTGCATTGGTTGTGAAACATGTGAAGAGTTATTTACTCCTGCTAGTCCCCACATTGCAATGGGTTTGGATGGTGTAGAAATTTTTACAAACAGTAGTGGAAGCCATCATGAATTACGTAAGCTGAATACTCGTATAGATTTAATGAAAGCTGCCACACAAAAGGTGGGCGGTATCTATCTCTATGCCAATCAACAAGGTTGTGATGGCGATCGTCTTTATTATGACGGCTGTGCTATGATTGTCATGAATGGTGAGATTATTTCCCAGGGATCTCAATTCTCCCTTAGAGATGTAGAGGTTATTACTGCTACTGTTGATTTGGAAGATGTTCGCTCTTATCGTGCTCGTATGGTTAGCCGTGGTATGCAAGCGGAAGCTACCCCCGCCTACCAACGCGAAGAAGTCAAGATGGCTCTTACACACAGTTATATTGAGGATAACATTCACATCCGCCCCACCAAACCCCGTGCTCCGTTTTATCATAGCCCAGAAGAAGAAATTGCTTTGGGTCCTGCCTGTTGGCTATGGGATTACTTGCGTCGATCTAAGACCGCCGGTTACTTTTTGCCCTTGAGTGGCGGTATTGACAGCTGTGCCACTGCCAGTATAGTTGCCTCTATGTGTCGCTTAGTTGTAAAAGAGGCTTCCGAAGGTAACAAACACGTCTTAGAAGATGCTCGTCGTTTAGCTGGCGAGGGAGAGACATATACGCCTACAGACCCTCGTGAATTTGCCGGTCGCATTTTTTACACGTGCTACATGGGTACATCGAACTCAAGTACCGAAACTCGTAAGCGTGCAAAGGATTTGGCTGAGGTCATCGGGAGTTACCATACGGATTTGAATATGGACACTGTTGTTACATCCATCCATTCACTTTTTAGATTGATCACCGGAAAAACTCCCAAATACAGGGTGCATGGTGGATCTGATACGGAGAATCTGGCGCTTCAAAATATTCAGGCACGTCTGCGTATGTTACTGGCCTATCTTTTCGCACAATTATTGCCTTGGTGTCGCAACGTCAGCGGAAGTTTGCTAGTTCTTGGTAGTGCTAATGTTGACGAGAGTTTAAGAGGATATCTTACAAAGTATGATTGTAGCAGTGCTGATATCAACCCCATTGGCGCCATATCCAAACACGACCTCAAACGGTTTATCGCGTATGCTGAAAGGAAGTTTGACATGCCTATTCTGGGAGAGTTCTTAGATGCTGTGCCAACCGCAGAATTAGAGCCCATCACAGAAAACTATGTTCAATCGGATGAGGCTGATATGGGCATGTCTTACGATGATCTTTCTCGTTATGGTCGTCTCCGTAAAATTGATCGGTGTGGTCCATATTCTATGTTCTCCAAGTTGGTACATGAATGGGGTGATGATATGCCCCCTACTGAAGTTGCCACCAAAGTGAAGCGTTTTTTCTTTTATTATTCCATCAACCGACATAAGCTTACGACATTAACTCCCGCTTATCATGCTGAAGCCTATAGCACAGATGATAACAGATTTGATTTGAGACCATTCTTGTACAATGCTTCTTGGAAGTGGCAATTTAGAAAAATTGACCGTATTGCAGAAGAGTTGGAGAGAAAGGCTGGGGAAGCTGAAATAAATAGTCAAGTAGATTGAAAAAGTTAATCTCTACAAAGAAACATAATTAAATGGAACCACACACGTGCACACACACGCATACACTAAAGTTTTATTGAATGTATTTAAAATTTTGCTATTGCCTTTTCAAACACAGTTTCGCCCCTAAAAGAAATAACAGTTTATATATTTTATATATATTAATACTCTTTGATCTGGTAAGATAAATAGGCGGCTTACTTCTGTCTTTTAAGGTAATCCTCTACTTTTTGTCGAACGCCAAACTTTCCGGGTCGACTAACTTCAAACCAGGCTATGATGTCTTCGCTGTTTTGAAAACTATACCTGCTTATAACGTCATCTATTTCGGTTTGTAACGGTAAGCTGTATCTTCCATGAGGATTAACATAAAAATCTGTTTCTGTTGCAAAGTTAAGCTGATGAGTCTCAAGTGCGTCGAAAAGGTTCACCCTTATATCATCCTCCACATCAATGTCCTCCAACTTATCAGGAATCCATGTACAAACTCTTTTCCCAGCTACATGTCCAACCATACCTTCCTTTAAATCATGCGTATACTAAAAATAGAGTTATTTTAGGAAGGACAGGGTGATGATATTTTTATGCACCGGGTCTCATCATACTTACAGGCATCCTCTGCCATAATCGGAACTCCATCCGAATGCATTCGTTGTAAGATAGATTTTCCGCTCGTCGGAGGCTCTCCATCATGACTTTTAAACTTGTAGGGGATCCTCGTAAAATCGATTTGACACAGCCTAGAGCAAATTTGGAGCCGTCTTTGATCAAGGATTGGACGATCTCTTCCACGGTGTTAAAGTTAAAACATCTGTTTAACAAACGTTAGGAGATACGCTGAGTTACACACCTGTATGCACACACAAATAGAAACCTACCTGTCGATAATATTTAGTTTTTCCCCAAAAAGACTGTATTTGGAAGGTATGTGGTCTGCTTTTACTGAAAATTCTTGAATGATGTTGTTGATCAAATCAAGCGTGGGATGACTGAGCTCAGCCAGCTTTGCATTCATAGCATCCAGATTCGAAGAGTGGACAAAATGTGAAGCAAGTCCACAAAATCTACGATACAGTCAATCAATTTGTTAAAAAAAGTGATCAGTATGTGTAACATACACTACATCTTCTGCGTAAAATCGACTGCCCGTTAAACCCAAATATAAGCCTAAGTTGCCGTCAAAACGGGATAAAGTAAATGTTGTGCTGGAATCAGTAAATGATCCAATAGCGGTCTCTGGCATAGCATACACCGTATTCTCCGTGGCAATTTTGAATGGAAGTTGACCAATCAAACCTGAACCTGCGCCCACTAAAGATTTAAAGTTGTGTGAGCGTAACAGATTATACTGATGACTTTCTTTTTCTAATTTTTTTTTTTTTTTTACTTATAATTCCGTCCATAACAGCTATGATAGGTGTTTTCATGGTCCCAATGAACTGTAAAAGCTCGTAGAATTTTCCCAAGTTATTTATTATCTCATCTGTTGCACTTGGCTCTTCTTTGGCAAGGAGTCCAGCTATGCCTACAAAGCGTTTAATTGTATAAATTATGGTTACTGGCTTCCATGTTGTATGCTTACTTTTTATATCACCACCGGCAGAAAATATTTTACGCTTGCTGCCTCCACCGCTGATAGTAATTAACCTGGCCTCAGTAGATTTTTCCCATACCTATATTTCATTGAATAAGATTTTTTTTTTTTACCTTTTAAACACTGCTTTACCTTAAGATATGGGTATAAGATAGAAACGTTTTTAATCCATATACAGTTGAGATCTCTTGGTTTATTCAATACAAGATGTCGAGTGTACTTATATTTTTTGATGAGAACCACCTTAGTCTCCTAAACTCAACGTCAGCATGAAAGTTCTGGGTCATTTATACTTTGTTGTCTCTGACAAAATTAGCATACTTACAGTTTCGCCTTTAGTTAAAATTTTATCACACATTTATGGTTTATCAAAAAGAAGAAGGAACTTGTATTTAATGCAATATTCAATCCTTTTTAAGGTTCTCGGTTTTCGCATCAATTGATGCAGGCGGTATGCTTGCATTAATATAGAAAAATGTTGGGGCGTTTATCTATGCATGTCACATATCTCTAGTAGCTGTGGGCCGACAGCAAGACTACAATTTATCTTAGGAAGAAAACGATTGATCATCCTTCCGGCTATTTACATGCAGTTTCTATAAATGGGTCTTTTGTGGGACGTGGATTTCCCTAAGCGCTAGTATAATGCCATATTCGAAGTATTGTTTGCAATCATAACTACAACTAATCTGAAATTAGGTAGTCGTATCATCACAGTCATCATATGAATTGTTTCGTGGGCTGGTTGGAAATGATGACTAATTTCATATTTCGGCTCTATCGTTTTCATAGTGAACCATCACATCATAGCTTAATATAGAATGCAAGATAAGTCATACTGTGACATACATGTTTCCTTTTTAAAAGCAGAACCGATGTATCTGAAACATATTATACTGATGTGAGTAAACAAAAAATAGTAGTATACCTGAAAAAACAAAAGTCTTCCGGAGTAGGCGGAAGAACTGTTCAAACTACATAAATCATAAATTTTGCATACTTCCTATGCATACTACTAAATAGGCTATTATGGTTAGCGTGATCGATTGTTGTTGGAGATAAATAATGGACTAATTAAACTTTGGTGACGTTTCACAGATCGTGTTTTTTCAAGTAAAGCGTGCAAAAGGATCATTTTTAAAATTTACAGTGCCTACACCCCTGATTTTTTATTCCATGAGTTGACCAATTTTTGCTTCTTTATTGGCCAAATTTTATTTCGGTAAGGGCTCATTTTGCTTTTATCACTTCCAAAGTTTGTTTTTGTTCATTTCAGAGTTTGCCTTTCAATCACTCAATTTTTGTGGTTTGTTAAAATAGCTCTGTACTGAGGAATTCTGGAAAGATGTTAAAAGAGTTAAATGGCTCTATATTGAGGAATTCTGGAAAGATTTCGAGCTTGTGGAAGAAGGGAAACGAAGTCAATACTTTTATTCTAATAAAGTGTGGCTTCTTAGTATTAATCTTTTCACTTCTTAGTTTAAGAAAACCCGTGTAATGACTCTTAAAAAAGAAGCCGGCTTCAATTAATACAATAAAGAATTTAAAGAGGAAAGTGTTACAACTTGGATGCAAGGAATTCAATTTTTAAATGATGTAAATACCTGCTACATTAATGATCCAAACGAGCCCTTTCTTGTGTGCAAATCTCGTATATATATAGGCAAGGTCGCTTTCAAAAAATTTCACGTCTTTGTGAGTCAGGTAATCTTTTTTCTCCTTGTATATTTTGATGTAGTCCAGCAGAATTTCTTCATCCGAACTATTACAACGTTTCGTCTTGTAAGCTGCATGTATATCTTGTTAGTCGTAATGTAAAATCAAATTCATGTTCAAATTTTTGTCTTCCGGATCGAAACAATGTCTATGCATGTACATGATTTTTGTTAATATCCGGGATCAGAATCATATTTGTACTTATATAACTTGAAGTAATCTCAAAGCGTGAGAGCCAGACCTGGGAGGTCTACATTGTATGGCGAAGACTGGCCTTGCAAAGATTGGAATACATATTTTTCGTTTTTTGGAGATTCTTGAAAAAACAGTAGTCGTTATTCACTAACTTTCCACAATATTAGTTACTTTCCTCTATATAAAATAAAAGAAAGGAATTAAATATCAAAGTTAGTTTGGCTCGTGATCTCATCTTTTGATTTGGTTGTTTTATGTGTCCAATTGTTTATTTAATTGCCCATAATGTTGAAGCCTTTCTTATAATAGAAATATATGCAAATAGTGTAGGCTTATATCCAGAATATTTGAAAATATGTCTCTACTGTAAGTAAGGGCAGGAATATTATGGGTGATTAATAAACAATCAAATTATTATGACATTTAAAGCAGTTCTTGTTTACCAATCTGTGAACAAAATTTGTTCCAGCATTTTTTTTTCTTCTCCTACCAAATCAAAAGATAAAGTTATTAAAAATCGGAAATAAGTGTGTAGTATTGGCTTTATTTGAAGGAAAGTAATAATATTGTGAAAGAATGGTTAATAATGACTTTTGTTTCGAGAAACGCTATGATATTACGCCTTTTTTAAACATACAAAGGGATTTTACGGTGGAAGCTAGTCTTCACTATAAGATGAAGTCCTTCAAGGTCGAGATCTCAGATTTTGACTGAGATTGCTGTAAGTCACATTTAGTTTCTGTTATGATCTCCAAATATGTATAGTTGGCTCACCCAAACATTACAATCTTTATAATACAAAGAAGTTTAGAATGAGTAAAAGCGAAAGAGGAAAAATCAGTCAAAATAATCAGCGATAATGCTTAATACTCGGTAAAAATAGTCAGTAACTTATATAATAAATTGATGCTTAATTTACCATAATGCAGGGAGTGGTAGTCAAACTGTTAAATTACTGGATCACATTTACTGACCACCAGAGGAGCCTGCTTCGATCGAAATATTGAAGTCCGGGCTGAAACCCAGTTCTTTTGTCTGATAAAGACATTCTTATTCAAACATATAGATTTTCACAACTAGATTTTACAGAAAAGATCTTATATGATTTGTTCGATGGTGGAGCCATCAAACGCTGGATCTGGTATCCGTGGATACTCAACAAAAGTTTGAAGACAGGAGATGAAATTAGAATCAAATAGCGATAGCTAAACGTTCTCAATGATCATCGAAAACAAAAATTGATAATTCTTGATTTCTAATGTGTGTAGCAGAAAACGTGTTAGTTGCATTACCAAAACATCATTAGCAAAAGATGATTACAATATTACTGGTGGACAGCCGTAGTACACCAAGCAACAATTTATTAAACGTGATTTAAACAATGAAGATGATCTCTTGTCAGCTTTAGATCATTTTTGAGACATGCGTTTAGACTTCACCTAGCAACAAATGGAATGGTATTTCTCGAATTTCTCGAATTTTGAAGTGAACACAAAAAGCCCCAACAGAAAAAGAAGAGCAGTGACAGCCGAAAAATTGAGAAGCAAGAAAGAAAAAAAAAAGAAGCCACGCTTTGAAGAATAATAATGATTTCGTACCTTACGTTCTTCCGCAAGCTAGCATACAGCATCCAAAAGTGTTAGCAAAAAATATATTCAAAGTATTGCAAACCACTCTGTTAACAGCTTTCCAAAATTCCTCAATACAGAGCTATTTTAACAAACAATGAAAATTGAGTGATTCAAAAGCAAACTCTAAAGTGAGCGAAAATGACTTTGTAAAAACAAAAATTAGTCAGATCAAAGCGAAATTATCTTGCCGGAAAGCAAAAATTGGGTTGGAGGCATGGTTTATGCTTATATGTTGTAAGTCAAAGAGAAACTTTATTTTGGAATCATGTGTAAATAGAAAGTGTAATTGTTACGCAAAACTAAATAGCACCGTTTCCTAAAGCGGTTCCGATTCCCGAGCCCACATTATGCCCGGCTTCTGTTGCTGACTTCTCAATATCTTTACGTGATCCAGAGCCGTGTTCGGGGTGTTGAATTCCGTCTAATGTACTGAATACACCGTCTTTGACAGCAACGAGACCTAAGCTAAATGCATGGAGTAAATTTCCTTCACGTTTTTGTAAATCTACGGCGGCCACAGGAGCTGCGTGTACATCTTTAAGAATAGCAATTGCTATTATTACGGCTATGATAAAGCAAGATGTTGATTGTCGCATTTGTGTAATTATCGGGCTTGTTGGAACAAAAAAAAAAATAAAGGCGACAAAAAATATATTGTTGAAAGAGAGCTGCACTATTTGTTTTTCTTTGAAACATTTTTAGATCCTTTTGTATATATTTTGAGTCCGACTCCTATCCTATGTATGGATCGTTATTTTATCAAATACAATCATAATGCGTTCTATACAAAAATATATTTAGGCATTATGCAACTGTTACCTATCATATTTTGGCACCCATACTCAAAAAAAAAAAGTCCTTTGCATGTTTTAACTTTAAACATTAAAAATTATTCTTTCCCCTAGTGCGAAAGAGCTACTTACTGTGCATTGCGATACATTCTTTGTTTATTTTTTAGTGTTATGCATATGCATGATTTAAAGCTCCGGTAATGGTAGTCAGGAGGATGATCAGCTAACACATATTTTTGATTGTCAGGGTATCTTACCATTTGTTACCCCCTCCCTCTAATAGCTATTTTATAATAAGCATAATCTATTTGCTGTAGCTTTAAAATCACTATTAAAACTATGCTGCAATATATGTAAAACATGTTTAGAAGGAGCATTTAAACCAGAGAATTCAATCTTTGATGTCAGTGTATATAAAATTATTATATTTTTTGTTCAATTGGGGGGGGGGGGAGAAAGAACTAGACTTAAGGCGAGTGTATACGAAAAAACGGACGATCTTTTTCAAAAAGTCTTGATAATTAGGGTTCGATCGGTTAGGAGCAAAACAAACAAAATGCACTGTATTGCGCAAATCTTCTTTATTTGTGTGATACGAAAAACAGGATGAGTATGTACAACATCATATTTACAGAATATACTTTCAAAAGGAACAAAACTACTAAAATATTTTGGCCAAGCATTTCATAATTTTGTGGCCCTTGCGATCCCTTCATTTGATTGTATATACTTAATCGCTCTTGTTTGTTATTAATTTATGCGTCTTTACAATATGTAACTATACAGATACTGAAATAAAATCAGAGGGATAACATGAATAAAAGTACATTTTGACATATAGATACGGTGTTTCAATTACAATTTATCTGTAGGAAGTAGACGATCTAAATCAAGTAAAAGGTAGTCATGTTCAAGTGATTTTTTTTTTGATCCCATTGTGGTATTTGACAAAAATAATGAGATTAAAGTGTATCTTTACTGGAGGTAAAAATAAACTTAAGGAACTCTGCTGCTATGAAATAATTGATCCTTCTTATATTGCCCAACTCTCCTGGGGTTTAATGATGAGTCAACTGTTCTGGTTTTGGAATAGATCTGTACTTTGTTTCCCGCCTTGGATTAAATGAATACTACTCGTTAGATTTGTTTTCAGTTAAATCTATAGTGCTACGAGACACCTATTTATCAGATCATGCCACAGTTACTGTAAAAGATGCATACTTGTTTGTCAAGTGTAATTGGCAGCAGAACATAATAGTTATAGTTGATCATTTATTCATTCTCTTTTTTACTGAATAAAATACGATTCCAAATATGGAAGGTCTTTTGGAGATTTGTATATTTGGTTGTAGAAAGTAGGTATTCATTAATTCATACACTTTATCAGCTGTATAATTATATCTATATATAAGTAAATGAACCATTTATATTAATAGATGTTCTATTCTCTCTCTGGGTAGCTAATCCATTGAGAGAACTATTAGTATTAAGTTTATCTTTCTTATAATTCTTGATTTAATCTGAGAAGATTCTCTTCTCGATCGGTGGTATCGTAACTCAGTGGTAAAGCATTCTGTATCCAACTGTCATTCGTATATCATATTTAGGCCAATCATGCAATCTTTAATATAGAACTACGTACCCGTAGTAGGATAAGTTGTATAGCAGTATACAAGCGTATGCTGATATGCAACATCAAAGGTTGTTTTAATTTCATAATTTATTTATCTAAACGATTTGCTTAATTATTCTTAAGTGAATCGTACCCAATTACGACACCCATAACATATATTTATGGCTAATTGCAATATATTTTAATATCGTAGTTTTCTCAATAACTTTGAGCTTTTAGACTGGGCTATAGTAAATAACTAACGAATAGTCATCTTGTTAAAAAATATCACATAGCTTGAGAGAATACACAGCCAATTTTTTCCTTTACCATAGTTAGAATGCACGTAGTCGCATCGTAAGATCGGGAGTTCTAGCTGCCTTCAAGACTTGGAAACGAAAATATACAATCAAAACAATGGCTACTGATAAATATATCACACATATTGAACGATTTATACTTAATCGGACTGTTGTGGGGATATATAATTATACCCTCAATGATCAATAAATTAAAATTTATGACTTATCGGCGATACAGAAATAAAGCATAATTTTAATAAGTAACGAAACAGATAAAAGATCCTTACACGTGTTTAATTCCACAGGTATTTATACGGAAAAAATAAATCAACAAACAATTCTTGCTTTCCGTAGGAAGACTATTAAGTTGGTGCTCTTTCTATCTTTCGTTCATTTGATCTTAACCTCGGGCCGAAATTTTACGGTGGAGCCTAAACGAGACATTAAACATAATCTAGAAAACTCGCAGATTTAATAACCATATGTTTATAGTGATAAATTTTCATCTGGCTTAAAATGATATGTTATATCGAGATCTTGGTATCAGTTAAGGTATCCGATCATCTATTACAATTACGCACACCCTTAGTGTCCCTTAGGAAAATTGAATGTCCTATAGAGACCCGCGCCAAAGCTATACTACCTCATGGGATATCACCGCAAAACACTTTGAAGTGGTATCCAGATTTGCATTAATCTCAATGTCCGGTTTCCAGGAAAAATACAATAAAGTAAACAACATGAATGTCAATATATTTTGCTTCGACATCTGCTACACAATTTACGGTAAGAGATATGACCGTGGTTTAGCTGCTTTTTATATTTTTTTTTTATAAAAAAGCTTCATCAAATGAACGTTGACAACTTTTTTGATAAATAGTACATGGTTTAATTCTTTTTTCCTTAATAGTTCAAACGATTTACACAATTTTCCAGAAGTAAAAATTGTCCTTTTCGATAATGAGGCAGTAAATGGTAGATACACATGTAGCTTAACTTTTTTGAGCGGAAAACATCCTTTGACGCCTGCTGTTAATAGAAATAATGTTGGTTTAATGACTTTAATCAGCATGAAGTAGTTTCGCTATTAAGAGCATGCACTCTAGATTTAGGCAAAGACTGCTGCTTTTACGAGCTACCATGGAGATAATAAAGTGTGTAGATTAACCATGAAAGAACATTATTTGTGTGGCGGAGCTACCTCCAAGACAAAAATCTGAAGATAGACTGAAAGGTGTGACCGGCATCAAAGGCTCGCAATTTACCATCCCATCATTAAAAAAAATTACTCAAAAGCGTAAAATGTTTGTTTCATTTTAAGTAATGGATTTAGTATTACAATAAGGAGATGACCAAATTATTTTCGGGTATTAAAAAAGCATAAAGAAGCGCAATTATTTTTGTAAACGGAGGAAAAAGACAAAAAGAAGTCAGTCACGTAGTATACATACAGAGATTGAACGAAACACAAAGGTAACAAATCAAACAGCTAACGACAATATAGTATAAACATCCGCATTTCCTTTTTATGAAGCATCACGTTGTTCCAACTACTTTTACTTAAATTTGGGATCTTTGCGGGAATCACAACAGTGCCTCTCTGGGCCACCAACAATAAAATCCTCTCTTGTTCCAATTGACAAACATAATAATAGGAATAGGGGCACCAATGGTACCAACAATATATGGGATATATTTCGTTTGGCAGACCCAACATAATTTGTGGACAGTGGAATTAACAACAACAACCTAATTTGTGCCTTCGCCCTTCCCAAACTTGGGGTGGAGTTGAAGTTCCCGAACGATGACACAAAAATAACAGTGAAAAATGGTATTTTAAATAGCACGTAATGGCATTGTGTTCACTATGCCCGATATGAACAATTACACTGATACGCGAATCCAAAGTTGGCATGACGTAATTTTGTGTAACAGAAGAGGGCGATCGACAGGATATTGGTTACGCTAAGGACGTCATATTCAGAGTGCGTAGGACAGGGGACATTGAAAAAAAATCATGCTAAATTTTTTCATTCCGTGACGTTGAATGAGATACGGATGATATAAAATGGGAAACATATTTGGGTCAATTTTATCTTTATAACACTTAATACACAAATTAATACCATGTCTGACAACAAGAACGAGAATATCGATACTATGACCCATCCCTCCTGCTACAGAGATGCCATGAACGGCAAGGTTAACCAAAAACTCACGGGTGTCAATGTTGAACAAACGAAGAAGAGTCAAGAATCCAATGAAAATGATTGGGACTTATACCCTCAAATGATCCGCAAGGTCGAAAACGAAGGCTCTGCTAAACAAGTTGAACATCTTCACGAATTGGAACATTCACCCAGTAGATAAAATTAAACAAAATATCAATAGTAATAACTCCCTTATTCTATATTGTACATAATAAACTCCCCTTTCTCTTATTTTATTTTTAAATATTCGATAAATCCTGCTTTTTCAATCTATCGCTTCTTTTTCGTAACCAAGTTTCTTTCACGACCTTTCGGACCTTTTCCAAATTATCCTTGATATTTGCTTCAGCCAGTTCATGTAATTTGTCAACTTGTTCTGAGGTATAGACAAAATTCCACGTACTACAAAATTCAGCGCTTTGAGGATCAAATTCGGGGTCGTAATTTTCGTTGACGATCAAAGGAAAATAAACAACGGTGATTGGATTTGTATTCTCGGGATAAGTTGTCTTTGTACTTGCTGTGTCATTATTATCAGGCGTTGTTTCTGAGGAACTGGATTCGAAAACGGTGCAGGTATTCAACGCATATTTCGATTTGGACTTGACCTTTTCGTCTGGGCTCTGCTCCTCACCGGGTTCTTTCTTGGGCCACCCAGCACCAGCAGGCCAACCATTAATACCACGACGTTTAGCATAACCTTCAGCACGATCGAAAAAGGGAGTTTCCTGAATATCTGCACTGAGGTCAAGAGAAATAATAATATCTACGTCACGTCCTTTCCGCAGCAATGGATAAAATGGGATGTTATTGTCCATGCCAGCATCCATCAATCCGATTTGTTCTGATTCGACTAAACTTTCCGACCTTAAAATTTCTTCCTTGTCTTGGCTTTCATCCTTAGTCTGTACTCGTGTGGCCATCTTGTAAAATGGATTAGGAAAACAGGCGGGGGAAATAGGGTGGATGGTGGAGACAGATGATTGGTAACTGTTGATCATTTCATCCGCCTTTTGAACAGCAGAGGTGGGTAACAGCAAACGGATTTCTTGATAGAAATGTGCAAGACTAGCTACAAATGCAGAGCCAAACATTCCCATCAAAATACCCAGACTTTGTTCTGGAAGCTTCTCTAAATTTTTTCCCTCCTGGAACTTTCTGCCAAATGCCCACACAGGAATCCAGGCTAAAAAAACCATTATCATCAGTAAATGTGCCATTGTTAGAATACTAAGACTATAAGAAAACATACCATTGATTTCTTCACTGCCCATATCATACGGCGTAAATTCAAACCATTGGTACAAATCTTTTGTTTCTGGTGTTGGTTCCTCGTTCAAGCATTCTTCTTCCTGTATGGGCTCATCATCCTCACTTTCCTTCTTGGTACTATCCAAATTCTCAGCCTCATTTTCTTCCTGTTGGTTTGATACAGTATCTGCTTTTGTGACACCTGCCGTTTCGATTTCATGACGTACTGCGCAGTAGATGGGCATCGGTAAAGATCCATCTTCAAAATAGACCCTTTGCTTCGACAATTTGATCTCGTTCTTCTTGAGTAATCTCGGTTTAACTTCTGCACCATCATCTTCGTGGATCGTTTTACTGTCCGAATCCTTTTGTGTTGTCTGTTCCTCGATATCCTCACTGTAATACCAACGTTGGTTGGTTTCGTTGCCTGGAGGTGCGGGGGTGATTGTGAGCCGTCTAGATAATAAAGTACCGCCCAGTAACATGCCAAATATATCGACTAGACTTATGCTTCCATTCTGTTGATAGTATCGTTGGATGACACCATGTAAAATGATTTTACTATTGTGGCGTGATGCATTTAGAACCGTTAAAAAGTTTGACAAATTGGCAATATGGGTATGGATTCGACTGGAAAGATGGGTTTTAAGTGTAGAGACGGAAGCGTTGGTCAAAGGGCTATAGAATTGCGACATTGCCCAGGTGGAACCGGATACACCTAATAAAAAGAAATGTTTAACAAAATTCTTATTTTAGATAAGTTGCTTATTACGTAATATTTTACCTGCCATATATAATACACAATCCAGAATACCTGTTTCATTCATAGCGTGTAGGTAACCTGAACATCCCACCATCGCTCTATATCCACCACCACTGTATTAGAGAGATAGTTAATATGATGTTCCACTTTCACTTCAAGTATATTCCTTACCTTGACGCAACACCAATATTGGGTATATCTTCTATATCCACTTCGTGTTCATCGACGCCGATAAAAAAGGCAAAAGCGGCTCTCATTTTTAATTTTCTTATCCTTGTAAACTCAATTTCTTCGTCAGATAAACCTTGGCCTTCCCTTACGTAAGCATCCATTGTTATTTCGGGATGTAAGACTGGATCATCATCCTCTTCCAAAGATTCCTGTACAATTTTTCTAAAGTCTTCCAGAGACAAAAACTCCCAGAAAGAGTTGTACATTTCCTTAATGGTCTCGATCTGGCTTTCAAAGTTAGGATAAAGGGAAGACAGTTTTGATTGCAACTCTTCAAAAGTGGTCGGGATGATACTTGGTATATAGTCTGAAGGATTAATTGAAAAGAGATTGGATAAAAAGTCGTCAGTTGATGTATCCCTAGTCATGGGCAAAGCAGCCAAGAAATCATTGTATAGTGAGTTGTCGTCTGTGTTTAATATTTCTTCTTTTGTCTTTTGCTCGTCCCCGTCTTTGGGCTTTTTGGTTGGTTCTTTGACCGATAATAGACAGTGCCTAGCACTGAGACAGTAATGAGCGTAGCTAAAGCTACTCTTGATCGTGTTGAAATTACTCCGGTTACTAGAGCCGAATTCTTTGGTGACATAGTTGTGAAATAGACTGAAAATAATCTAAACGAGAAAAGAGAGGAAAGACAAAAAAACAGGGGCCATTCTAAAATCTGTTAATGCTAAAAAAGAAAAAAAAAATTATGACAATCATGACGACATTGTTGTTACACAAGACGTGGTTGGTGCAACGTGCCCAGTTTTATCTCAGTCAGAATTCGGAACAGGCACAACATGGTTTCAGTTTTAGGTACAGTGCCTTCGCCCCCAATTGGACACTTTTTTTTTGGATCCAACAGGCCTGTTAGCCAGCTAGACTAAAGACATAAAACTCATCTGGTTAGATTTCTTTTGATAATAATGCTTCAGAACGCAGTAGAGAATTTGACAGCAGCATTTACCGGTCTACATATAAAAAAAAACACGAGTGGTCGAGTTAATGAGGGAAGAACGCAACTTACGCGTCAAAGTTGTTAGCCGCCACCCAGTTGGTAGAGATAAAAAAGAAGTCGTAGTTGTGGTTCGTCTTAGTGCCTTCAGCTAGGGGAGTCTCGCACACCGTCATTGGTGCTATTTCCGCTATCGGTGTTGCTAACTGGGGCACGAGAGAATCTGGAAATATTAAGAGAGAAGCAAAGAGAAAGGCACCTCAGGATAAATTATATATTACAGAAGGTACTACTGGTGGTCATTATCTTCAATTTCTAAGCGACACCATATGGATATCATGGAAGGGTTTCCGGAAATGAAAGGTTATTTCAGTATTATAGGTAATGCTCCAATTCACGTACCTGGGGGTAATTGACCCTGTGATTGTAAAAGAGGCTATTGTCCCGTATACCTTCCTTAATTTTTTCCCCATCAAATATGCTTTAGTATCAGTACATGCTACTACTGAAACGCTGATAGACTACTACCGCGTTCTGGAATTTTTTCGAAAATGCTTCTATTTTAAGTAAAGGCCTGGATGATTAATTTAAGATATTTTGCCTATCACAACCGAACCATACTTGCTCTTACTTCTTTTCTTTTCTTCCTTTCTTTGTTTTTTTATTCCTTCTTTTTTCTCTTTTCTTCTTTTTTTTTATAAAGACTGACTTGAAAAAATCTTAATCAATAAGAACCATTCATTAATTTTCGAGATCTTATACTGTAAACATCTTTTTTTGATTAGTAACATACTTACTTTGAACAGTCTCAATAAAACCTTTTCTATATCAACTTTCTCTGTTGTATAAATATATAAGAAACCATCCTTATCTAGAACTATTCTATATATTTCTGACCTTGTGTGAACATCTATTATTTCCATAATCAGAAACAGTACACCGTACCTGGATTGATGCCCGATCTCAACGATGGCCGTAGTTGGGATCGATTCAAATTGGATCTTGCTGATAAAGTGCCATTTGTATCCCAATCCGATTACAACTTGATGCTGACCGTCTATTGTGATTGGTTTTAGCCATTTGAAAATATTGTGTATAGCTGTGGTGCTATATACTTGACAATCCCAATTTACCGATTTGATTGCTGTTTTTAATACAGTTAATGGTGTTACAGACGATGAAGAGACAAACGTCTTTTATGCGCCTAAATAAAAAAAAATTAAAGTCAAGTAAAGAAGACTAAATCATACCAGCCAAATATTTCACCTGTTAATTACATACCCATCCATAATAATTACCATCAATTATTTCTAAATTTCATATCTACTTATCTTTAATTTCTTATGTAAAAGACCAATTACATATACTCCAATTCTATAAAAATGATCTTAATGACTATGGACAATAACCCATCCCCCCTTTTTTCTTTCTCTCATGATAATATCTTTATAACGCCTACTGACATGTTGACCACTCACATAATAATTAGGTCGACCATACTATTCTTAAGGATCATCATGAATAAATTAAACGCTGAGTCGCTTTCCTTGTTATTCAAGTAGATGAAGATGTCGATAAAGACATATGAGTAATTGTGGGTTTGAAAGTAAGAGTGTTAAAGTCAAATTACTTCACCAAGGTACAATATAAGATACTGTTAGTTATTGGGGCATTACTTGTTTCTTATGCTGATATCAAAAGAGCTGTCTCTCATATAACCAAGTGGGTCCGGCTCTGTGGCATAACTACACACAATAACTGCTTGCATACTGGCGATGTACCTTCCGTGCTCTATTTATAGGATGGATTTTCTTATGTTCATTAGAAATTGGTGTCTACTATATGGGTACTTGAATTTTAACAATCGGATCTGAAAGACTGAGAATAATGTTTATCGTATACGATAAGTCGGTAAGCTTTAGAGCATAAAAAAAATGTCTTGGCTACTATCAATTAATGTGTATAATCACAACACATTATTAATCCAGAACTACGGAATTCACATGAACTAAAAGGATGCACTAATGAATTAACCAGAAACATGTTGTTCCCTTTCTGTCATAATAAGTATCAATTAACGAAGAAAATGGTGGCCTATTAGGACTTTTGCTATAGAATCCTATTACCGCTCGCAAGGGTAGACTTATATATTTACAGGTAAGATTCGTATCTAATCCGTCTAATAAAACTAAAACAAAAGATACAATCTATCTCAAGTAAAGAATGTTCTCCATCATCTAGATTCACCACATTGTATGTCTGATTTGGATTATCGTGCAACCTAAACTATCACACTCACACGATGCAAAAGTAAGCTTTTTTTTTTGTAGCTCCTTTTATGAAAGAATACGCAGCCCAAGACATTGTTAGCTTTCAAGTGCTTCAGCGTGATTTGCTTACCAATGAAACCGTCATTATTTCCAGCGATGGCCAAAAGGTCACATTGAAGACAGGCGGTCCTTACACCGTGGAAGATAAGCATGACATTTATGTAGGCGATATTTGGGTCATGGCCGGCCAAAGCAATATGCGGGGCCATGGCTTTCTCAAAGAAGCGTTTGGCAAAAAAGATGAATCCGAAAAGATGCCTGATCATGTGCATTTGTTTGACTCTACAGAGACATGGCGTGTTGCTAGTGATCCTACCCACCGCCTCTCCCTGTCGAAACGTAGTGTGCATCATACTTTGCCCGATCCCACAGTGCGTAACCCAGATATCTGCAAGTATCGCGGTGCATCTTTGGGGCCCTCTTTTGGTTTACACTATGGTATTCCGGTGGGCTTAATTGCCAGTGCTCATGGTGGTGTGACATTAAACGATTGGAAGCGGCCTTCCGAGCTAAATACAGAGACACGCAATGCTACGCTTTATGGTGCCATGATGGACCGTATCCAAAAAGTGGGTGCTATTGCTGGTGTCTTATGGTATCAGGGTGAATCTGATACGGAAGACATAAACAATGCAGAATCTTATGGGGATCGATTCCGACAATGGTTATGTATGCTCCGTGCTGATACACGACCCGATTTACCCGTGGTTGTTGTTCAATTAGGTTCACATAGAGTCGATATTGTCGACACAGTCAAGAACTGGAAGACAGTCCAAGATCAACAAAGGCAGTTGCAGGATAATTATACAGCATGTATCGGTAGTATTGATTGTGGATTAGATGACCGCGTTCATTTGTCAAAGGACGGATTATATATACTAGGAAAACGACTAGCTAGAGCAGCCAATTTAGTTCTCAAGGGGAAAACAGACGATGTGACACCTTCACCTAAATTAGCTACATATGAAGAGATAGTTTACGTTCCAAAGTTCGCATCCATCCATTCGATTAAACTCGAGTTTAATTTACCAGAACACTTCAGATTTGAATGCAATGGAGATGTAACTGGATTTGAAATAGAAAGTAAAGCGGTTATATTAAGGTCACGTATAGAAGATGATAAGAAATCGATTCGACTTTATTTATCAGGTAATCCTAAGGAAGGATGTACTGTTAGCTATGGAATGAATCAACAGGCGAACCTGAATCATGGGCAAGATTGTATTTTGCCAGTCTTTCGAGGTTTAGTGGTAGATAAAATTCAGATGTTATAATTAAAGCATTAGGGTATTAATATTATCATTAAGAATAATATCTGATACAGAAACCATAACATGCTGAAGTAATTTGGTATCAGTCGCATCTGTGTTGTGAGCATACACTTGTTTGCTGGGATTTTGGTTTAATCGCTGGAATCGTTTTCTGAAAAACATGCTCGTCTGTTCAAAATCACTGTCATCTCCTTTGAAATCAGGAAACCATTTGGAGACGGGGGAGACAAGAATCTTTTGCTTAAAGATGTCAATCTTGTTTAGAAAGAGGATCATGGAGGTATTAATGAACCAAGGGGAGTTACATATGGTGTCAAACAGCATTAAGCCTTCCTGCATCTGATTCGAGTTTCTATCTTCAATCAAACATTGATCGTAACCACTAATGGCTACAACAAATAGGATAGCTGTGACGTTTTCAAAGCAATGTATCCACTTCTTTCGTTCACTTCTCTGTCCACCCACATCAAACATTCGATAGGTTAAGGGACCTATGTGAAATATAGTCTCTACAATGCCGGTTGTTTTAGCTCTACATCGAATTATATCTTGATCTGATGGAATATAGTCTGGTTCCCAGAATTTGTCGAGTTGATCGAAAAAGCTAAAAAAAAAAAAATTAACTTTCTTTTTAGATGTGCCTAACCAAAAATAATTACTAGGATGCATTGTCGTGTAACGCAAACATATTTCCTTTTTCTTTGGCAGCTTGGATACCAGCGTCTTTCCATAGTGATTTTAACGGCTGAAGATATTTTATTGGGTAAGGCTGGTTTCTTTTTAAGACTTGTGGATTTTGAAACAATGGAATATATTCCTAAGTAGTTGTAAGTAAAATAAAACAAAGGTCGTTTTGGTTCTACCGAAGAAAGGGACGTAAACTCACGCTATTTGACTCATGTTCTAATGGTATATGTAAATGCTCAATGATTTCGAGCAAGATTTGCATGGCCAGCATAATATTTGCAAACACAATGACCCGAAAACTTTCTCTTTCACTTGAGTCAAAACCAGAAGCATGTATTAACCTCATTTGCTTAATGACGGTAGACTTTCCACTTTCTCCATTACCTTTGAGGAATCAGGGTTAATATATGATTTTCTTTTGCTGCAAAAGAAGTATACCTAGCAGTAGAAGTTTGACCTCAGTTCGTAGCTTCTTTTCGTCTGCTTTGATTTGTCGGTCTATCATTTTATTTGCCTGTACATCGGGGTTGCTTGGACCCTCCGCAGAAGTATTGCTGGCACAGTTTCCCATTCTTGGAAAAGGGTTAGGAATTTTTTTTCCCTCTCTGAGGTTTTGATAATCATTCTCATAACTTTAAAATTTAAACCCGAAAGTCTTGATGAAAAAGCCACTTTAGTGTTATTATTACTTTTGTGGTAAATATTTTCTCTTTGTCATTGTTCATAAATTAGTGTACATATGGGATCGTAGTGATAGCATTGCTGATATACATTTTTGGCTTGTTTTTTTTGCCTATAACAACTACACAATTTACAAACTACATCTTATATTCGTACGGAAAATAATAGCGAACACGCTTTTAATTTATCAAAAACCATATATGGGCATATCTTTAGCAAGGCACATTTTTTTTACGGAGGGATACAATTTATGTCAACCCCCAATTGCTATTCCAACGTTAGCGTACACAAGATCTTTCATTTTGCACCTATTTGACACTTTGAGATTAGAAGGTGAGGCGGATCAAGTACCGCTTATTGTGTGATACTAATGAAATTAATGGGATTAAAATTTTTGATTAGAGGATTGTCATCTTCATAGATTGATTATTCTGGAAGAATCTGCTTAATTATATCGAACCAAATCGTTCGAAATAAATGATTTATCTCCCCTGTGAACCATCTTCTAGAAAAGTCTGGAATGGTATAACAAGCGTGAGCTTTATATTGTCAACACGGTTAAGGATATGATATAACATTTTTGTTAAATCATTAAATCAAGAGAGAGTTAAGTTTAACCCACTCTGATATTCTCAAGCAGAGAAAATCATCACATATGATTCACTTTTAACTAAATGCATGATACAGTATATTATGAGTTCACTATCCTGATGTTTGAATAATCTGTCGCATGAAAAGGGCACGCATATATCTTTCTAAGCCACTGTGAGTGTGCCTTACTCATTTTTTTTTACAACCCCGGGGTTGGTTTCTCTTTGTGTTTTACTAAAAAAAAAAGCCTTACATTAAGAAAAAGAGCACCATGATGTCTCGACCTTTGTCCAAACAACTTTTAGAGAAAGCGAGGGTGGTTCTTGTTAAAAGGCCATTGACGACGAATGCAGCAGCGGTAGTTACAGAATCGGCCAAGAGCAAAGCGAAAAGACTTGTGTTTGACAGCCGGTCGCCTTCTTTACAAGATTTTCTTGCACAACGTCAGATACCTAATGCGAAACCGGTTGATTCGGCATTAGCCAGACCTGATCAGGTTCCTTACCTTCAGGCTCAAGGACAGCAGTTAGGACGAGGACGAAAGTTTTATATTGAAGTGTATGGTTGTCAGGTACGGCCCTTCCCCATATATTTTGACAGCTGTTTTTAGTAATTGATGATGGGGGGTGTCAAGTATAGATGAATGTCAATGATACCGAGATTTTAAATTCCATCATGACGAAAACTGGATTTGAACGCACGGATAATTTGGATGAAGCCAATGTTGTATTTCTCGTCACTGTAACGTAATTTTATCTTTGAATGATGTCTATGCAGGAGCGATTAATTCATTGAGTTTAGTGCGCTATTCGAGATAATGCAGAGGTTAGAATTTGGGATAGACTCAAGTATTTGCGACACTACAAGACAAAGATCAATGTGGACAATCCACCCATTGTGGGTGTGTTAGGTGTAAATATCCCATATTTTAAAGATCCGTATTGAAAAAAAAATTCATGCAAAACTTTAGTGTATGGCAGAAAGACTCAAGACCAAGTTATTAGAGGAGGATCGACTTGTGGATATTGTTTGTGGTCCAGATGGATATAGATCGATTCCTCATCTAATTTCGCTGGCTGAAGATGAATATGACGGTGGTGTAGCTAATGTCATGCTTTCGGCGGATGAGACCTATGCGGATGTGATGCCTATGCGATTAGATACTAATAGTGTCTCGGGTTGGGTCTCCATCATGCGAGGATGTAATAATATGTGCAGTTTTTGTATCGTCCCTTTTACTCGAGGAAACGAGAGAAGTAGACCCATTGATACCATCTTGGACGAGGTGAGATATTTAAACGATCAAGGTGTGAAAGAAGTCACTGTTCTTGGTCAAAATGTGAATTGTAATGTACAACTTTTAAAAGCAACATCATCCATTTTTGTTGACCAAGTTTTTGTTTTACTAGCTTACAGAGATGAATCGGAATCCAAGCATTTCATGGCCAGAGAAAACACTGGTGCCAATCTTAGTAACGATGGTTTCAAGACCATTTATAAACGTAAAGAAGGTGGAAGACGATTTACCGAGCTTTTAGATAAAGTCAGCTTGATCAATCCCGAGGTAATATGAGCACTTCATTCCTTTTTTTGTTTTGTTTTTTTAAAGCCAAAATTAGATGCGTATCCGATTTACGTCGCCTCATCCAAAAGATTTCCCCACCGACTTATTACACCTGATTGCATCTCGACCTAATCTGTGTAAATCCATTCATATGCCCATCCAATCCGGAAGCAACAGTGTGCTTGAAAGAATGCGTCGTGGGTACACGCGGGAAGCGTACCTGGACCTTGTTGCAGAAATGAGAAGGATTATTCCGGATGTATGGATCAGTAGTGATTTCATCACAGGATTCTGTGGCGAGACCGAAGAGGAGCACCGAGATACCGTGCGTCTGATGGAACAAGTGAAGTATGATACTGCATTTATGTTTGCATACAGCATGAGAGAGAAGACACATGCTCATCGCCGTTATCTGGACGATGTGGATGAAAAGGACAAATCAAGACGTCTTCAGGAAATTGTCGATACGTTTCATTCACAAGCTTCTGTTAAAAACCAAGGGTTGATTGGTACGAAACAGTTAGTTTTGATTGATTCAGATAGACCCAAGACGAAATACGGGGTAGAGACAAAAGTGAGTGGTAAATCAGACGGAGGTCATAAAGTGTTTATCCAACAGGAGAGTGGGGCCAATGAATTAAAGAAGGGTGATTATGTGCAAGTAGAGATTAAACATGCTACCAGTGCTAGTTTAACGGGCAGATCACTTGGCTTGAGTAGTATTGCTCAATTTACTCAGCAACAAAGAAGGGGATATGCAACTTTCCGTCGTCATGAGGGGAGGCAACTCTATCGTACATTTTTAAAGGCGGGTAATGCGGTTGTATCCACACCTCAATCGAAACGTAATATGAAGTCGTTGATTCGTGAAGGGTTTACAAGCGATCGATTCGCTACGGATGCTCGTATAGATGTCAAGGTGAAAAACACACTTGAATTATTACGCATTGCAGCCACTCGAAAAGGACTGGAACGTGATATTGTAAATAACCTTTGTGAATTGAAGTATGACGAAGACAAGTATAATAAAAGGTATAAAAATAAAATAGAATGCTGTTAGCGATGATAAAACTAACCTTTTATAACAAAAGACCACCGTTCTTTAATAGAAACTTATCAAGTCAATTAAAAGCCATGCATTATGCATCCAGAGAAGAGCTTAATTTGACAATTGATATTTTGAATAAGGATTTAGATTTATGTTTGCTTTAATAAAAAAGGCCTATGATTTTTTTTTTCTGTCGTCCGGGAAGAGATTTAACTGACAATGAATGTCGATAAGCTGAGTTCTATCTTTTGTGCTTTTTGTACACTGCCGGGGAAAAATAAGGTCTTAAGAATCATGACTTGGAACACCATGGATGAATAGACTCTAAAGATGTGTTTTCTTTGTCAAGCGGTCAATATGGAGTGAGGGAGAAAAGAGGGTAAATCATTACACAAGATGGAAAGAACGTAGAAAAATTTAAACTCAAATTGTACTTTAGGTTGATTTGTGTGAGATATTTTTTTTCCCGGATCACGGGCAGATAACAGTTAAACATTTCCTTTTGAGTGTTATTTTTTTTTTAAGTTTTTTTTTTATTTTTTATATATCTATGAGTTTTTGTAAAATATAAAGATGGAGGGGGGGATGATTAATAAGTTTTTTTTAGAAGACTTTAGTAATAGTAAAGTTCCTTGGGTTCACGACCACGAACAACAGAGGGTTCAGAACCAGGTTGATAGATGTTGGTATGGAATTCGGCCAAAGCAGGCTCAGGGGCAGCTTCAGCTAACTTGAGAGCTTCATCGACAATCTTACGAGCTTCCTTATCAATGACCTTGAGATCAGCTTCGGTAGCAACACCGTGTTCGAGCAAGATATGCTTCATACCAGTGATGGGGTCTGAGGTAGAACGCATGTGTTGAATCTCTTCACGAGTACGGTAGGTGGTTCCAGGATCAGACATGGAGTGACCACCATAACGATAAGTAGCCAACTCCATCACAAGAGGACCCTTACCAGAAACAGTCCATTCCTTGGCCCATTGACAAGCTCTGTAAACAGAGAGAACATCCATACCATTGACCTTAATACCGGGGATATAATCACCACGCTTGAAGTATTCAGTAGAGGCGGAAGAACGGTTGGCAGCAGTACCCATACCGTACTTGTTGTTCTCACAGACAAACACACAGGGAAGATCCCAAAGCTTAGCCATGTTGAAAGCTTCGAAAACTTGACCCTGGTTAGAGGCACCATCACCATAGAGGGAGAAAGTGACGGAAGGGTTTTCGAGGTACTTTTGAGCAAAGGCAATACCGGCACCGAGAGGAACCTATAAAAATAAATTTTTTGTTTAATAAATCACTTTTCTATGCCCTTTTTAACCCGAAATTTCCTTGTTATTTACCTGAGCACCGACAATACCGTTACCACCGTAGAAGTTCTCGGTAAACATGTGCATAGAACCACCCTTACCCTTGGAGATACCAGTCTTACGACCCATCAATTCAGCCAAGATGCTTTCAATGGAACCACCACGGAGCATGGTGAAACCGTGACATCTGTAAGCAGTAATGACATGATCTGTTTCCGTAATAGCGGCTTCCATGCCAACGGAGACAGCTTCCTATAAAGAAAATTTTTTGTTAGAGAGTCGGTCAATAAAAAAATGTGACATCAAACGCGGGGTTCATTTACCCAACATCCCCCGCGTTTGCCCGTTGCAACCCAAATCCCACCTAATCCCACCCCCAACCAAAAAAAAAAAAAAAAATCATAACAAAAAAAAAAAAAAAAAAGGGGGAAGAAAAAAAAAAGATAGATGCTTTACCTGACCGTTACATAAATGACAGAAACCACGAATCTTCTTGGCCTTGTAAAGACCATCAGCAGCCATCTCCATACGTCTCATGGTGGTCATCTTGGTGTACATATCGAGTAATTCATCCTTGGAGATCTCGACTTCTAAGCTGGGCTTTTCAGCGTTGAACATCTCGAAAGAAGACTCGGGCAAAGTGATGGTCAACTTATCAGAGAAACGAGGCATGCTGGTAGCAAAAGTACGCTAATATTCATATCAGTAAATAATCTTTTTATCTTCTTCTATTGTATATAATTTGTTACCATGGGAGCGAAAGCGGCCACACGCTTAGCAGCGAAGAGACGGGTAGCTGAACGAAGCATTTATAAAAGAAATAAAGATGCAAAAGAAAAAAGGGAAATAATAAAAAAATTTTAGATTATTATATCTATTTTTTTTTCGAGGTCCCGGAAAACTTAAGAGTTTTTTGGGGATTTAATGGGTTTTTTTAATTGGCTGTAAATTTCACTCCGGCAAAGAAAAAAAAAAAAAAAAAAAAAAAAAAAAAAAAAAAAAAACTAAATATCTAATTCATCTGTTTCTACCTCCTCCTCTTCTTCCTCTTCCTCCTCCATATCATACATCTCGTCCTTGAGGAACTCGAGGTTTTCAGGATTTAACTTCAAATACAATCGATTCAAAGTATCCAAATCATTCTCCAGATCCAACATCTCATCATCCTTATTGGAGAAACGTTCCTCAACAAACGGCAACTGAGCAACATCAATGGGTTTAGGACCAAACTCAAGCCATTCCGCACGGCCAATCTCTTCCTCTTCTTCAGTATACTCGTATACAGGACGATAGTTAATGGGCTGCACTGCATCCTTGATCAATACCGGAGGTTTGGGCGTCTTGGCGCCCATGGGGAATTCTTGAGGTTTATCAGGTGGTCCATCCACACGACAAAAGAACTCTTGAGGATCAAACGTGCCAAATGTACGCGGGCATGTAGAGATATGAGCATGATATTTGCTTGCAATGTCCTCCAAAATATCCAGAGACTGTACCTGGCCCCATAAATCTAATACCGGTAAGTTTTCAAATAGGGGTAAACTTCCGTTGGGTAATTGGGACAAGATGGTGTCGCGTTGCATCAAAGGCACCATAAATGTGCCGATCACTGACGATCTCTTCTCCGATTTGACATGAGTACCGAACTCTACATGGTTGGTAGAGAACGCTTCAAAGCCTTGGAAATTAGGATAGAGCATGACAGAGGCACGTAAATAGACCATCTCGATAAAGTATTTCTTCCATGATTTCTTCCATTTATCGGATCGACTACCTGGTACACTAATCAAACGTTCCGTATGGTCCTTGGGTAAATTAAGATCATTTAAGCGTGTTACCAAGTACGAATGGAACTCTTTCCAATGTTCGGGAAAGTAAACACCACCCCAACTACAAGGAATTTGACTGGCATAAGGCACATGTTCAGGGTATCCTGCGGGTAATAAAACATCGTTGGGATCAAACGTAACACGACCGGCAGGCACCAATTCCAGATTACGAGGTGCATAAAGACTAATACCGTACATTAATCGATACGCATCGCTGTTACCACTGTATCTGTATTTTAAAATAGCATATTTCGACCAGACATAAAATAAGGGTGACACTTCAATATCATCCTCCAAAAGAACAGCGTATTCATCATTGTTGCTAGGATACCATGATTCAACAATGGCTGGCATCAATCCTCCCTTACGAATACGGTGACGGATCATCTTTTGGCCTTGACGCCACATGAAACTATTGACTAACATGCGAGTTACGCGATCCGCCGATTGTTCCATATGCACAGTCAAATCCACTTGGTCTCCCACATACACCGATTTAGCGGCAGACTGTAAAAGACGGGACAAAGAATGGGGTCTTCGGTCAGTGATTACTACCAGCTTAATACGAACCTGGTTCCAGTCTATGTTTTTTGAGATAAATGAGAAAAAAAAAGCTATAGAAGATTGACAATGACTTACATTGTAAAGCGTCCAAAGAAAGATCAGGAATCCATAAAGCATGAACAATCTCCTTTTCAGGTAACCCAATTTCCGTAATTTGATACATTTTGGCAATCGATTGAATAGCATGATACATGGGAGATAAGTGTTGGATTTGAATCAAGACACGAGGCTGAACTACTTTGACCAATCTTCCAATACTAGTATCCTCAAAACCTTCCTTGATGGCAGTGAAATCATGCACATGAACACCGCCACAGTTTGTTTCTTTCAATGCATGTTGCACACTTTCCATCGTCAAGTCCCCCAATATCACCAAATGCACAGGATAGTTCCTGAATCGACATAAAAGAGGATGCAAAGAGATCAATTGTTTGGATCCTTGGGCTACGACCATGGCACCATGCTCTGTCAAGTCTCTGTATTGCAATACAGTAGGGTATCTGTTTTTCGAAACCAACTCTCTCCATACGTTGTTGCTTAACCAAGACTCTTGAACCTTTTGACATACAGCTTTGTTGGAATTCGTAATTCGATCCTCTACAAAAGTAGGGAGAACGACGGTAGGTACATTCAACTGTTGATCCAGGTTCAAGCTAATGTAATAACCCAGTGGTAAACTTAAGGCATCAAAGCTCAAATCGGCCATGATAAAGGGTAACCAAGACTTTTGTAAAAGCCAGGAACCCAAGAGCATATCGACAGGTTGTGCTTTATCCACAGGTAATCTGTCATCAATTGGCAAACAAAAGTTTTCTTCTTTGGACAAAACCAATCCTCTAGTTCCGATCAATGCATTCTTGTAATCGTCTAATGGGTTGACATAAAAGAGATATTCTAATTCCTTTAATGAATACGGTGAAGGTGCGATGGTTTCGTCCATGATGTAGACATACTCGGTCTCGATGTCTTCTGGGTTAAGGGCTTGAAGCCAGACGGAAGCACCCGCAGTGCCAGGCGCGAATGTGCTGGCGTGGGTGGATCGATCCAGCACGGTTGCTTTGATATGAGCCGCATCACGAATCTTTTCGTCAATCATGGGTTTATACTGAGAAGAACAAACGATGGAGATTTGTAAAGTGATATCTTCTGTCCAGTCCAAAACTGCATCTAATTTGGAAAAAGATTCTTTGGAATAGATGGGTAAAAGAATAGTAACAGCTCGTTCACTTTTAGGTGATCCACTTGTCAAAAGTGCTTCATAGGTGTGTCCTTCAGTGGTGTAGGATCTTAATTGGTCCAAATAGCCTTCACTGTTGTTATAAATCGAATTCGATATCACCCAAGGATTACTTTCTACGTCGGCAACAGCCAATACAGTAAGTAAAAGACACGCATGGGTTTTTTATAAGTTCTCACCTTCATCCCAGGTTGTGTTGAATTCTGTAAATGGAATCTCTTCTAGATTGAGTGTGTCATTATCATCTGGCTTGGCATCACTTAATGTTGTAACTCGTGTGGTATAAAACTTTGGTAGAAATACAACTAAGCTTGTACTTAGTAGTATAAATATCACTATAAGTTTGATAAATTGTTTCGGCGAGCGTAACCAGGCCATTACTCAAAGTGTATGTATATATGTATAAGAAAAAGAAAGAGTGTTAAATAGAAAAAAAACAAACCATTAGCTCGTAAATTGGTTTGCCCCGGAGTTCATTCCATTTCGAATTCCGCTTTTTAGGCTATTTTCTGACTATACTCGGCCATTTTGTTCATGATGATTTCCAGAAAAAATACTTGGGTTACTATGTATGAAAAGTAACTGCTGCTATTCAATGTTTTATAATTAAACTTCTTTGCTACAAAAAAAGTGGCGACAAGCTAACGAAGGCGGTCATGCAATGTTCAGATTATTATTGGCCTAAAAAAAGGGATAATGAAATATGATAGCCAGTGATTTAAATTACGCTTTTCTTAGGGACAGCCAAATTTTCCTTAGGGACAGCCAAAGTGCACGTAGTCGCAACGTAAGATCTGTGATTTGGATGTTCTGTAGACCTGGGAACAAGGATATACAATCAAAGACAATGTAACAATTACGAATAAATGTATATTAAACTATTTATACTTATTTTGGCAATTCTATCATCACTCTTTCGCCTATGAGCTCCTTTGATCATAATCTTACGCAGAAATATTAAGGTAAAGTCCAAACGAGAAGCTGAAAGTAAGCTGTAAAACACATATACTAGTTTAAACTATGTTGGTTATAATAAATGTGTATATATTTCAAGTTGTTAAGTTATATTGACCTCTTGATGTCTATAAAAGTATCATAATCTCAACACTACGACTACGCGCACCCTGGCTATCCCTAAGAAAATTTGGCTGTCCCTAAGAGACCCGTTTAAATTATTCTTTGTGTTGAAATTTACATGGTACGTGGTATCTATTATCAATGCGCACATTTAACAAAATGGGGTTAGGTGGCAACAATTCAAAATTTGTACTCTGGAAAGTTTTATTTACGTTACATCTCGTATACCAGATTGGAATAAGATCAGGTTTAGCCGACTAGCTCCCTGTGATGTATCGCATTATAGATAACAGATATATATATGTATAGCGCGGCAGCTTTAATATGAGCATTTAATTTATCATTCATGCTAAAGAGTGGCACCTAGTTCAATACAAAACTAGGACGTCTTAATAAGTTGTTCGAAAGACAGGAAACTCAGTGTGTCTAAAGGAGAGATGTTCATAAGCTATTTTTTTTTTTATTTTATTATCTGAAAAAAAAAGACCTTACAAGTTCATATAAAGTTGTGTTTATCAGGGTGGGTGATTTCACCGAAAACAATCTCAACGGTGACGACAAGAAGCTGGTCTCCTCGGTCTGTGTTTGTGCATCCACACATTTCTTATTGGGAAAGATGATAGCCTTCTTGGTTTGATTTCCTCCATTTTTGACGTTTGGCTTGTTTGTTTGGGTTTGAGCATTTTTCGTGTGCTTTGTATTTTTTTTGGCTAGATTTTTGCTGGAGGAAGTAAAGCTGGATTTTACATGGTTGACAACTTGTCTAGTTTCTTCTTCGCTCATTGTGGTGATATGTAAAGGGTCATTCCCGTTCTGGTAATGTTTTTTTGTATGCCACTGTTTTTGAGTCCTATTTGTGCGTCTGATCTCATTTTTAAGTGTTGTTGTTTGGTTCATTATCACAGGTTATAATGTTTGATTAACAAAAAGAAAGAAAGAAAAGTAAACTGTTGACGTTTTTAAGAAATTTAATGCTTATTTTTATCTTGTTCGTCACTTGAATAATAATAAAACAGGATTGATGGATAAGATATTATTTATTGTGATAGATATATGTATATAGATATATAAATTTTACGTGTCAATCTGTCTTTCTAAACGATCAAGACGTTCACGAAGTGTATCCAACATGTTGTGATATTCTTGAGGTCCAATATCATTTTGGGACCTAACGATGGTTGGGGGAGTTTGCAATTCCTCATGCTGCTCCGTGCCCTCTCTCTTTGAAAACGCCACTAGGTCTTCCGCCGCTGCACGTTCTTCTCGTGTAGCACTTGGTAAAGGCGAAGGTAAGGACGTTGTATGTTGATAGTTCAATTCGGGTTGTCTCTGAAGTTGCTTCTTGATAGGTGAAATACCCGATGCACGGTCTAATTTCGCCTCAATCGCTTCAACTCGACGCACCATACTCTCCATCGTCTGTTCCACTTGTGACATCATTTCCCATTGTGCTTCTTTAACTTGGTTTCGAACTAGCCCTTCAATGGTAGTGGCAGATGTTTGTAAGGTCTGCATGAGGGATGAGGATCGTCTGATTTGATCATCCAGTGTACTTTTTAAAGTGCGCGTGGTCTCAATCGTATCAAATAAGTGTTCAAAAGGTTGAAGATATTGTTGGCGCTGAAGAGCAGCAAATGAATTGGTAGTAGGTGTCTTCGGAGGTAAAGGTACGCTAGCTGCATTCACAGCCAGTGTTGATTCGTGGTTTCTTTGGTAAGACGAAGGTTGAGGTTTGGTGGTATGAGGATGATGGCCACCATAAAGTGAAGGTGATGCGATATATTGCTGATATAGTTTGTTATCTCTGCTCGTAGGATGTGCAGAGCGAGGGGGCTGTTGTTGAGAAGGCACGATAGGTGGAATAGCAAATTCGTGTCTTCTGGGGGAAGGTTGATGTGTAAAAGGAGCTCTAGCAATGGTTGCAGATGCAGGTGCTATATTATGTGGCGTGGAACCAACTGCAGGGCCGTGGTTTGCTGTATGTATGTGAGTAAAATAAAGTTTACATGTATGCAGGTAAATTGCTTACCATAATTAGATCTTGTATTCTGCTGAGCCGGTTGGTTTGGTAAAGGTCTATTGAAATTCGAATTAATGGGTGCTGATCGCACGCCAGTCAATTGTTCATTGTAGGAGGGTGCAAAGATGGTCAAGTTTAAAGAGTTCTTGTGTTTTATAGACAATCTTTTACTACTGGATGGTACAGGTGCAGCAGTATCCTCCATTTCGCTCACTGGATGAGATTGTATTTTACGGATTTGTCTTGAAAGTGGTGCACTATTATTTCCAGCGGTAACGGCGGATAATGAGTGAGGTCTTTTGTTATCTCGGTCCGACTCTATACTTTGCGAACCAGTACCAATTCGTTGACGTTTATTAGGTGACTCAAGTAAGCTATCGATGCATGCATTCTTATTAGCAATTCTCCAATACCCCCCCCCCCCTTCTCCTTTCTTATTCTCTCTTTGTTACCTTTGTCTTTTTAATTCATTTGAGCTCAAAAGCACCTTGTCTAAAGCCATAGCGTTTCTTGCTTCGGGTATAACTTGATGAATATTTGGAGGTGAAATCGGTTCAATTTTGATGGTTCTGTCAATGACATCCTCCATATTTTCCAACGGTAACTGAACCGATTCCCAAATATGTTCTTCCTTGGGAGCTCGTTTGAATTGAGGAAAAGTTTGAAGGATGGCATCGGCAAGGCCAAGATTGTAGTCATTGGGCTTTAATTTACAAAGCTCAGCAAGCAAATGACGATTGAATTGATGAGCTAAATCGCCCAGCACGTTTGTATCCAAATAGGTGTCTTCGCCGTCTCGAAAGCAATTTTTGTAGGTGGCTTTTTTAAATGAAAATGTGGGAATATTAAATAGCGGTTTGATATCTGATAATCTGTACAATAGGACGTCAGTCTCTGGCAGCCGAAATAAAATAAATGGCTTGTTGTGTTCAGAGTATCTTCCCAGTAATTGACTAAGCACCTTCATTCAATAAAGTAGGTTTTAAAAATAAATAAATAAATAAAAAGGAGAGTAGTAAAAAGGTAAAATTACTAGATACAAAAAAAGGAGCCTTCTATAAATACAGTGTGTGTCTCAAACGCCAATCGGCGGATTTCCAAATTGCGGTTCGTTAAGTTTTCTTTATGATTTATCAACTCCTTTGATTAGTGCGTTTTTCTTACTTAAGATTTTAAGAAAGACTGACTATCAAACATTTTAATGTATCTACTTATGTGCCTGATGTGAGTAAGGACATTCGATAGATCAGGTAAAAAAAAAGTACAAGAGAGCCAAGTGACCACGTTTTCTAATTATAAACCAGTAGTTTGGAACAATCCAATGGAAAGCCAGGTATTTAGATCTGTAATGAAGCAATTTGTTTAAATTGTAGGGTTTTCACTATATTACAAAGGTTTACATCTCTGGATATTTGACATCCAGATGACTTATTCTAGAATCAAAATTTAACAATAAGATGCGATAATATAAAAACCGTTGCTAATTTTAATGCAATGTAGTTCAATTAATTTATGGCTTTTAAAAATACAAAATTCATTTTTATTACATATTACTTTTTTTGTTTCTGCGATGAATTTTCTTGTTTATAATTCATACTTCTTCAACACTTCACCTTCAATTTTGGTAATAGGAGCACGTTTTCCTGTCCAGATTTCAAACTGAGCAATACCTTGAGAGATCAAGATTTCGATGCCTTCAACACAAGACCAACCCTTACGTTCAGCTTGCAAAAGCAACTTTGTACGACGAGGCTTGTAAGCCATGTCACAAATAATACCCTTGATGCCTCCGTACAAGAGTTCGGGTAACTCAATACCGGAATCGGCAGGAACTGTAGAGATAATCACACCAGGTTCAATCTTGGCATTCAAAGAATCAATCACTTCCACGTCAATAATGTTTTCAAAGGCCTTTTGAAGATCGTGGGCCTTAGAGATGGTTCTGTTCCACAAGTAGATCTTTTTGATACCAATCTTTTGCAATGTGTAAAGGGCGGCACGAGCAGTACCACCAGCACCGATCACAAGACCTTGCTCGGGAGGGTTGGTAGCATCCAACATCAAGGATTGAATACAACGCTTCATACCAATGTAATCAGTGTTTTCTCCAATGAATTCACGCTTCTTCTCACCGTTTACAAGAGTATCACGCACAAAGATGGTATTCACTGCACCAATTGCCTTAGCATTATCGGACACCTCGTCAAGATACTTCATGATAGCTAACTTGTGAGGAATAGTGACAGAGGCACCACCGAAATTGGGATCCTTGAGGATAGCATCTTCAGCATATTCAACCATATGGCATTCCAAAAGACCGTATTGATGGGGAAGACCCAAGACCTTGAAACCAGTGTTATGGAGAGTAGGCGACATGGAATGTTGGATAGGAGTGCCGATCAACCAGAAGTTTTGGGCAGGTAAAAGGCCAATGAGATGACGAGCCTTATTGATTTCGGCTAAAGAGAGTTGACCAGGAGCGGCCTTATGTGGAAGTGCAGGATGAGTAATAGGAGTTAAACACTCGTTGATCACACGAGATAACTGACCGGCAGCACCCATATTGATAGCAATAAGATCTTTACCATCCTTCTTGGAAGCGCGGAATGTTTCAAGTGCCATGTTGTCTTGGAAACTTTGAGCATTGCCAACAAGTTTAATGATATCACCATATTTTTCACAGGTGTCATACTTGAGCTGAATAGCCTTACCATCCCAAGGTGTAACGTTTTGAACATCGTGCCAAGAGGAAATAATGAGACTTTCGCCCTTGGAGGACACAAGCTTTTCAATACTGGCAGGACTCCAACAAGTTTCGACATCAACATATTCACAACCCCAACGTTGACCCCAAGTGAGTAATTCAAACATACCTTCTTCATCGTTATCAGGGAAGGCACCCGCTTGGCCCTTCGATCTCACAGTGTAAATAACAGGAATTGGCACCATTCTACGTAAAAGAGAGAGTTGCTCACCAACATACTCAATATAGGTCATCTCACTCTTTGAATCAGGCTTTTGTAAAAGATCCACGCGCAATTCAACAGCATCAGCACCTTCACACATCTCTTCAAGGTTTTCGAGAACGGCGTTAAGATCCTTGGAAGTCAATGATACAAAAGTAGTGGGTACTCCGACGCGACCAGCAGTAGTGTTTACTTGGTTGGTATCACGACCGCTGATGAAGAAAAGGAATCTTTGGAGATCCTTTTTAATGGCTAACCATTCGGTAGGGGAAACGTAACCGTCATCCACGATACTATTCGCATAGGCAACAAATTCAAAGTTACAAACCTCCTTGTACCAAGTACGACGACGACACCAAACATTCATCATATCCTCACCATACATGGGACGTGTCTTATCACGATTTAAGTAACGAACAACTTGATCCAGATCACGCACCAAATGCAACACTTTACCGCCGTTCTTGGTGTGTTCCTTTAAAATATCACGGGATTCAGCGGTTTCAATAATACCACCACCACAAGAAATAACATATTCACGACCATACTCTGAGTCCTTTCCTAACAATTGTTTCAAGCATTCCGATTCCTTGATACGGAACTGATCCCAACCCCAAGTACTGATAAAGTCAAATACGGTAGTCTTTAAAGTTTCTTCAAAGTAAAGATCCACATCGATGAACTTGAATCCCAATACCTCAGCGGCATATTGTCCAAGGGTGGTCTTTCCAACACCACGCATACCGACAATCACCATGGATTTACCAGCGTCCATATTCTTGGTTGCTTTGGCATGGGTACGACCCAGACTCTTTTCGGTTTGCGATAATTTGGTACCGAAATCCACACCGTTCAAACGAACACCCAATTTACCTTCAAGATCATCCCACCAAGTAGGCCATGTCTTTTCGACGCATTTCTTTTCCATAATAATGGTACCGTGAGGCACGACAGTTGAAAATACAGAGAAACTCATAGCGATACGATGATCGTCATAAGTATGCACACCTTCCTTGGGTGACTTTAAATCCTTGATAGGCTTACCGTGAATTTGAATACCGTCAGGCAATTCGGATGCTTGAACACCGAATTTGGTTAATTCATGCACCATAGCAGCAATACGATCACATTCCTTTACACGTTGGTTAGCAATACCAGTGATACGTGTGATATTTTCACCCTTGGGATCAGCGGGAGATGTAACAGCAGCCAAGACAGTGGCAGTCATGAATGCATCTGTCATGGTCTCCATATCAATGGTGGGAAGAGGACGAAGTTGACCGATGGGGGGACCAGTGACGGTAGTAGCCGTTTCCGTTTGGACAACAGTACATCCCATAGGTCTAAGTACGTTGATGGCAAAAGTAGCATCGCCCTGAAGAGAGTTGGAACCAATACTGGTGACGGTACATGTGGTACCCGTGATAGCAGCAATGGCTAAAGGATAGGTAGCGGAACTAGCATCCGATTCAACAACATAGTTATCGGGGTTCTTGTAGGTGGTTTGTTTGATCTTGTAAGTGTTTTCAGGAAGACGTTCAACGACAGCACCGAATGATTCCATCATAGCAATTGTCATATCAATATAAGGTTGTGAGATCACTTGACCGCCAACCAAAACGAGTTCGACTTCTTTGGTGGCATATGGAGCACATAATAAGATGGAAGAAACGTATTGAGAAGAGATAGAGGCAGACAATTCGATACGACCACCCTTGAGACCACCGTTGGGGGTTACAGCAATGGGCAAGAAGCCTTCCTTTTCAAGAGAAACAATCTCGGCACCATCTGCCTTTAATGCAGCCAAAAGAGGAGCAATGGGTCTCATCTTCATACGAGCATTACCTGTTAAGATAGCGGTAGGGTTTTTAGCGCCTTCAGCAGTAGGGATCATGGTCAAGACGGAAGTTAAGAAACGAGAAGCAGTACCGGCGTTACCGACATAGAGCTCTTTATCGGGTACACTAAGTCTACCTCCACCACCATGAACGACCAAGGTTTCGCCATTATCTTCCCACTCGAAATCAGCAGCATTTAAGCTCTTTAAAGCAGCCAACATGAATTGTGTATCATCGGAATGCAACAAGTTCTTAACACGAACAGTTCCTTTACCCAAAGCAGCAATCAATAAGGTACGGTTAGAGATGGATTTAGAACCGGGTGTGGTTAATGCAACTTCTTTCTTGGGACCAGTAGGGGATTCGGTCACAGGCAAAACGAGTTGTTCAGGGGCCAAGACCTTATGAATATCTGCATCGGCAATGATGGAAGCACGGGGTTCTAAAGTTTTACCGATGGCAGAGAGCATAACAATACGCTTCTTATCGCCTTGGTTCTTTTTATCGACCTTCATAATTTCCATGATATCATCTACATGGCAGTAAATACTGCCGATTCTATCCTTGACCTTCTTTTCCTCCATACAAATGGGTAAACCGTATGATTGGAAACAACGGGCTAAACGGCCGACAGCGACTTGGTTGAGATGACCCAAGTTACGAGCTAATTCTGCTTCCTTCATGCAACCGATCGACACACATTCACCATGAAGCATTAAGGGAGAAACAATGGCTTCGATACCATGACCGATGGAATGACCAAAATTCAAAAGACCACGAAGACCACCTTCTCTTTCATCGCTGGTGACAACATATGCCTTGAAACGAACAGAGGCTAAAATCACATCCATTAACATGTCTTGTGCTTCGGTGCGGGTATCTAATGTAGCACCTAATATTATTTATGTTTGTTGTCAGCAAATGAAAAAAGATACTCAGCTTTTTTATTCTTTCTTCTTCTTACCTTGGTTGGGCACATTAGAATCATTGCCTAAAACTGCATGACGAATAGCTTCTACGCCATTCTCCAATTTACAAAAATCATTTTCATCTGAAATAGCTGCAGTCTAATAGAAATTAGTTGTTAGTATAAACATTTTTGAAGAATGCCCATATTTTAAAATAAACAAGATTTTACCTTGATAAGCTCAGCCATACCGTTAGCAAATTCACGTTCAGGCAAAGTTCTTAAAAAGTTGACATCAATGAATACACGCTTAGGCTGCCAAAAAGCACCGATTAAATTCTTTCCGGCAGGTACATCAATCGCAGTTTTACCACCGATGGAAGAATCGACCATGGCCAACAAGGTTGTAGGGATCTGTACAACGGGAGCACCACGCATAAAAGTAGCGGCTACAAAACCAATCAAATCACCCATGACACCGCCACCCATTGCCAAAAAACATGTATCACGAGTGACAGCATTTGAAAGAAGCCAATCTTCGATATCTGCCTTTACTTTACGAGACTTGGACATTTCTCCGGGAGGCAGAACACGGGTAAAGAAGCGTGGTTCCTTCTCTCCTTTAGCCGTATAAAGCTCGTTACTTACTTGCTTGAAGGCATTGACGTATTTGTCCAAATAAAGGGGTGCCAAATTGGTATCGGTGATAAGCACGTAGTTGGAGGCTGGGATATTTGTCAAAACGTCACGTACAAGATATTCACTTAAATGGAAACCAACAATAATTGATTCCGAACCAAGTACTGAAACTTTGGCAACATCAGGTTGTGCCGTCATATTTATTTTAAAAAGGATTATATGGGAAAAAGAAGAGGAAAAAGGAGGAAATCTTTTTGAAGCCCGGTATGAAACTTTTATGACAGAACCAACTGAATTGAAAGTTCGACGATTTGCAAATATGAGTCAATAAAAAAGATTGAACGTCACGATGAGTAACAATAAAGCTGCAACTTTTCCAGCCTTTGGTGGTCAGCGGACCAACTCCGCTTACCACCAAAATCATAGTGCAGAAAACTTGGGAGTAATTTCTGCCACCATCCGCCAATAAAATTCTATAATGCTTTAAGACGGGCTCAAAGCGTGATATACTTGAGATGCATTTAGTTTTTAATAGTGAAAAATCTTATCCTGCATCTTATCAGGAAAATCTTTAATGTGAGGCTTGCTGGATAATGTACTTACACATAAATTTGGTGTACATGATTCAATTTGCAGTCCAAATAAATCTGTTACACATGAAACGCCGAACTTTGCTGATTTATCATGAATTCCTTTTTTTAAAAACGTTTTTTCTCTTCCTCATTGTAAAAATAAAAGTATCATAGCATTAACATATTCAGCCAAAACATCTTTTAAAAGGGTCAGGTTTTACTTCTGAAAGTAAACTTTGTGGTATTTATTGGCTTCACACGCATTGAATTGGTCAAAGAGACGTTTTGAAGACCTTAGGCTATCAACGTCTACTGGTCATAGTATTCTGAAGAGTTAAAACAACTGTTGTACATCTACCTAAAAAGGCTCCGGGGTACCTAAAAATAAAAAAAAAAGAGATAACAAAGCTTTATAACGCTCTGCAAGAAGCAAGCCGACAATGAATTATAGTGATCTAAAAATATAGTTGATTATACGGGTCTCTTAGGGACAGCCATTTTTTTTAGGGACAACCAGGGTGCGCGTGGTCGTGATGTTGGATTATGATACTTTAATAGACACCAAGAGGTCAATATAACTTATCGTCTTGAAAAAAAAACAATTTATTATAACCAGCATATGGTAAACCAGTATATGTGTGTTATGGCTTACTTTCAGCTTCTCATTTGGCCTTCAACTTAATAATTCTGCGTAAGATGGATCAAACGAGCTTAAAGGCAAAAGAGTGATGATAGAACTGTCAAAACAAGTATAGTTAAATTATTTAATATGCATTTATTCGTACTTATCACTTTGTTTTAATTATATATTCTTGTTTCCAGGTCTAAGGGATAGCCAAATCACAGATCCTACGTTGTGACTACGTGCACTTTGGCTGTCCCTAAAAAAAGAGAAATTGTATATACTCAGTTTTTGCGTTTGAAAATAGATATTTTGAAAAATAAAATAGAATTTTTTATTTGGCCTATAGAAATTTTTGGATTTAATAGAATTTTATAAATCCAGGAATTTCTGATAGTCAGTAGAAATGTTTGACCGTCAATATACACATCACAAAACCAATAGAAAAAAAAAGAACTTATTAGTAGTTCTAAACAAACCAAGTTTATTATTATGAACTTATACTCTTTCCATATTCATACACTTTGTAAATAATCGTCGTCGAGTGACGGATCCAACCTTGACAGTCTTCAGGTGTAACTTTCTTCAATTCTGTCAACAATCATTTCGCTCTTCCCAAAAGGTATATGTATTACGTGCCTCGCCTTTAATTTTTGACCAGCACCCTTGGATTGGATTCAAAAGAGGCGAGTAAGGCAGTTAAAAAAAGTGATGTATGTCCATGGTCACGGATTGCTACGAGAATTTCAGGTGTTTTGTGTATTGTGGTATTGTCCATAATAATAGACATATAGTATTACTCAATCCAAGTTTGTTCAAAACTGATGCCATTTCTACCATAAATAACAATAGGTGTGTTGAGTTAGATTAGGCATTCTGAGAACTCTTGGGATATCAAATTCATGTGTGTGCTTCTGTACATAAAATATATTATCGGCTCATGCTGAAACAATTGTTGGTTTAGGCCAACTTAGGTTGTCGAGGACTATAATCAAGTTGAATCAAATGTATCAAGTTGTACCAAGTTCGTATAAAAAGTGTACCAAGTGTACCAAGTAAATTAGCTAGTAGAAGTTTTGCCCTGAACGTGTTATCCTTCTTAGGGAAATGTCTAGAACTCCGTATTTTTTTCAAACGTATTTTTTTTTGCAAATAAACGTATTTTTTAGAATCACGCGATGGTCTACACGTCGATTGACATGCCATATCATCTAAACTTCATGGGATGATCGATTTCTGTTTTCCATAAAGTCTGCCTCACTGTCATTACAAGTTACTACTGAAACACGTATAGACAATTACCAAGCTCTGACTTGCTTGGGAGGTTTTTGCAAGTGTTTCTATTTTATCTAAGTAAAGGCTCAAACATTATGGATGATAAAATAGACAAATGAAATCATCTTGACATAAGCTTGTTTATCTATAAATAAAGCTGGTTCACACACTTTATTCTTCTCCTTTTCTTTTCCCTTAACATGCTTCTTTTATCGTATGAAAGTAACCGATCACATAAAAAGGTTAGTTAGTAATGACTCTTGTTTCTTTGAAAAGAAGCTAAATTGAAAAAGATATATTGTGATATTGCGGCTGCGGCTAGTCTTTGCTATAGGGGGGCGACCTCCTAGGCAGGGTTCTTGAGTTTTTGGAACTCAAGAACCGTGAATGGCTGCGACTGCACTGTAAATAGTCGTAAGCATACTGGCCTGCTGGTCTTGGCTGGAGTTTCTGTAAGTGGTATGAAAAAAATACGTTTGAAAAAAATACGGAGGTTTAGACATTTCCGATTTTGTACCCAAAGATCTTCGTGTGTGGCCTTTTATGTAAAAAATCAAGTTTTTCCTTTCAAGTTTTTAGCCAACTATTATTATTACAATGTCATACAAGCTATGATTTATGCTTGGAAAAGTTTCAATCTACCGACATCCCTAGTGTAAGCCAATTGACGCGTAATCCGTATTTACCGTATTCTCATTTCGTTCCCAATAGCTCGACCTTAATGTTAGTGAACAAACGTGGGCCTCAACATTTTCACTGGTTGTACAGGTAATTTGGACTTTGCAGCTGACGGATTGGTTTGAATTGTGTCTAAATATTTGATTTCGTAGAATCAAGACGAGATTAATCAAACCATATCACGTTCTGGAAGATTGGCAACAATCTCAGCTCTGTACAGACAATCAAACGATAGTTATGGAGAAGGTCTACTTGGTGCATCTTCAACTCATCAAAATAAAAAACAAAAGACAGGGCAAAACCTCGATAACTTGTTCTCAGATACCCAAACAACACCTACAAATGTTTTGCACGATGATTTCAGGGTTGCAGTCTCCAAGGCAGGATATAATCTGTTGAAAAAGCAATTCACTCTATCAACTGCTCAAGAATTGAATATGATGGTCAATGAATTAAGCCCTAGTTCATTTGGTGAACATATGGATCATTTAGCACACCATCTCATCACAACTGAACGAAGTAGAGAATCGGAAAATACCCTAAAATTAGCTCTGAGTCGTATACTTTATATGGTTGGTGGCATCACATCTCATACACAACAACAGTACTTTAAAAGTCGACAACTGGATCATTTTCTTAAACAGGCACTTGATTGTAAACCCAAATTGGATCCTGGTTTTGATGATACCATGAGTGAAATCTACAAAGCATTTCTCACAAAAATGGATGCTTCTCCAAAGGAGGCCAGGATATTTCTAATGAAACAACGAATGGAGGTCCTTACTGAAAACAATGAAGATAGTGATTTGATGAAAATGCTGGACATCCTGGATTATTTAGTCGCTGATGCTGCTCCACTCCCGGATAGTAAATCTAGTGAATTGACTTGGTACCGTAAAACTGCATATTCTTGATATTCTTTTTAGGAAATCATTTATAACATTAAACGAGTAAGTTTTTCAATGGTTTCCCAATCGTTTATCAATTAATTAAATTTAATTTGATACAGCGGAGAATTATGTTCAAATGCTACAAAAATCGCAAGAAATAAAAATAGATTGCTGTGTGAAGACAATGATGATAAAAAATCTGCTCTAGGACGAAAAATTAACTTGCTTCTTAATGCAAGCTTCATGGAAATAAGCTCCTCTGAATGGAAGAAGGACGGTATATCTTTTGGACTAGCAGAACAGCAACAAATAAAAAATGTCCGCACAAACAGTGCCATTCTTCGAGAATTATTGAAATTACCTATAAACCAAGAAAAAAAGAATGATTTATTCGTTCTTGGGATGGATTGGATCGGAAAGTTTTTGAAATTATTCATGCACTGGAAAATCAAAATTTACTAAAGGGCTGCTTTGCTTTTGATTTTTAGGCAGATGGAAGGGGCGCGTTTATTATTAACTTTTTCTTTTGTTAACATTTAGTAAGTTGTTCTTAACATTTAGTAAGTTGTTCTTAACATTTAGTAAGTTGTTCTTAACCTTCCTGCTTGCAAAATCACCTTTTATAGATTTTTGTACTTCCGAAGGAAGTACTAGTCCTTTTTTAAGCTTTGTATACCTTCCATCTATGTCGAGTAAAATTTAAAGAAAAATAAAAAGTTGGAGTAAAGCCCCAGTTTTTACAGGATTCACCTGTAACTAAAACTACGGCCTGTTCAGAACATAATACGCAATGACACTTAATATTATCTTAATCCCAGGGGGTCAAAATTTACTCGCCGTATATGGTCATCTGTATACCTTCTATATACGGCGACCAAATTTCAATGTTTTGGTATATATTAACAGGTTTTGACTTACGTACTTTGGGATTTTTACCAGGTCTTATTGATGCTTTCTTAAAGACATAGGCAAAGTTTCAGCTCAATACAAAGATCAAAAATGAGTTCGTTAACTCGACATATATGGAAATGTTTTGTGTACCCATTTATATCACACAGCAAAGAAGAACAAGTATACGAAATGTTTTTAACATTTCTGGAAAGTTAATATCTTCAATCGTAATACAACAACAAAAAATGTTCTGCATTTTGAAATTCAGAAATTCAGAAATAAAAAAGGAAGACAATTTATTGTACACGCCTTGCAACAATGGGGATTAAATACAGTATTATTTTATTATGTTATTCTTTAACCTGGTCCATGCCTGGTTTTTTTTTTATGCCATTGATGCTTTTACAGTGGATTCAAGTTCTATAAAAAAAAAAACTTTGTACAAACTTCAACACGTCTTCAGCGAGTTAAATCATTTCCACCCTGTCCACGAGGAACAAATAACAGGAATCGCCAACTACAAAACTCAGGATTGAAGACCGCATCCTTGCCAACTGAAACCACAACTTTCGGTTTGCTAATTTATGGTAAAAAAAAATGTTGGATTTGTTCTACAGAGGTTTAATAGGAAGATACTTATATTGTTTATTGTTATTTAGGCCTGTGCTATGAAGTATTCGTTGTTTCTTTCGATGACGGATATTACCCCTACGAGCGTGTTTCTGTTGGACTGTTGCCCACATCCTCCAGTACGTACAAAAACGCAGAGAAGACGTTGATGGATTTACTTCGACTAAAAGTAAGATAATAGTATACAATGTACATTTAATCATACTAAATAGCCGCGTAGGAATCAATGAGTATGTCTTTGATGACATAACCAACATCTGGTGAATTTATCCTTGTAGATAAAAATGCTCTTATCCCAACTGTGTCATACAGCACCGTTGTAAAATATAACAACTGAAATTGTTAAACGCAAATAAAAAAAATATGTTGTTGATTCACTTATTCCATATTTCACACATTATAAATATGACATTAAACGATTAGCTGTGATGTTTTTTTTGTTATGTCCCATAATATCCTGTACAATTGACTATTGCTACTTTACGATAATGCAAATGGCTTGTCGCAGAACAGATTTCTCATTAAAACAAACCCCTCATCATTGTGTTCGTTACAAGGGGAGAAGAATGGACAGAAGATGCGGCGCAAAATGCATTAAGCAGGATTGGTTACCAATGCGATTTCTTTCGGGAAAATGATAAATGCGATTACAAACAATAAGCAATAGAGGTACTCACCAACCTTGAAAAGCAAAGTTTTATAAAGGAGTAAAACATATGTAAATAAAACGTCATATCAAAGGTCTCTAAAGACGCGTTATGTTAGCTCAAATTATACAAAAAGACGAAAAGCTGGAACGTTTATCGTATTATATATTAGTTTTTCAAAAGGTACTCCTTACTAGGGTTACACCGCCTGTGTGATTGTAGTAACCCAATTATGTACGGTTGATCTGCTTCCCCGCCTATGGGGAATATAAGGGCAATAAGCAGGTGCTCACAATAAAATCGCGAAAGTTGGTAAATCACCATAATATATTTAATGTATCTCTCAAAGGGCTTGTTTACTAAGAGAATTAATTATCTAAAAGCGAGCAGAGTTACAATTGATAGTGTTGGATATGTAGGGAGGCGTATAAAAGTGCTTTTTGATGAGGACTTCCCTGAAGGAGTATCCATCGACCATCTATGTATGTTGCGACGGCGACGCGCTCTCCCCTTTAATTTTTGAAAACCAGTACTGCGGGTCAATTGGTACAAGAAAGGTAATTTTAAGACTGTATTAAGCGAATAGAGATAGAGTGGGTTGTAATTGACAGGTTCGAGTGTGAAATAGACAAAAAACGGATGACAAACAAGAAAGCTGGCCCAGTCAAGAGACGGTATTTATATTTGCTAGAGATTGGAATCCGCCATGTCTCCATATATGGGAATTTCGTTGTTTTTTTTATTTCTATCAAGTTCTTTATAAATTGGGGTTAGTGCATATTACATTTTCGGATGTTATTGGATACAAAATGCTGGATCATGATCAACAGTTATATTTTTAGATCGCGTAAACAAAGCAACAAGGTTTTTCCCTTCCCCCTTGCAGTCGAACTCCGCATGAATCCTTCAAGAGTTTCCCATTGAAGGCCTAGAGTGTGATAGATCATTAGAACGGAGTGAATGTTCATGTCGGCAAGTACAAGGTTACACCGGATCACCGATTGATTCTTGTGGCTTTGATTGGGGAACAAGGAAAAAAAAAAAAATGAATGATGACTATTTGACCCAAACAGACAAAATGATATGAAAAGCGTTAAAAATACCCATCAAATATACACATAATTTATCGAGTGGCCAATCACCAACACCGTGTAACTATGTTTCCTATCGGCCCCGTCACAGCCTTCTTTTTTTTTTTTCCCCATTCATCCTCACTTTTTTTTTTTTGCATCGTCTGTATTTTTTTGTTTTTCAAAAAAATACACACACAATTACATTATATATAATTTTTTTTAAAAAAAATTAAATATATAAAAAAGAAAAAAGATACTCCTTTTCTTTGTTATGAAGCGTTCTACAACTGGCGATTTTTCAAAGAATAAAAAATTGTGTCTTTCGTCCTCACCTAATAATAATACAACAAATAAAATGGCCACTACGCTGGAGCAGCTAAAAGATATGGTACTACACCTTGACAAAGGTGATCTTGACTACTGTATCACACAACCTATACCAGATGAAGAAGACGAAGACATTTCAATATTACTACATAAAGCTTTAAGAAGTATAGCACAACGTCAATTAAAACTAGAAACAGAGAATAAACGCTATCGAATAGCCATTAAACAACAACACCATCTGTTAACACATGATACCGAAGAAGAAAAAGAACCTGTTGTAAATATAAATAAAGTTATTGGAACCCCTGAGGATTGCATTTCTTCTTTTCGTGAATCTCCAATGTTGGAAAAGCTACAGTTATCTTCTGGTAAACAAATAACTATTCCACTCTTTTTTATCACCATCACTCTTTTAAGCATATTTATATAGAATCTTGCTCAAAAGTAACTGAACAAGTATGCCAGGATTGTGTCGATCAAGCAGTTCAAGTAGCCTTGGCTGTTCATAGCGGCAAATTAGACCAACGTATCACCTGTAACCATCATCTCTTAAACACTGACAACTCTCCTACAAATTCTTTAAAATATGCTGTAAATTCTATGGCCGACCAACTACAACGCATAACCAGTAATGTACTAAAAGTAGCTCATGAAACAGCTGTTGATGGTAAATTGGGCGTGCAGGCAGAATGTGATGATAATATGGAAGGTGTTTGGCGTGATTTTATTTTAAATTTAAACAGCATGACTAGAAATCATTTGGAACAAGTTAGAGATATTGCCGATGTGTCAACTGCTATTGCTAGAGGTGACCTCAGTAAAGCAATGACGGTTCCTGTTTACGGAGAAACTTTAATTCTTAAAAATACATTCAATACCATGGGTAAAATACCTCCCGATATTATCATACACTTTTAATATCCTAATACTTTTATCCGTAGTTAATCACTTGAACTTATTTGCTTCAGAGGTCACTCGTGTGGCTCATGAGGTTGGTACCGAAGGAAAATTAGGCGCACAGGCCAAAGTTGCCGGTGTCGACGGCATTTGGAAAGAACTTACCGACAATGTAAATACAATGGCAACAAATTTGACGAACCAAGTAAGAGATATCGCCCATGTTTCAAAAGCGGTTGCCCGTGGTGATTTATCAAAGAAAGTCAAGGTTGAAGTCAAAGGCGAAATGCTCGATTTAAAGAATACAATTAATACAATGGTGGATCAGGTAAATCTTTACATAATCAATAAAGATAAATAACATGCTAATTTTTGTGAACAGTTGTCTACATTTGCTGTCGAAGTGACACGAGTGTCCCTCGAAGTAGGCACAGAAGGAAAACTCGGAGGCCAAGCTGTCGTCAAAGACGTTGGTGGAACATGGAAAGATTTGACAGATAATGTCAATATGATGGCTAAAAAAATTACAAGCCAAGTGAGGGATATTGCTGCTGTAGCAAAGGCTGTCGCTGAAGGAGATTTGACAAAGAAAGTGAAGGCCAATGCGCAGGGTGAAGTACTCGAACTTAAGAACACAATGAATCGAATGGTTGACCAGTTGACGAATTTCTCGGCCGAAGTCAGGCGTGTCTCACTAGAAGTGGGTGTGGAAGGAAAACTAGGCGGGCAAGCGGTTGTGACAGACGTGGGTGGTACTTGGAAGGATTTGACAGATAATGTCAATTTGATGGCAGCCAATCTAACAACACAAGTGCGGTCAATTGCAGAAGTCACCACAGCTGTCGCTCAGGGCGATCTATCAAAGAAAATTGATGTCGAAACACGGGGTGAAATTCTCGACCTTAAAAACACTGTCAACAATATGGTGGATCAATTACGAGTCTTTTCGACCGAAGTCACCCGTGTAGCCAAAGAAGTCGGCACAGAAGGAAAATTAGGCGGCCAGGCTGTCGTCAAAGATGTTGCCGGTACCTGGTTTGAAGTTACTAGAAATGTCAATACCATGGCTTCCAACCTGACAACCCAAGTGCGTTCTATTGCTGTTGTGACAAAAGCTGTTGCTAACGGTGATCTTTCAAAGAAGATTGAAGTCGAATCCGGTGGCGAGATATCTGAATTAAAAAATATAGTCAACGATATGGTTGACCAGTTACGTGTGTTTGCATCTGAAGTTACACGAGTTGCTCGAGAAGTAGGAACCGAAGGAAAACTAGGTGGTGAAGCAATTGTTCCAAAAGTGAGTGGAACCTGGAAAGATTTAACCGATAATGTCAACACGATGGCTGCCAATCTTACGACTCAAGTACGATCTATCGCACAGGTTACGAAAGCTGTCGCGAAGGGTGATCTATCAAAAAAAATTGACGTCGAGACTCGAGGAGAAATTTTGGATTTGAAAAATACTGTAAATAGTATGGTGGATCAACTGAATGTCTTTGCATCCGAAGTAACTCGTGTGGCAAAGGAAGTAGGTACAGAGGGTAAGCTAGGAGGTCAAGCTCTAGTGCCCAATGTCGATGGTACATGGATGGATTTGACTGATAATGTCAATCAAATGGCTGCTAATCTTACCTCCCAAGTCCGTTCCATTGCCGAAGTTACTAAAGCTGTTGCTCTTGGTGATCTTTCCAAGAAAATCGAAGTTGAATCTGGTGGCGAAATTCTCGAGTTGAAGAATATTGTAAACGATATGGTTGATCAATTGCGTGTTTTTGCGTCAGAAGTCACTCGTGTTTCGAAAGAAGTAGGCACGGAGGGTAAATTGGGTGGTCAAGCGGTGGTTCAAGGCGTGGCTGGAACATGGCACGAACTAACGGATAATGTCAATATCATGGCTGCCAATCTAACAAACCAGGTTAGATCCATTGCCGAAGTTACAAAAGCTGTTGCTCTTGGCGACCTGTCCAAAAAAATCGAGGTTGAATCCGGGGGCGAAATCCTAGAACTAAAGAATATTGTCAACAGCATGGTGGATCAATTGAATGTGTTTGCTTCAGAGGTCACCCGAGTGGCTAAAGAGGTCGGTACGGAAGGTCTGCTTGGTGGACAGGCGGTGGTGCCAAATGTCGGTGGTACCTGGAAAGATCTCACGGAAAATGTCAATCACATGGCGGCCAACTTAACTAACCAAGTAAGATCTATCGCCGAAGTCACCAAAGCCGTTGCAAATGGTGATATGAGTAAAAAGATTGAGGTTGAATCTGGTGGTGAGATTTTGGAGTTAAAAGACACCGTTAATAACATGGTGGATCAACTCAGAATTTTTGCTTCTGAAGTTACTCGAGTGTCTAAAGAAGTAGGCACGGAAGGAAAGTTGGGTGGCCAGGCTGTAGTGAAAGGGGTGGCCGGTACCTGGAAAGATCTAACAGATAATGTCAATATGATGGCCGCTAATCTAACGACTCAAGTACGTTCTATTGCTGAAGTGACTGAGGCAGTTGCGCTTGGTGATCTATCCAAAAAGATTGAAGTTGAATCGGGTGGTGAAATTCTAGAGTTGAAAAATATCGTCAACAGCATGGTAGACCAGCTACGTATTTTTGCATCCGAAGTTACACGTGTATCGAAAGAAGTAGGCACAGAAGGAAAGCTTGGTGGACAAGCTGTTGTACAAGATGTAGCAGGTACTTGGTTTGAACTTACAAGTAATGTCAACATTATGGCAGCAAACCTCACCAATCAAGTACGTTCCATCGCCGAAGTTACCAAAGCCGTCGCACTAGGTGATTTATCCAAAAAGATTGAGGTCGAGTCAGGTGGCGAAATTCTAGAACTCAAGAATATCGTGAATGACATGGTGGACCAACTTCGTGTCTTTGCTTCTGAGGTTACTCGTGTTGCCAAAGAGGTAGGCACTGAAGGAAAACTTGGTGGACAAGCTGTGGTACCAAATGTTGGTGGCACCTGGATGCATTTGACAGATAATGTAAACCAAATGGCTGCCAATCTTACATCCCAAGTCCGTTCTATTGCAGAAGTTACCAAGGCCGTTGCTCTTGGTGATCTTTCCAAGAAAATTGAAGTCGAATCGGGCGGAGAAATCCTCGAGTTGAAAAACATTGTGAATAGTATGGTGGACCAATTAAATGTGTTTGCATCCGAGGTAACTCGTGTGGCAAAAGAAGTAGGCACTGAAGGCAAACTGGGTGGTCAAGCCGTTGTACCCAATGTAGGTGGTACATGGATGGATCTTACCGATAACGTAAACCAGATGGCCGCTAATCTTACATCTCAAGTCCGTTCTATCGCCGAAGTCACAAAAGCTGTTGCTTTAGGTGATTTATCTAAAAAGATCGAAGTTGAATCAGGCGGTGAAATTTTGGAGTTAAAAAATATTGTCAACAGTATGGTTGATCAACTTAATGTGTTTGCGTCCGAGGTAACTCGTGTTGCTAAAGAAGTAGGCACTGAGGGTAAACTTGGTGGACAAGCCCTAGTCCCTAACGTCGACGGAACTTGGATGGACCTAACCGATAACGTAAACCAGATGGCTGCAAATTTGACTTCTCAAGTTCGTTCTATCGCTGAAGTTACAAAAGCAGTTGCTCTCGGAGATCTTTCTAAAAAAATTGAAGTTGAATCCGGTGGTGAAATTTTGGAGCTTAAAAATATTGTCAATAGTATGGTCGATCAACTAAATGTGTTTGCCTCCGAGGTTACACGTGTAGCCAAGGAAGTAGGTACCGAAGGTAAATTAGGTGGCCAAGCTGTTGTACCTAATGTCGGTGGAACCTGGATGGATCTCACGGATAACGTCAATCAAATGGCTGCAAATCTTACCTCACAGGTTCGTTCTATTGCTGAAGTCACTAAGGCTGTTGCCCTGGGTGACCTTTCCAAAAAGATCGAGGTCGAATCTGGTGGAGAAATTTTAGAGTTGAAAAATATCGTAAATAGCATGGTAGATCAGCTTAATGTGTTTGCATCCGAGGTAACTCGTGTGGCAAAAGAAGTAGGTACCGAAGGCAAATTGGGTGGGCAGGCTGTTGTACCCAATGTTGGAGGAACTTGGATGGATTTGACGGATAATGTAAACCAGATGGCTGCGAACCTCACATCTCAAGTTCGTTCCATTGCTGAAGTTACCAAAGCCGTTGCTTTGGGTGATTTGTCCAAAAAGATCGAGGTCGAATCTGGCGGTGAAATTCTCGAGTTGAAAAATATTGTTAACAGTATGGTGGATCAATTAAATGTATTCGCCTCTGAAGTCACCCGTGTGGCTAAAGAAGTAGGTACTGAGGGTAAACTTGGTGGTCAGGCGCTTGTTCCCAATGTCGATGGTACATGGATGGATTTGACTGATAATGTCAATCAAATGGCTGCTAATCTTACCTCCCAAGTCCGTTCCATTGCCGAAGTTACTAAAGCTGTTGCTCTCGGTGACCTTTCCAAGAAAATCGAGGTAGAATCTGGTGGAGAAATTCTTGAATTGAAGAATATCGTCAACAGTATGGTGGATCAATTAAACGTCTTTGCTTCTGAAGTTACTCGTGTTGCGAAAGAAGTTGGCACAGAAGGTAAATTGGGCGGTCAAGCTGTTGTTCCAAATGTCGATGGTACCTGGATGGATCTTACGGATAACGTCAATCAAATGGCTGCAAATCTTACCTCACAGGTTCGTTCTATTGCTGAAGTCACTAAGGCTGTTGCCCTGGGTGACCTTTCCAAGAAAATCGAGGTAGAATCTGGTGGAGAAATCCTTGAGTTGAAAAACATTGTTAATAGTATGGTGGATCAATTAAACGTGTTTGCTTCTGAAGTAACTCGTGTTGCAAAGGAAGTAGGCACAGAAGGTAAACTTGGTGGTCAGGCTTCAGTCCCCAACATTGATGGTACCTGGATGGACTTGACGGATAATGTTAATCAAATGGCCGCCAATCTTACGTCCCAAGTACGTTCTATTGCTGAGGTAACAAAAGCTGTTGCTTTGGGCGACTTGTCCAAGAAGATCGAAGTCGAGTCTGGTGGCGAAATTTTGGAACTTAAAAACATTGTAAATGACATGGTGGATCAACTCCGTGTGTTCGCCTCAGAAGTAACCCGTGTAGCTAAAGAGGTCGGCACTGAAGGTAAACTTGGTGGCCAGGCTGTCGTAAAAGGTGTAGCTGGTACATGGAATGAATTGACAGACAATGTAAACATCATGGCTGCAAATCTAACTACCCAAGTAAGATCTATCGCAGAAGTAACAAAGGCTGTAGCTAGTGGTGATATGAGCAAAAAGATTCATGTTGAAACTCGGGGTGAGATTTTGGAACTTAAAATTACGGTCAACAGTATGGTGGATCAGTTAAGAGTCTTCGCTTCGGAGGTTACTCGTGTCGCCCGCGAAGTCGGCACAGAGGGTAAGCTGGGTGGCCAAGCAACAATTATTGGTGTCGATGGTACCTGGAAGGATTTGACAGACAATGTGAACCTTATGGCCAGTAATTTAACCGACCAATTGCGTTCTATTGCCGCTGTCTGTAAAGCTGTGGCACAAGGTGATTTATCCAAGAAGATTGAAGTTGAGGTGCATGGCGAAATTGCAGAGCTGAAAAATACAATCAATACCATGGTGGACCAGTTAAGTTCTTTTGCTTCCGAGGTTACACGTGTTGCTATGGAGGTCGGTACTGAAGGTAAACTAGGTGTTCAAGCACAGGTCAAGGATATTGAAGGTTTATGGCGTGATATTACCAGCAATGTTAATACGATGGCTTCTAATTTAACAACGCAAGTACGTGCTTTTGCTCAAATTTCTGCTGCTGCGACCGAAAATGATTTCTCAAAGCTTATCACCGTTGAAGCATCTGGTGAAATGGACTCTCTTAAAACCAAGATTAATCAAATGGTCAGTTCTTTGCGTGATGCTATCCATAAAAACAGACAGGCCAGAGAAGCCGCTGAGTTAGCGAACAGATCAAAGAGTGAGTTCCTGGCTAATATGAGTCACGAAATTCGTACCCCAATGAATGGTATTATCGGTATGACCTCTTTAACCTTGGAAACCGAATTAACACGTCAGCAACGAGAAAACTTGATGATTGTATCCAGTCTCGCCAATAGTTTGTTGAGTATTATTGATGATATTTTGGATATTTCAAAGATTGAAGCTGGTCGTATGACAATTGAATCTATTCCTTTCTCACTTCGTTCCGCCATTTTCAGTGTACTCAAGACGTTGGCCGTAAAGGCTAATCAAAAGAAACTCGATTTAATTTATAATGTGGACAGTGCTATTCCTGATCAATTGATTGGCGATCCACTTCGTTTGAGACAAGTTATTACTAATTTAATCGGTAACGCTGTCAAATTTACTACTACTGGCGAAGTAGCATTGGAAACCAAGGTTGTTGGTATTGAAGGCGATGATGTCGTTGTCAAGCTTTGTGTCCGTGATACTGGTATCGGTATTCAAGAGGATAAACTCAATGTTATTTTTGATACTTTCTGTCAGGCCGATGGATCTACTACGTAAGTCTTTTTTTTTTATATTCTCTTTCTGTCGTTTGGACAATTTTTAATCATTTCATGTAGTCGTGAATATGGTGGTACCGGCCTCGGATTGTCTATCTCCAAACATTTAGTTCAATTAATGGGTGGTGATCTCTGGGTTGATTCTAAGTATGGTCGCGGATCACAGTTTTATTTTACTCTTAATTTCAAGAGATATCCTATGGAACAACAGGATGCATTAGAAAAGATGAAACGATTCAGAAACCGAAACATTTTATTTTTGGACAAATCAGGTGGTCAAGTCGAAGTAGAATCTAAAATCAGAGAACTCGGCCTGAATCCCTTCAGGGTCAGCACCATTGCTGAGATCGTCAACATGACAAATATTAGTACATCTGAACAAACCAAGATTAGCAAGCAGCCTCCTATTTTTGATACTGTGATTGTTGATAACATGGCGTACGCTGAAAAAATCCGTGAGGCTGTTCATTTGCGATACACACCTATTATTTTGATTGCCCCTGAAATCCATCGTTTGAACATGAAACTGTGTATCGATCTGGGTATCACTGGTTATATCAACACGCCTGTCAGTTTATCTGACCTTGCACATACACTTTTACCTGCATTGGAAAGTCATTCTTCATTACCTAGTGATTCAGCAATTCCAGTCCCCCTCGAAATTCTGTTAGCTGAAGATAATATCGTCAACCAAAAGTTGGCTGTCCGTATTCTCGAAAAGTTTGGTCACAAAGTGGAGATTGTATCAAATGGTAAGCTTGCTGTAGAAGCTTTTGAAAATCGTACGTTCGATTTAATTTTGATGGATGTACAAATGCCCATCATGGGTGGTTTCGAAGCGACGCAGAAGATTCGTGATATTGAGCATAGTTCAGGAACAGGCACGCATACCCCAATTATTGCACTGACAGCTCACGCCATGATTGGCGATCGTGAAAAGTGCTTAAGATCCGGAATGGTAATTTTGTGTTGTTTAGTTTGACTTTTTTTGTATTAACACATTTTCCTTCTTTTTTAAGGATGAATATGTTACCAAACCTTTGAGGTTCCCCGAGTTAATCGCAGCCATCAAAAAATTTGCACCCCAATCTGCACACGCCATGCTTATGAATAAGCCTAACAAGAAGCGTTAGCCTTTATAGATACTATGCCTTATTCATATATACACATTATAATTTCGGTAACATTTAATAAAATAACTTCCTAATATTTTACGCTCGTTTAACTACAGTTTATATACCTACGCTTAAATCAGACTAATCTTTCAGACATTAGCGTTAAACTTCGAATAAAAAAAAAATTAATTTTATACTCATTGGTTTTCTTGTTTCTGTGCCAATTCTGTAATCAAGCATGAGGCATCGTTTTGATTAATTGTCAAAATTAGAAATTTGTTCATTGACTAGCAGAATAATTGTTTCCTGCACTTCCATGCAATATATGTAAAACGTTAGATATAACAAATGTATTGGCTGTGCTTTAAGACAAGCCAGACTACATATTATGGTATTTCCCGCTTAGTGCTAGCAAAAGACCCATAGAGAGAAACGTAAAAAAAAAAAAATTAATTACTTTTTTATTTATATAGAGAAGGAATAATTCCAGCATTTTGCAGGACGGATATGACACCTGTCATAGCAAAAATTACAGCAGCGATATTAAACACCAGCGACACAGGTTCATGAACAAAGGTGCGATGGTAATCTGTATACAAGTTAGAAAAGAAATTGTAGTACCTTTTTTTCATGCTTGTCAAAGTATCATATTGGCGCTTCACCAAGAAATCCTGACTTGAATGGTGAATAAAATACGGGCACTTAATCACATTATCTTTCCAAAACTGCCAGTCGATCCGATTTGAGTCAATAAATCCCACCGATTTGGCGAGCTCAAAATTCTCTTGATCAGGTATAATTAATTTAAAGGTGTAAAGCATGGATAGCCTAAATTGCTGATAACGTCTTAATTTGTTTACTGTCATGTTTTCAAAATGCTCGGCAAAAGTGGAATATGTAATCTTGTTCATGTAAAATGATTTGGATTTTGAGAAACATAACGTGATTTTGTGGCCGGTTTCCATAACACCAAATTTATAAAAGGAAAGCTTCATGTCCACCAACGTCGGAAATCCGTCTGCTAATGTGTGTAACATTTCTTGTGAAACGAGATCTTCTTGTGCGACCGAAATAGGAAAGTGTAACTTCAACATGAGTTCCCGCATGTCCAACAAACCATGAAAATTTCCCATAATCATTTCCATATTCTTAACAAATTCCGTACACAGATAATCGCATCGCATATAATAGAGCACCATAAATATAGCCAAACATTTGTTGTAAGGAACTGAAGGTATATGGCCTAATTCTTGCTGCGGCTTTAGTAAAAGTTTATTCATGTACTTGAAGTCGCAAATTTGAGAGTAAACACTACTGTTGATCTTGTAAAATATCTTGCCAGACATCAAATCCTTGGTCAGCATCTCGATATTAATTTCGTTAGTTGTGCTGCAATCTTCATATTGGTAGCTGTTCATCAAGAGCTGTTCCAGTTGACCAAGCGATTCAATCTCAATGATTTTTATATCCGGTTTATTTTGGATGGCAATTTGATAAAGGGCTCCGGGCGCAGGCTCTTTCTCGTCTTCGATTTGAAGAGGTCGAAGAATACGCGGACAGTTCTGGACTATGTCTGAGTATTGAATATAAGGATCATTTTCATAAGATTTATCTGCGGGTAAGGCTTTGATAAATCCATAATAGTCCTTCATCTTTTGATCATAATCCAGCTTGATTGTGCTCCACTGCTCAAAACTGATCATAATTCTTTCATCAGAAGGATACTTGTTACAAGGGAAGATGTTCTCAAACGCTTCTTTTTCTTCCTCTGGCAGTTGAGCAATAAAATCACAGCGTGAGATTAGTACTGACATTTTATAAAAACGAGAAAAAAGGGGGCTGTGAAAGAAGGACAACACAAAGCCAAAAATAAACTTATCATTCAGAAATAATAATAAAAAGGTTGTATCACCATCCAATGTTACATGAAGATCTACCAATGAAATATGCACAGTTTTGGTTACTTTATTTTTTTACATTATTTTTCTTGTTGCAATGTAGCAGCACAAAGTTTCAAGATTTCCTCGGTCTTTTTACCCACATTAGATACATCTTTTGCAACCGCTTGCCAATATTCACCATGACGAGGTTCTGCCATCACACATCGTTTCACGACAAGGTCCTGTTGCTCCTTTGTGCCGTGCTGTAATTCGAATTTATACCACCAGGCAAATGAATCGCCATGATCCGAGTCGTTCTGTATCGCCTTTTGGAACCAGTTTCTTGCCTTTTCAATTTTACGGTCAGCCCAGAATAATCGCGCAACCGCTGTGATGACGACTGGATCATGTTCACACTTCTTTAAAGCATCCACACCACGCGCCTTTCTTTGAGGTCTTGCCTCCATAAAGATTACTTCGGTCCAAATTACGCCTGAAGTAGGGCATTCTTGCAAAGCTTTAGAAGCCAATGACTTGGCCACACTTATGTTATTATTACGTTTTTCTATACGAATAGCCTGTACCCAAAGTTCTGGACTCTTAGGATTGATGAAACGGGCTTTTTCTAGAGAGGCACGAGCCTTTGTGACCATTCCCAGTTTCTCTTCTAATAAAGCCAACAGAATCCAAAGAGTCACACTCTTAGGACAGCTCTTGACAGCTTGGTTATAAATTTCACGCGCTCTGGGAGAATTACCCAAAGAATCTTCGATCTGGCCCTTGATCATCCAGAGCTTATCAAATGTAGGAAACTTTTGTAATGCCTCGTCCAACAAGGTATTGCACGCCTCGTAGTTATGCATCTGTCTTTCCAACATGACGGATTTCATCCACACACGCTCTGTGCCTGATTCCTTTCTTGCCAATTCCAACAATTTACGGGCACGGTCATATTCGTCATTTTCACTTTCGACCTTAACAGCGGCCAACCAAATTTGTTCACTGTTGGGGTTAGCACGGAATGCTTCTTCCAAAATTGTACGTGCACTTTCGACATCCCCTGCCAACCATTTTTCTTTGGCTCCCATCAACCAAAGCACTTCAGCTTGAGGACAGTATTTGACAGCACGTTGTAATAATTCCTCCACACTCGCCGGTGTGCCGTGTGATTTTTCGAGATAAGCAGCTTGCTGCCAAATAGATGCTTTGCCGGGAAACTCTTTTAGTGCATGAGCATAAATGGCACGCGCAGTTTCAATAGCCCCATGAGCAATACAGCTTTCTGCATCCTCCATCCATGTGGATTTGCGATCCTCTTCTTCAATACCCATACCAATGGTAGCACGCACAATGGCTTGGCAAGTCAAGACAGATCCATTCTTTTCGCACTTTTCGGCTTCTTCGATCCACTGTTCACGATCCAATAAAGCACCCGATTGTGACAGGGCTTTTGCGGCCAATGTGATGATCTTATCCACCATTTCAGGTTTACCATGTTCTTCTTGCAATCTGGCAGCGGCAATCCAAATTTCATGACTGGAGGGGATGGCAGCACGGGCTTTATTTAAGACAGTTTGTGCATTCTTGTAGGTTTCTAAACGAGCCAATGCAAGCCAAAGATCAACACTGAGTGGCACCAATTCGACGGCACGAGACAATAAGACTTTGGCATCCTCGGGATTTTCCTCTAAATTAATAGCAGCACGCCATAAACTGACAGAGTTTGGAATGAATTCAAGGGCACGACGCAATACCTTCTTTTTGGCCTTGTTGTCTGATTCGAGCGAAACTGCTTTCAACCAGATTTTGACAGATTGGGGCAAATGACGCACAGCGTCACCCAAAATGATCTTTGCGTTATCTGTAGTGTTTAATCTGGCAGATTCTAACCAAACATCCTCGCTCTTGGGACATTGTTCACAACCCTTTGCAATGATATTTCTAGCGTGTACGATTCTTCCCGCTACTTCTTCCAGGCGAGCAGCAGCGATCCAACCTGGTGCATGTTTAGGGTTGGTGGTAATGACTGAATTGAGTAATAATCTGGCCTTTTTCAAATCACCGATTTCGGCATCACTCTTGACAACGACACTGTTTAAATCGGTTAAATATCCCTTGGGATCAATAGTGGTTTTTCCAGAAACCGAATCTGACACTTGATCCAATTTGAGGCCCAACACTTTATCTCTTGCTTGACCGATTTCTCTGAAATTGGTCATCATATCATTACTACTGGCAGCAGCGGAAGATACGATGCCACCTAATTTCTGTTCAGTAGCGTCTAATGCGGTTTCGTATTGAGATTTATCCCTTGCTGCGGCAATAATTGAATCTGGCATAGGGGTAAATCGCTCGGGGGCTTTATTACGACGACGGTTTTTGCCAACGAGGTCACCGACTTCAGGAATGGCGGCCCATTCGGCATCGTCAATGGAAGATAATTGACGCTTTAAATCAGCAAATTGTTGAGAGATCTTGGGTCGCTCCAATCTATAACGGGCTAATTCTTCTCGTTCACGGGCTTCACGACGGGCTTTACGACGTTCGTCCATTTTGGCATCAATCATGTCCCACACGCGATCGGCTTCTTCATCGTCTTCTTCGTATGGTGCAGACGAAAATAATCCAACCTCATTGTCCGGATCTTGATATCTTTCTTCTTCATCGTCACCCTCTTTAGCCACTGTTTTGGCTGGATCACTAAATTAAAAGAGCACATTAGTAACATGTTTTTTGCATTGATAATTCAGCTTACGCTTCTCCTCCTGATTCTCTGGCGGGACCGATATCCGATCGTGTTGTGAAGCCTGTAGCACCACGGCCTAAACCTGCAACATAATTAGGTGGTGCTGGTTTTCCTACGAAATCTTTAACACCAAACATTGAAAAGCAAGTGAGAAAATTAAAAAAAAAAGCTTGCGATTTTTTTTTTTATATATATTTATAAACGGGAAATGCTACGTCATCGGGATGACCTTCATGTTAAAAAAGGGGTAAGAGCAACCATGGTATGACAAGACCTCGGTGCACTTCAAAAACGTGCAATATAAAATGTAATCAATTTATTGAAATTCCTTTTATTTCTTTTTTTTTTCTTTGTTATTATTTTTTTTAATATTATTTTGTTAGAGATGTCTAGACATAATTCAATAGATGCATTAAGGGAGAGATATCAAAGATCTAGACTGCAGCAACCAGATCCTGTTGCGACTGTATATGAAGAAGAAGAGGAGGAGGAAGAAGAAGAGGAGGAAGAAGAAATAGAGGATGATGATTATTCCATGTATTCTTCCTCTTCCAGCATTCCCGATGAAAATATTAATTTTGATCTTGTTTATGCATTACATACGTTTGTAGCGACTGTGGACGGACAGGCTTCTGTGGTGAAGGGAGATGCGATGACCTTATTAGACGACACAAATTCATACTGGTGGTTAATCAGAGCATTAAAAGCATCCGAAGTAGGCTATATACCTGCTGAAAATATTGAAGTAAAGTGTAAATGTAAATTACCCAACATTTATTTTCTCCTCTTTCTAATAACCTTTTTCAGACTCCTTTTGAAAGATTAGCTCGATTAAATAAACATCGAAATGTCCAAGTAAGGTCTTTGCAAAAATACTGTTAATTTATCTTATTCATTATTAAAACAGGTTACCTCACTTGATCAATTGCAACATTATGGTCCCGTCAGTACGAGTACCCGCAGCAATAATAAAAACAAGGTTAAAGTTTCAAAACAACTTGCATGTCAATTACAAATTATTATAACCGACGATGATGATGCTGAAGTCTATCAAGAAGTCTTTGAGAAATGGGATGAGCCCATGGCCTTACCAGACGAAGAAGAGGATCTCCAAGAAGAAAAAGATCAGCCTGCTCCAGATCCATACGCTCCTTTATTAAATCCCGAGTTTAATAAACCTATAAATATTGACAAACCATTACCAGTCAGAGTCATCACACCTCCTCCTCCTCCGTTGCAAGTAGCGCCCCAAGTTGTCGAAGAGCCTGTCAAACCCATACTAAAGTTAGAGGAACAACATATACCAAAGAAAGTCACCGGCCTAAAGAGATTACTGTCCATCGGAAATGGTGCCAGTAAGAAAAAATCAGTGGAACCTATTGTCGTACAACAAAAAGAGGATGATGAACAGTACCATGTTTTACGTATCTTTTCTGGAAACATTAATGTCGGTGCCTTATTTAATACCGTCGCTGTCACACCAGAAATGAATGCAGATCAACTTTTGAAACTCGCCTTACAAAAGTTTCATATCCCATTGCTGGAGACTTCAAAACGTCCCACCAGTCTTCAAAACGGCATTGAATACTACCTGACTGTCAAATCCATGGATGGAGGTAAACTATTACACCCAAAAAGATGTCTTTAATATGCGTTAACTCTTTCTATAGACGAAATCACCTTGGAACCACAAGATAAACCTTTAGCGATTTTTGAGTCACTTTCCGATCACCTTACCACTCCCATGCCTTCATTAACATACATCAAACGGCTGTCAATTGAACAACCCACCATCAAAGTAACCCGTGTTGGTGTATCCAAAGCACGACAACGTGCAAAGGCTCGTTTCGGGGAGGATTCAGTCATCCGCTTTTCACTTCATAAACGTATCAAGCGCACAATCGACACTGCTGCCGGCCAAATCTATGTCAAGATCTCTTATTACGCAGCAGATAATAAACAGCTGGTGGCCAGTTCGGCTAAAATATCTACCATGGGCTTGATCCGCAAAAGTAGTCTGTTACGTGTGGACCAGCATATTCAGCAACAACAACAACAGCTGAATGATAAAAAGGCCGCTCAGGAACGCATTGATAAATTAGTAGCGATTTCAACCACCACACTTATTTCGGATTTGACATTAACGGCGCTAGAAAAGTTTCACATGGTGGATCAAGATAAGTCGCTTTTTGGCATGGTATTATCGTTAAATGGACAAGGTAAAAAGAGTGCATAAGGGGAATGTGTTAACATTTTTGTATTGAGCAAAGTGTATGTTTTTGTAGAAGTACCATTAGTGCCAACAAAGACAATTTCGGACATTCTAAATGATCCAGACCTCATACCCAAAGGAACCGTTGAGAAATTATTCGTGTTACGTAAAAAGAACACGGCTGTGATACCCAGTGAATCCGAATCTACCAATCGGTTTGTACGTTATATACTTAAACAACAACAGGATGTACCCGAGCACACACCATCTAGTACAGGCAGTGTCCTGAAGCGTTTAGATCAAGCCATTCTGTCACTTGAAAATGACAAACGACAACTGGACAAGTTTCAATATAATGTAAATAAGCTAATATGGGAGTCATAGTAACGGGATCAATCTAATCAATTTTTTTAATGCATGTAGGGATCTTCACCATTGCCACCTTTAAGTCGAAATAATAGTCAAGGAATTACTTCCACCACAGCAAGGGTTGTACCTGTACGATCCAACAGTTTATCATCCATCTCATATCGATCCAAAGGTAAGATTTTTTGTATGTGTGTGTGTCACGACATGAACTCTAAAAAAAAAGCTTGTCCTGTAATAGATAACAAATTTCCACCTACAAGAAGTTCGTCATTAAAGATTGGCGGCGATGTTTTTGATAATAGTGTGAGTCCAAGTATATCGAATATGGATGATCTTGAATTGGTAAGAAATAAAAAGCGTCGCATTCCTTTTTTTGTCTATAACTGTTTTTTTTTTTAGGAATTACAACGTATTGCTACTTCTCAATAATCATAATAATAAATGTATTTTTATCAGAAAAAAAAAAAAAAAACTACAGGATGGGGTTCGCTTTTCGATACCATCTGCGTCTTCTTGTTAATGCTCGCGAGCTGTCTGTCAGAACAGCAGCTCTGCCAGTCATAGATTCAGGTCGACCTCGTGGATTAGACCAACGATGATCTGAATATACCCAACCCTGTTCATCACACTCAATTAAAGTCTACAAAAAGAATGAGTATTTGTTATGTTTTGTTGTGTTACAAATGTTCTTACAACTATGTATTAAAAAGGACGGTGAGAAAAAAAGAAGGGAAAAGAGGGACTAAAATATAAAATAATTACCTATTTCAAGTGCATCATCTGCCCAGGGACCCGTGGTATCTAGATGCCATTCATCATCCTCTTGCCAAGTATAATTTGTAGGTGAAGGCATCTCTTCTTTTGATGGCAATGGTTCCAGACCAGTGATATTTGACCATGCAGATCTTTCTGATCTTAAAAGCTATCCATACTTGTTACTTCACCTTCTTTTGTATAATTTTAATTTTATTACTCACTTGTGATGTATATCCGGTACCTGCCCACCATCGTTGATTTTCATACAAGGAAACTTGAATGGGCTCACGAGGCACTACGTTTTTCTTTTCGGTTGATTTATGCACCAGTTCAAACCCGGTTTGAAGCACCTCCATCGTGAACTGCAATAAAATTTCCAGCGTTGAACCTACCCAAGTCTTATTCAATAAGAGCATCAAGCCGATCGCCATAATGAGCCATTTTCCAAACAGGTAAAATAAGGAGGATATGCCTAGACTGACAACGAACAGGATCTTATAGGTGGTACTGGTTAAAGATAAATGTTGTAGGTGATAAGCAAAGTTGTCATAGATGCGAATAAAGAACAAGAAGGCATACTGCATGCTTTCAAGGTTCATGTAGTATTCAGAAGTATGTTCATCGAATCTTGGGAATAATATTTGCGAAGCGGGTTGGTTGAGAACCCCGTTTTGAGAATAGAGGAATAGGATGAGCATAGGTGGTACCAGTAACAATGTGTGCGAGTATAAGCCTAAATACATGTTAAATTAAGACGTTCTTAATTTTTTTTTCTTTTTTTGGCGTAAAAAATAATTACATGTGGATATCCAAAATAAGCATGCCAGTAATGAATAAGACCTTTGTTTCCAACTGTAAATATCATGCACCAATTTGCCTATGTAAAAAAACGCTCTTGAACGAGCCACCAGCCGAGTAAAAGCTTTCGCTGTGGCATGAGGACTCATAGATCCTTCGTGCTGTAGCTGTTGCTTTAATGATTTTCGATGTGCTTTATTAGCTGCCTTTTCATCCATCATGGTTTTTGGACCGTCCAACAGTCTTTTTCGACCACTGCTATTACTGTTATTGTCATCCACTACGAGGCGATCAAGTGAAGTTCGATGGGAATGCCTTGTTACTGACTCTGCTTCGGAATCGGTGACTGAAAGTGAATCTGGGCTTCGGCGTCGAGGTGGTCTACACTGAATCACCATGTCGCTACAAAATGTATGACAATTATATCCACATTCTACAAGTATTTTTCTTTATTAATTTAAAATGACACCAAAACTGTTAAGAGTTAATTACCTGTGCAGTGAACTCCTTTTGCTAAACCCCATAGAAGTTTTGTACAGTAATCACAATACACGAGCCCATGAAAATTTTGTTCTTTGAACACATGGAACTTTGCAACTGAAGGCATGTTTTATAATGTAAGTCTTGCAACAACAGAAAAAGGGCCAGGCAAACAAAAAATAAAATAAAATAAAAATAAAATAAAATAAACAAGAGTAAATTTAACACGTGAATGTTTATGTGTGACGTATGTAGATAATTGTTTCATGCGGTTTTTAAGGGGTATATCAAAAACAAATATTACATAATTAGTGGAGGGCACCAAGAGCAGTAAATGACATGACAATGATACCAAATACAACTAGCACAACAGACGCGATATCCAACCACCAAGTAGATTTGGCTTGTACCTTTAAACAAGCAGGGTCGATCAAAGCAGGTCTGTTCAACCAGTTGGGATGAAAGACTGCGACATAGGCGAATCCGGGAATGATGTACGCTAAGAAAGAAGAGGCAATACCACCTACTACCGAATAGACTTTACCCAAAGATCTGATTTGAACACCAAAAATTAAAAAGATTGCAAATAGAACAACGGTGACGCTATAATGTTGTAATGCTGTAGGTTGACGGTCAGCCGTTTCAAAGCCAATTGTCTTTTGTACCGCTTCTCTTGCTGGGTAAAATGCCATTCTAAGAAGGAAATTATTAATACTTTATGATTTTAAAAAGGAGTTTTTAAATATATATGAACTTACGGAACGGTAAGAACCATCGATAAACCCAAGGCAAATCGGCCAACATTAATGACGTTATCATCGACGGGGAAATTACTGAATAAACTACTTGAGACATCCTTGCCAAAGCTGAGGTAACCAATGGCAGCAAAGGACATGGAAATAGCCCAACTCATTAAAGTAGACAGGAACGAGGTGATCTTCCAAGAGTCCATAGACTGGTTCTTTTGCGAAAGATAATTGGAATGAGCTACTTGAGAACAAACGAAAGCAAATGACATAATTCCCATTGCGGCAACGGGATCTCTACCGACCTCCATAATAGGAGCCTCATGTTCTTTGGAATAAGCGGGTGCTCGGATCAATACAGTGATAATCATGACGGGTAACAGCAAGACGGAGAATGCGGACCATCGCGCAAGTGCTCCGATGGATCTAAATAAATTGAGAGGAAAGATCTTTTTAGAAGCATTAGTGTGTGCGGGGTCATATTAAAACGTTACAGAAATAACTTACGACCAAGACCGCAACAAGAATAGTGACCAATTGACGGTCCGCCAAGGCTGGAAATTGGGGGAAATAGAGCCCTAATAAAATTGGAATTGTATCCGCAACCACTATAAACAACATAATTAATATCTGTAACCATCTCAGAAAATCCCCCTTAAAACTTACAAATAAAATAACTAATAACACTGCCTGCACTCTGAATAAATAACATCAAATTCAACATGTGGAAACCAAATCGTCCCATAGCAACCTCGGCAATCGTAGAGAAATTGAAGATTTGCGTCTTTTGGCCCGTCAAGATAAGAGTATAAACAGCAAAGAATGTGAGAATAGACACAAACACAGAGATCGCAATACCAGTGGAGAAACCAGCAATCAACAAAGCGAATGGTAAACCAATGATACCAGATCCCACAGTCGCATTGACGATATTTAAAGAAACCTCAAATACACTGCGAGTACCGTAACCAGGACGACTAGATTGCAACAAATCTAAATCTTCCACAGGTTCCACAGGAATTGTACCATATTCTGTCCGACTTGTCATTTTTTTAGAAAAAAATAAAAAAATATTTATATAGAAAAAAAGATAAAGAAAAAAAAGATAGTCCATTGTTCGTTTTATAGTTGATCGGAGTTATTTGCAAGTTGATCACAAAAAACATTTAACAGAAAACGATTTGATCCATAACATGAGTCACTTGGTATTTCACCCACTGTTGTTATATCAAACACAAATAGCCCCTTTCAACTGTTTGAACCACTCAGCACTCGCTTTGCAAAAAATTACCATTTTTAGCATCTATACATATCTACATATAAAATAAAGGGGGCGAATCCCATTTCTTATTCTCAAACAGCCATACTTTACAGGAGCCCCAACATAGAACAACTTTTCGCTCTTTCTCAAAAATATAGCAGCCATTAAATTACAGACACTATGGTTAGTTATGCCTGTCTGGGGTTATTGTGTTCTTATTGACAAACACTTATACTGATGCAATCATTGATAACGGATAAACTATTAAATGAGGCTATCAAACAGTCTCTCTAATCGCGGGCATGAATACTAAGCTAGCAGTTTGGGCGACATTGCCTGTGTTTTATTATCTTCATATTGGGTAAACATTTCTAATGTACACTTTTTAAGCCGGGCTATGCGTTTGTCTATCATCGATCTTAATTTTTTTTAATTTTTGGCTGTTTTAATAGATTCTATGCCCCTTAATAATGTCAGTAATATAAGTAAAAGAATGGTCGAACTATGTCCTTGTATCTTTTAAAAAAAAATAGGATATATCTAGACCTACATACATTGCATTACATATATTAGGAGGAGTTCATCTTGCGGATCTCAGCGTCAAAGTGGCGTGATCGTCATTTGACATCAATTCGAATTCTCATTGGGTTTTAAAAAGAGCAGCGTCTTATATATTTCACCAGGGATTGTAAAAAGGCGTAACTTCTACTTTATCACTTGTTCACAAGATGTCGTTATCCCTATCTCGAGTCTTATTCACATTCACACCTTATTGAAAAATGACAGCACCTTATATTTCAACAACAATAACAACAATAAATAAAAACAAATATCGGATGAGAGTATTAATGTTTTATTTTGTTTTTCACTGTTAAAACAGTTTTGGTGCAGCCTTTTGTGTTACGGTCTAGACTAACCATATGCGTCAAAAAAACCACGGCGTTGGTTTTCCTGTCAAATGCACAGACTTTGACGACCTATTCTCTTTAAGGCAATCCTATTTTTTTTTTTAGCAAAACTGTTATTGAATACATACAAGATGTGTACTGCGTTCAGTAAAGTTAAATTAAATGCTGAAACATCCATATTCCTCATGTCTTCAGTCATTCACGCAGTCATAAAAAAATGACACACATAGAATTTATTTATTTTAAAGTTTAACAAGATTTAGTTTCTTATCTTATCGTACGTTATTATCGTAAAGAGAGTCTCTTGTACTATCATCAGTGACAAATATGCTGTCAGTGGTACCCGATTCGCCAAATGCTTGTTGTCAGCTAAAGGTGTAACTGTACACATCTGATTGTCTTATCATGAAGTCTTGCATAGGCGGTTTATTATGCTTAGCTAACCTCGTGACATAATATCTTCGTTCATTCGGTATGCTTACTAAATTATCATCTGTGCGGCTATACCATAAACATGGGTATATATTCTTAAAAGCATTTATATGACTATATCCTGGGTAAATTACCACAGATGACTAGAAGAGAAAAAAAAATCCCATTAAAATGTTCTTTTTTTTTTTTGTTCGAAAGTCGATGTCACTTCACTAATACATTCAAGCGATGTTAAAGGAGAAAGGTGAGAATTTTATTAAATGCTTTATAGCTTTTATTGAATAATCATGAGGAAGGGCATCATAGAAATTATGGGGAATTTCGAGGCTATCGCCTCTGATTTTCGGGGGATAGAAGGTGCTTCTTATCCATTGAGTGTGTATAAGAAGTTTTCATCCCGAGTTATGCCGCAAAAGTGTTTATCATAAGCCCCAGCTTTAGAAATGCTCCATTCGATTAAGGTTGACTGGTTACAGACGTTTTCCTATGGCGATGTTGATGTTAGAATTAAAAAAACAATACAAGTATTATAAACCTTCCATACCTCTAAAGAGAAAAGAGACAAAAACCACTTAGCTGCATTATTGTCAAATTCAGACAGAATTCGTGATATCGCGGTTTCAGTACTCATTGACTACGTATAGACCAAGAGCAGCAAGGGATAGTGTGTTAACCTCACATTGTAAACAGTTAGGCTTACACTATATTTAACTGTGATTACACTGTAAATGGCTGGGATCACCTAATTGAACACAATCACAATTAGTTTCTTTGTTTTTGGTTTAAGCAAATACCACAGTATATAATTACCACTCAATTGTATAAACAACACATTAACATAAATTGGAGTCAATTGATGGTGCCTTGCGGATAATTTCGTCAAGAACACATTTACTCTCGATAATTAACTTGACATGGTCATCATCAATTTTTTGGCTAGTCATTTGCCTTGAAGCTTCCATGTTACTCAAGTCGTTTCCGACATCATCCACTCAGACAATAATGCGTGCAGAAACCGTATAATCTTCTTGACATGCTGCAGAAAAGGATTCTCCCCTATGATACGACTGTTTATTTAGAGATAACCAGATGAATAAAAGATCTGCTTACCATTTGATATAGAGTTTATCCTCCGTAAAAAGAGCCCCCAAGATGGATCCCCAAATGTTAATGACATATTAATAATTGGTTGGGTTCTTTCTGGACTTTGGGTGTAGTATGTCCCTTCTTTTTCGGTAAAGATTGATGCTAAAGTATGCATAATAAATGTATTTTATATGTGTGTCTTCTTTTTTACTTTTATATGACTATAATTAGAATATGAAATATCATCCGTGCTATTTAAATGGTTAATCACAAGTTGTCGGGACAATTTGTAAGCACTATCGAGGTAGTCCTGCCTTAGATGTTATTGTTTTTTTAGTATTATAATTAGGAGAAAAATGTCAAACACAATAACCTTATTTATGTCCTTCAACTTGTGATCCATCGTCTTTAAGTGAAAGCTGGTTCTGTGGCCATAGTGCCCGACGATTACTTTCTATTCTTCCTCCGTAAAAAACTGCTGCTGGCTTCCACATCTTTGATCTGAAAGATCAAGTACGAGACTTAAACAGAAACTGGAGGCCACTCAAATAAAATTTTAAAATTTGATCTGAAACCAGGCGGGATTACCCCCTGAAACTACATTATAATAATTAGGTTTGATAGACCATAAATGGGTTTCCATAAAATTGGCTCCTCTGTTTTTGTATTATTATACTTAGGGCCAAGTCTTTCTTAATGATTGCCTGGCACCAGTTAAAGAATCTAACACTAAGATCTTCATTATTTAAAAACTTATCAATGACTGCCTTGAATTCTTCCTCCGCCGATTTTCTGGTAATCTGATAGATCATAGGATTGAAGCATGCAATGGGATCAAAATCCCTGTAATTCTCGACGATGTATTCTTCCATTTTTTTAAAGAATAATAAAAGCGCTTGAGATCTTATTGCCAGACATCGAATTATATTTCTGTAAAGTGTGAAAGGCCAACATTAAATAATCGAAAAATAACGTTGCCATTATTTTCCACTGGTTAGCAGTAAAAAGCTGCATCTGGGTTTTACTCTTTTTGATCGGAAAAATTGAGCACCGAAGTCAAACATAATCTACGGTAGATAATTAGATTTGATAGACCATAGGCCTAGGTAAGAGCAGTCACCTGGCCGTTTTTTGTTCTTTAGAGTTTAAGCTCCAAAATCTTTTAGCTTGGCCCTTTCCTGCATTCTTCATGATGGAACCACCGCTTTTGGTGCTCAACAATAGATTGTCTCAACATCCTATTTTGATATGTGAACGCAAGTAATTAGTGGCTGCGATGGGATAAGATTATGTTATATTTAAACTCATTACCTCTTGATTTGCTGTTTCATTCCCGATTCAACTATCTAGATTTTCAGCGCGCGTTATTTTACCATGATCGCCCTTCAAGACGTTATCCATAGTTCCGATTTTTTACGCACACGTCTAGAATAAGGTTTACGCCTATTCATGTGAATCTACACAATTGTCACTTCTCTCATCTGCAAATGTCGAGATGCTGTATATACATGATTTTTTAATACCCTGAATGAAAGTTATGATAGAATTTATGTGATTTACATTAACCCCAGCTTAAAGATGAGTGCTCATCGTATAGTAGAGCCTAGCCGCAACCATAATATTACCAATATCCCGCAAAAATCGGAACACATCTTTTTTATCATATTTAAGCCTCTTCTTGAAAGAGCGAAAGTCATTAGTAACTAACTTTTCTACATTGTTTATTAAATTCTTTCATAAAAAAGTGCTGTATATGAACATAAAAAAACAGAAGGAAAAGAAGAAAAATGTGTGTGAACGACCATTATTTATAGATTGATAAACAAGAGCCAATTTACGTCAGGATGATGTAATTTTTGATTATTTAATCAGTTATAATGTTTAAAGAAAACGTTTTTTAGGTAGAGCAGTAGTGCTTTCACATAAAGCGGTATGCCATAAATATATTCATGTAGATATATGATAGCCAAATAAAGTGGACAGTCTTTGATTTTTGCACCGCAAAAACAAGAACACAAGCCTCATGTCTTTCATTGTGATGTTGGGGCTAATATGTAGCTTCTCTCCAAAATTTTTTTGGATACTTTCTAGAATGCAGCATTGTAACCAACTCATCAGAATTAAACGGGCCAACACTCTTATCCTGTAGACTATTGCTCCCCTTCCTTGCTTGTCCCACCAGCGAGCTTTGGGCGGAGATCCAAGTGAATTTTATTTAAGGTTTTACGAACATTGCATTACGTTAAAATAGATTAACGTCAATTCGAATTCTTGATTTTTAAAAAATTAACAAAGCTTCAAATTTCATTGACAATTATAAAAAGGCGTAACTGAAATCCCTACTTTATTACTTCATGACTTATTCTTGCTAGCGCTACCATCTTTATCCCAGGCTATATTTTATAAACAAATTTTATTAAATAATGACAGTACCATTTATCTCTCAAAAAAAAAAAAAAAAAAAAAAAAAAAAAAAATCCGCAAGATTAAATATTGCACTTCATTATTTTACTAAAGAAGTAGTTTTAGCAAGTTCTTTGGTACCACAATCTAAGCTAACCACATGTGTCCACAAAACCAAGGTATTGGTCGTCCTGTCAAATGCATAGGCTTTAGGTGACCTATTATTTTTAAGGCTACACAAAAATAATAAGCAAGCAAAAATGTTACCTTATGCATAGCGATGCTATGATAAGGTAGTATATAAAGAAGAAGGAAAAAAAAAAAGAACACACACTGATATTAGCACCCTGAAAAAAATTGTCAAGAATGCCCATATAGTTAAAGCATTTAACAAATCCCATAGTTGAACGGAAGTACACATTATGTCAAGCATCTCCATGTTAGACAAGATTAAGCACCTATCTTATCACTACACGACATAGTAAGTAAAGGTTATCTATGAACTTTAATAAGTCTATCTTCGCACGGTACATCAGCATTATTTAAACTTTTTCTGAAAATCAATGAAATTTATATTGCCATAACGAATTATTTATTACTCGATTCACTTTCCAATTATTGGTGTCTGACTGATGAACAAAAGGACACGAGCTCGCTTTTTTTTTTAATGGAATTTCATGATCGCTAATGTTTACCTAGAATACGTATCATCAATATAAGATATGGTAAGATCTCGTAGTTAGCCTAGGATGATATGTACATTTTGGACTGTATTAGCTATATTGTAGTCCTTAACAGTCGTTTCATATGCCCTGTTAAAAATCAGCTACATCAAAAAACTTGAAATGAAACATGAGCCAAATTTTGTTGCAGGTGCCACAATTTGCTTGATTTCGAAAGAATTCAGTCTCGTTGGTCTTATAATCGTCCGGGCCAGTGACTGAAGCAATAGATAATGTTTACTAGCTAAACCAAAAAAATATTTTATACGAGCGATCTCGTATTAGCTTTTGATTTGGAACGTATAAACATCGCTACGCAGACTGTCCAACCGCTTATATTCTTATATATGCAATCTTTAGAAAGAGGTCAATTTGTCATTACTTATGCCGATGCCCATTGATTTTGTTGGTTATCTTATGAATATAGATCACATATATACTCTATCAGAACATCCCTTAGTTATCGTTCTCCATTAAAGTACTAATAATATAATAAGTATAAATAGAAATTTCGATGAGATTTTTATTTTTCTCATTCTGAATTAACAGTCATTCTCTATCTGTGTGTCGACCGAATTTCTGTGCTGAATTATTTGAGCTGTGGCAAAACCGAAATACACTCCGAATTACCAAACCCCGTGGATCAGTCTACTCTTAAATTTTAACAAACGGTTTTTCCCTAATATCAGTTTCAATACCGACTATGTAACCCGTTTTAATCTGTTGTGGCTACGTAAATTACAATCATATGGCTATAGCCTGTTACATTAAGCATCTACGAATTGTGACAATTAGTCTGGAATTATTCTGTAACCCATGGTGGGATGAACTTCTTGTGCCAGTATTTTGCTTCAATTACCACCAGTTATAAAATATTTAATAGTGTATGGAACCATTGATAAACTTTTTTTTTATGACCAGTATTTTCCAGTTGTTACACGGATAACCCGTATGCAACCTTTTGTTCGTCTTCCTTATTGGTTCTGATCAATTTTCATTACTTGCATTCTATTTAGAAAATTGTTTGGTTAGTAGGCCAATGTTATATTAAAAATAGGTAATAAGTGAAGATGAGAATTTTAAGTAACATTTTGTTTTTGTTCTATTTGGGACTTACAGCTAGGATGTGGTTTGTCGATAAACTTCTTGATAAGCTTTGTTTACACTGATTTTCACCATGTCTTTAGGAACAATATAAGGATTTACATCGCGACAAGTATTTATTTGCCCTGCTATATAGTATTTTATACATTCTTAACTTTCTTAGTCCATTGAAGATTTGGACTATTATAAAGTTAAATATGTGTAACGATTTAATACATATATATAAAAAAACGGAGCAGCATTTATTATAGTCATAAATCATTTGTTTGGGGGCATAAGGCATAATGTGTATATGTGTTTTTGATTTCATTTATGGAGCATAGTGAGAATTATCCTCTGGATATAATACATTGTTCAACATGTTGGAATCAGATTGTTGTCGTTTATTAGCAGCATGATAATTTGCTGCAGATGCAATCAAAGGTAACAATTCAACGGGTAAACTATTTAAATGGATACCAACCGATTCTAAAATGGCGTATACTGCAGCGTTTGTCTCAGCTGGAGGTTGAGATTGCTGTAGCTGTTGCTGTTGCTGCTGAAGCTGCTGAAGCTGTTGCTGTTGTGAATGTTGTTGATTATGTTGCTGCTGCTGCTGCTGCTGTTGAGACGGTGGTAGTAGCGGCGGCACTGGTGATGTACTTTTCAAAAACGGAGGTGCCATTTCTGATGTACGCCTTTGCCTTTTAATTAAACTTGGTCGTTGAGGCGCAATATGTACCGTATTTCGTCTATCAATCAGTATCTTTTCATCCTTCGTTTCGGCTTTTTTCGGCTTTTGTTGTTGCTGCTGAGGCTGTTGTTGCTGTTGTTGTTGTTTTATATGTGTTGTACTAGTTCGGTTACGTTTCTTGATGATGTCGGTTTTTAAACTAAGTGGTCGAACCGCACCGTGCAATTTTAAAAAGAGACCACATGCGTTACATAACGGGTGGCCTTGTGGATCTCGACGCCAAAGTGGTGTGGTTGTGGTTTGACAATTCGAACATTGTGTCTTTACTGAACATGCTGGATGTTGTCGGTTGGATTTGGACTTCTTCTTTTTTACATAGTCAGCATCAATCTCATCGTCTTGGCTATGATAATCAGAACTCGACATCGAATGAGGCGAGGAAGCAGAAGGCGGAGAGGAAGCTGCAGATTCATTTGCTGACGATAAATGTAAGTTCATCATGGCTAAATCTGGAGGTCTTGTTGTATTATTGTTGTAATAAACATTTAAAATATCCTCAAAGCTCAAACTGCCAGCGTTGGTCATCAATGGCTCTTGAGGTTGATAATGTTGTGGTGAAGAAGACTCGAAATAGAAGGAACCGTCTGTATTTAAGGGCGATGTGGGGTGATGGTATTGTCCATGTTGTAATAAAGTAGGTGTAGTGATTGGACTCGTGTTTTGACTATTATGCATAAAATAGGACCTTGAGGGTACGGATTGACTGAAATGATTAAAATCTTCCTCGTCCAATGAATATTGATCAACAGGTTCTTCATGTAGTGAGGGGATTGTTATACTATTGATTTGGGTGTTAAAGTCTGATCTTCTTTTGACAGGCTTTTTAAACGATACTGGTTAGTATAGGGATATATTTATTTAGTGTTACTCTGTAAGGCTTACTGTGTAGCGGGGTACATGACTTAGTTGATGATGATCGGAAGCCCGCATACCGGAAACAAGCACGTTTGAATCTTTGTACATGTTATCCATGGAGTAAGGCGGAGCCGAAGAAGATAGTAAAGTGGTGGTATCGTCAGCAGAAGGAGGTGTTGTATGATCTATATCCATAGCATCTTTCGATATCTTGTTAGACTGTTCAGCAGCTTCTTCAGCAGCTTGTTCGGCAAGCTTCTTTTTAGTGAGTGTCATTGCCATCATACGCCAAGTAAGGTTCTCCATACGAGATCCATTGGGTAAGGTATCTTTTGCTTTGGTATACATTCTCCAGACTTTACTTGCCAAGGGGTCCTTCTTTTTACCATCATCCAGTTCTGTGTCTGGTTTAGGAGGAGGGAAGAGCAATGCATCAGAGAGTAACTGATCCATTTTAGAAGGGACTTTGTTTGGAATTAACGACATGGTGGTGGTATTAAATGACTATAGATACAAAAGAAAACTATGTTCATAGATTTTCTTGAAATGTTTTTTTTTTGGGATTTTTTTTTATTTTTTTATTTTTCGTTGCCAGTCTTTCTTTTTTTGTGTATGTGTGTGTGTGTAATGAATCAAGTAATTTTAAAGTAAATGATATATAAAAAAGATAAAAAAGAGAGAAAAAGGTAAAAATATATAATTGACTTACTTTAACGCGATCGTATTTGTGTGGAACTTTAGTGGTCGCTAGTCTAAATGGACAAGCGTAAAGTTCCCTTTTTTGTGTCTTGTCATGCCAGTTATCGCATGTGACTGGTGAATAGCTTTTTACTTATCTAAATTGTATTCCCACAATATTTCCTGCATTAAGCAAAAAAACAAAAGGCAAGAGAGGGCCAATTTAGAGTGTAACCCGGTCGATCCCGAGAATAAAATACGTCACAATATCATAAAAAAGGGCCCAAGCTCTAGCATTTTTTTTTATCCCACATCTTATCGAGTTTTTTTTTCCTTATCTTCGTTCTTCCATATTTGGAACAATATTTCTCCGGGAAACGAAGTGCGGTGACACGTGCCTGAAGAATCCTTTATATCTGCTACTGATAACCATTACCTTTTTTATCCTTATTCGAGATAGTGTCATCACCCTCTTTTGATATACTATTTTTATTTATATTGCTATACCCAAGACTATAAAAAACCCTTAATTAATCCTACTGAGTTTGAACAACCCTTATCGATACCTTTTCCTCTGATAATCTTCATCTTGTACCTGAAAACTTCTGTCTTTCTTCTTTGATGGGTTATTAATTATCCACTCTCAGTATATAGCTTTTTTCCCCACGTTTTCTGTTCGCAATAGTATTCCATCATGTGACAAATACTTGGGTCTCATTATGTAATCCGAATTCGCAATAATTTCCCTTTTTTTCAACCCTTTTTTTTTTTTTTTTTTGGCTTTAGCGCTCTTTCTTTTTTTTTCAAACTAATCTTTATTTATAGGTCTCAGATTTGTATATCTAAACCTAATCATTATCCATGACTTGATCTATGTGGAGATATGTAAGTGAACACAAGAGAATCTAAAGTCTGGTACACAATCAGCGCCACAATTGATTTTTTCTTCCTTTTTTTTTACCATGGCAATAATCCCATCTTCTCGCACCGGTACATCGGCTGAAAAAAAAAATATTGGTTCCTGAAAACCATAGCAACGTATTTTGATTGGTTACGCCAGGTGTTGAACCAAGGTATAGGATCTTGTTGATGATCATTCATATTTTAAGCCAAGATGTGAATATCCTTAATATAGATGGTTGGGATGATAGAAACTTGGCAAATTCATTGAACCTGTTTGTCTTTCATAGCATTAGATTTTGCAAAATAGATACTAATGTGTAATCAAAAAATGAAAAGATACGATTAAAGAAAAAAAAGAGGGGATTTATTATTATTTGTGTTTACACAGTTACTACATTACAGTGATAAATCATATAGAATACGTAAACAGGGGTAATGACCAAGCCATAACTCTCTCTCTCTCTCTCTCTCTCTCTCTCTCTCTCTCTCTATCTATCGCTCTGTTTAGTTTTATTACCTGTATATTTGCATTGGACTTTACTTTGTGTCACTTACCACAAAAAAAATGCCCAAAGAACAATACCAACAGGGATCCTATGTCTTGGATTCAATATCCCGCGTAACCAATCAAAAGACGTTGCAACGGCTTTCAGGTACCAATTTTTGATTTTTTTGGCTGTTGTACCGGCGCGAGAAGATGAGAATGCTGTGGTAAAAAAAAAAAAAAAAAAAAAAAAAAAAAAAAAAAAAAAAAATGACGCTCATTGTGTACCGGACATTTTTTTTGTGTTCACTTACATTTCTCCACATAGATCCATGGATAATGATTAAGTTTACAGAGACCTATAAATAAAGGATTGGTTCAACAAAGCGAATTCAGATTACGTAAGTATTTGTCACGTAGTGGCATAGTAAATAACGGGCGGTGAAAAAGAGAGTACATATCTGAGGGCTAGTAATATATAGCCCTATTGAAAAGAACTACATAATATTTCAGATGATGATGCCGAATAGCTATTAAGGATTTCTTATGAGCATCATCCTCAAATACGTCTTCTCTTGTAAAGTTTAATTACGTAGTTCATAATTTTTGTACGGGAGCTGATTACGGTAGCTTACAAGCACTTAAACAAGTATGCCTTAATATCACAAATAAGATCAACTATCTTGCGCACCCTTTTCTCTCTATATTATTTAGAAATTGTAGCCAGAAGATTGTGCTATTTAACCTCCTTTTTTTTAGATGACCTATAATCTGGGCATCTAAAATATCTTGCTGGCGAAATTCCTCCGGGTGGTATATTTTATGTGCTGGTACTTTCCATCACTAAAAAGATTTTCACTGTCTGAAGCTTGTTTATCCATCTTTAGCTCCACTCTTTTTTGCTCATTACTGACATTATATTTTGTTCCATTGAACATTTGTGTTGTCAGGAAAATTATCGATAAAGTGATTAAGCAACGAAGACTATTTAATAAGGGAGTATGTTTAGGTGATACAACTCGGGTTCAACATAGATAACAGACCGACAAGAGAAACACCTTTTTAGAGTTACAGCTTCGATTTGAAATAAGCTGACTGAAATAGCTCGGCAGTATGCAATTCTAAAATTTAGGTCTTTGTATGATGAATTTTGACACTGTGCAAAGTTGAACAATAGCTCTACTTCAACAAGAGGTGTCTGATGAGTAGTACAAGCAGTTTCATGACATTCAGATCAAAAAATTGCAGATTATGCTGTTGAGGTGAAACTGTCCTACCGTGTTTCTGAATCCGATGATTAAATGAATTTTATTACATTTTTTGAATAAAATCTCAAGTGGGAATAAAATACAGTGGTGTTTTAAATGGATGTGATACAACTGCCAAAGAAACGACGAATCATTTCGCGACCATAAGGAATATAACTTGCGCTAAAAGGAAAAAAAAAAAATAGAGTTAAGCGACCATCCTTTTTTTTTTTTTCTGTCATTCTACAAACTTACGAATACCACACTAACGCACAAAATTGAACAATCACGAGAACAATTGAAAGCACAAAAGTTTTGAGCTAAGGAAATTTGGAAAGTTAGAAAAAAAAAAGATTACAATGGCTGTGCATACTCACAGTAATTGAAACGATTAGTGTTGTAATAAGTAGACCCAGATAAATGACAGTTGCCCAGAAACGAACTAAGTGTTAAAAAGAAATGAGTTTTCCGAACACAAAAAGACAAGCGAATGCCTACCTGGGGCGAACATAGTTTTGAATTGCTTCTTGAGACCGATAATAAAAGTCAAACTAATGACGTGTGAGCTCAGGATAATATCGACTTAATTAAATGTACTATACCTGAGCATCGAGATAATGTTACCAATCGAATATAGAATAGCAAAACCAGCCACATTACCAGTTAACAGCAATAAGGTAGACTAGGTAAAAAGTAATTGAGTCTACAAATATTGTTACTGTTAATTTTTACTTCAGATAATTACCAAAATGGATAGAACCGCACCTACAACAAAACTGTGACAATGTTGTTAGTGCGTTTGTTATTGTTGTCTTTTAGTGAAAATTCACGTACCATCCACAAAAGGCATATAAACGTTGGGTTTTTGAGAGTCCAAAGAACTGCCAGTTACCTGAAAATATATATATATATATATATATTAGTATTCAGTGTCACACGGAACAAAAGGCTCGAGATTTACCATCGTCCATAGTGCCTTGGTCACTAAATTCAGAAGAAAAGAATCCCAATGGCATCTTGTTATATAAAAGTGATGAACAAGGGAAAATAAAAAATAAAAACGTAGGTTAAAAGGGTAAAATAAAAATAATCTGGCGGCGAAACAAAAATACAGGCACAATGGAGGCTTGGGCTCGCAATTAAAGCAATGGGGAAAAAAAAGGGGGGAGAATAGACTTACTTAAAGGAGAACACACTTTTTTTGTTTTTTTTTGCCTTTTTTTCACCCGACTGAAAAAAAACAAGAAGAATATGACCTTTTCAAGAATGGAAGCAGCCATGGAAGATGCTTTCGTTGAATGGGTACACTTAAAGAGAACACAAAATAAATAAGAAATAGTCCTTGTAACATTTTAACGAATAGATTAACACATTCACTTGTAAAACCTACCCGATTGATACAGTGGTGGAATTAGCAGATGGTGTTGTATTATCCGATATTTTATACGACATGTAAGAGAAAATTTCCTGATTATTTATTCTGTTCTCATACATGTATCCATTTATAGAGATTCAAAGTGGTTCAAGCAAATTACAGCTACCGAGTCAGGTGGCGGAAATTGGGTAGTTCGTTTTAATAATCAAAAGAAACTCCATAAACTTATTACACGCTATTTTGAAGAAGTTGTTGGGCAGGACCCAGAATTATTGCCTAGTGTTAATTTAACTTCCATTGCCAAAGATGCCGATTTACATGAATTATTATTAATGTGCCAACTTGTGATTGCTATCGCAGTTCAGTCAGATAACAACAAAACCTATATCGAAATGATCCAAAGTTTAACTCAAAAGAGCCAACACGCGCTTATGGTATCCATTGAAGAAGTCATGAACCATTTTAATACAGAGCCCGATTATGCAGCTAATCCAAGACTTTCCTATTTATCAGGTGGCTCCACAGCTTCGTCCACCAAATTAGAAGATATGCCCTATCGCTATCAATTGGAATTTGAAAAAGTCTTGTTGGAAAAGAAACAATTTGAACATTCTCATTCTCAACTATTAACTGAATATGATGAATTAAGAGAAAGATTTGTAATGCTCACAACATATAAATATATACACACACATACATGCATATTAATTAATATATATAGGAGGATTTGATCAATGAAAAGGAAGACCTTAAATCCCGCTTACATGATATGGACCAAGCAATCACCCAAGCCAATAACACTGGTAAAAACGATTATGTTATGAAGACAGAAATTGACCACCTTAAACAAGACTTGTACGTTACTTTTTTCGGTATTTTTAATTAATAACTGAACCCCTTCTCTTTTCTTCACCAATAGGGAGCGTAGTGAGGATCGACGACAAGAGACTGAGATGATGATGGAAAAGCACTTGTCATCTATTAACGAGTTAAAACGAAAAGTAGATGAACTCACAACTCAGGCAGATGAAGCTACATCTCTGAGGGACCAACTGGAAGAGTATAGACATACGACTGAAAAGATGCAGCGCATGGAAAATACACTTGAGAAATACAAGCGAAAAATGGAAGAATCATCAGACCTGAAAAGACAAATCAAGGTACTAACACAGTACTTTCTAATCCCATGTTGTATCATCAACTTACAAAATTTACTTATTTCGTAGGCACTGGAAGATCAAAATTCTAGTCTGCTTGAACGTAGCCATCAAGTAGAGGATGAATACCGTAAAGTCTTGGCATTTAAAACATTGATGGATTCTTACAAGGAACAAGTGCACCAACTCGAATACGGAAATCGTGAAATTCTGAAAGAAAAGCAACGCTTAGAAGAAGAGATGAGAAATATGGCTGATAATTGTGCTTATTTAGAAACGGATCGTGATCGAAATATGGAACAAGTTCAGCTATTAGAAGAGCACATTAAAGAGATGGAGTTAGGTGGAGGATCTACTCTCGATAAAGTCGTTAGTCATAGAGCAAGTGTGGTGATAGAAGACGGATTATTGGAAGAAGTAGGAAACTCCATGGAAGAAAATATGAAGAAGGCAAATGTTACTGAATTGTAAGCATACGTTTTAACAATCTTGCTTTATTTGTATTTAACTATTGTTACATTAGACGTTTGACTATTGGCAGGCTGCAGAGGCAGATCAAGGAGATGGAGGTCAAGGAGCCTTCTGATGAAGCTGAAGAAGCAGAAGCTTTAAAAACACACAAAGATCAACTCCAAAAGGATTACGAAAGTGTTTTGACGGAAAGAAACAGGCTTCGAGACGAATTATCACAAATCCGGAACGGTATTCCAGATTCACTACTAAATCAAACACAGACCATTATGGCCTTCCGTTCTCGTATATTAGACCTCGAAAAAGAGTCCAGCAATCTAAAAGAGTCTACACTGGCTCTTGAAAAGATTGTGACGGACGGCACTCACAGCGTGGCAAAAGATAATGCAAGCCTACAGAATTTTGAAAAGGAGCATGCTAAAATCCAAGATCGTATTAACCGTCTTGAGGATATCACTAAAATGCAACTGCATGATATAAATCGTATGCTTGTGGAAGCAAACTATTTAAACGGCGTCAACAACAACCGAGATGAAAACGAGTCCTTTACAGATAGACCAGGATTAAGCGAGTATGTGAAATTATGACCATTTTCTTCTACACATCAAAAATAACCTTTTATCTCTTTCTCATTAGTCGCGATCTTGAAGTGATCAAAGAACAAAATGCCAGTTTACAAATCCATGTGCTTCATCTTCAAGAAGAAATTAACGAAACACAAGGAAAGATCAGAAAGGTCAGAGATATGATCAAACTTTACGGTCAAGTATTGCAGGAAATGTCAGCACGATTCTCCAACACTCGTAAATCAGAAGAACCCAATCCTTTGTCGGGCCGTTCTCTCCGCACTAAAGAAGAAGAGTACGACTTATTAAAGGTAAGCAAATGGCATATTTTTGTTCAAATCCAAACATGACTCTAAACCTACTTTTAAAACATAGAAACAAATCCATGATGTTCGTCTTCAGTCCAAGAAAGAACAACAATTGATCATTTCTTCGTGGTACGATCATGTCAGACGTAACCATCGTGATGCCTCGAATTTCTCTATTCGTTCTGCTCCTTCCTCTTGGTTAGGAAGGCAACGAAAAGTCTTGGATGTCCAACTCAGGCAAAGACTTTGCTAATATACATATACTTAATTAATGTTTATCCTTTTCTTTTTTTTTAAACGCATTAAAAATACCCGTTTGTCTTGATGCATGGACAAATATTTTATATGTGCATATAGGGTTCAAAATTGAGCAACTTGCATATCTTCATTAGTTGGGGATGTAAAACATTATGATTGAATAGAAGGTTTACGTCCTATTAATGACGGAAAAATTGTATATTATATGCAGCTCAATTACGCCACATGTTATGTTCCCAATATATTTTCTAAATAAAAGCATGCACAATTATTTATACATCGATACAACAGGTCTTGGTCATATGTATTGGTCTAAACAATGCTTCACGCAATTAGTCTCAGAAAATAGGTACAGATGTGATCATCTAATAACTTTTCTCTTTTAAAATCCATGATAAAACTTTACTGCGCCTGCAACCAGCTTGGTATATTTCAACAAGATGATGACTTATACATTCGGTTTTACCTTTTTAACCATTATCTTATTTTCTTTAAATTATATTCGTGTCGATTTTATATGTAACGCAAAATCATACCGTAGACGTATGTGTCAAAGACATATTATTTATCGATAATAGTTAAAACACCTGAAAAAATCAGGAAGAACTGTGAAATAATAACCGATTTTTATTGCGCAGAGTTGTCGGAAAGTTTAGGTTGACGATCACATTTATTCCAAGAGCAACCTCATGAAAACCATTTATAAGAGTCGAAGCATTTATGTCATAAAATACAAAAAGTCAGATTGACTGAGCCCAAAAAATATTATATTTTAAATGGCGCAACATACATGAATGGACAACATTTTTTTTTCTGGCTCGCACTCTCCCCATAACCGTAAATGTCACACATTCTAACGGTAATCAAGAATGGCAGTAAATCAATGGCTTTACCGCTTGTTTTGCCGTAAGTAGATGATTCTGCAATGACTGGTAACACATGTAATTTTATTTTTAGTGCATTGTTTTAATCCAGTTTATGGTTCCACAACGACAGTCCATGACGCCAGTTTGATTCCTTGTGTGACCACAGACTTTTTGTTGTTGTTATTGTTGTTTGTTCAGCCCATAAATCGTCAATTGTACGTGTGAGTAAAAGAAATACGATGATAGAGCAGAATTGATGTATTGCAATTGGATAAGGCCAGACGTGGTTAAGTTTGTGTCAATTGTTAATTTTCACGTCTTGTTTGAAACTCCATTTTTATTTTGCACGTATTTCATTATCAGTTGACTAGGTTTGTAAGTTTTATCTCTTTTTTCTTTCTTATACCCAACTAAATGGAAAAAGCATTAACAGAAACATTGGCAACCAATGCCACGACCGATGTCATATTCGAAACAGTGTCAACACCACAAAAGCGGTCAGTCATTTCTAAAGTAGTCGGGTTTGTTCCCATGTTACTCTTAAAGATTGTTGGATTCGCAACGATCTCGACACCATTATTCTTCTACCGGATTCTGACCTGGTCTTTTACTCTACACCTAAACTTCTCGTCTTTATTGGTAATTTTGGCAGTTATGGCGACTTTAACTTATCTTATTGTGCGCTATCGATTCCTGACAAAATATTCCCGCTTGAAACCCATTAATCCCCCTAAAGTAGCCTCCTCCTTTGACTTACATCCTGATACCGAAGAAGACGCTGAAAAGCCTGGATACAAGAACTACCCGGACGAATTTTTATCCGCCTTTCTGTCCTCTATCAAAATCTTTGGATATCTGGAACAACCCGTGTTTCATGAACTGGCCAGACACCTTCAAACCAAAAAGCTGTTGGCCGGAGATACTCTTTTTAGGAATCCGGATCAAGAGCGATCATTTTACATTGTGGTGGATGGACACGTGCAAATGTTTGTAAAGCCTGATAACGCTGATGAAGAGGACGACTCAGATAGCGACGATAGTCAGCAGTGGTTGGAAGAAGAAGACGATACTTTGGATGCTCATGGGAAAAGAGACAAGTTTAGGAAATATACGCTGATCAATGAAGTGAGCGCAGGTGGTACTCTATCAAGTTTATTCACTATATTGTCTATCTTTAGAGAGAGTTTTAATAGATCAGAAGCAAAGGAAAAGCAACGTCAAAAACCAACTTCAAAATCTCAACTTTCCCGTATGGCACCTCATGAAAACTCAAGAGATGAATGGCGACAAGTTTTTCCCGGCTTAGAAGATCCTTCTCTTGTCACAAGCAATGCATCTTCAAGACCCGATTCTGAATCAAGTGCCTCTGGTTTACGAAGAAGAAGTAGAACCACTCATCAAACAACCACCGAATCATTAGATGACACCTATTTCAGTGGCGAAATAGAACATGATAATACGGGCATATCCGCTGATTCCTATGGTTTAGCTATGCCTATCCCATTAAGAAAGCTTTCTGCCTCTTCATCAACCTCTCACAAAAGACCATCCATTAGCACTGCCCCCTCGCGCCGTTCTTACAGATCTGTGCATCCCAATATAATTGCACGTGCCACTGTTGACACAACATTAGCGGTTATCCCAGAAGAGGCCTTTCACAAGCTGACCCAAAAATTTCCAAAAGCAGCTGCCCATATCGTGCAGGTGATTGTAACAAGATTTCAACGAGTTACCTTGATGACAAGTCATCGTTATCTGGGTCTTACCAAAGAATTATTACGCCTGGAAAAGTTAGTGAATGAATCCGCCAGTTTGCATGAATTACCGCCTAATTTCTTTGCTCCTGGAGGTATGGATCGTCTTAGACGCAAGTTTAACGACGAAGAAGCAAATTCAGAGGATGGGGATGGCAGTTTAGGCCCTTCTGAAATCAGCCGTAGTGAAAGTTCGGGTATTATTCAAGCCATTGGTATCATTGATATACCAGGTACCCCTTCTTTGCATATCAACAGTCCCGCCTCAAACACACTCGGTACGTCTCCTTCTGGGGGTGGGTCTCCGCTATTGATTCATCAAAAGTTGAACACGCGAGGTGAGTACAGTATGGAAGACGATGAACATTTACGTACTTCTGTTATGACTTGTGTTTCGGATGCGTTGGGTATCAAGACTTTACTTCCTTCTGCGGATGACAATGCGCCAAGATCTCCTTTCAATATGTCCCCTCGTCATCCTCGTCGTTTTCCCAGTGATGACCGTGCTCGTCCCCAATATCCTATGGATCTCTTTTCACACACAGGTAGTATGGATTCTATGAACTCTCCATCTATGGATGAATACGATGCAAATGATTATGATGACGATGTTCGGTCCACTACCTCCTCCATGCACTCAGGTGGCAACAACTCAGACATATTTAACAAGAACAAGAAGTCCGATCCTATTTCTCCTGACGATATCCAAATCTTGTACTTTCCAAAGGATGCTGTATTGGTGAGAGAAGGTGCACATAACAACGGTTTATTCTTTGTGATTGATGGTCTCTTGGAGGCTTCAATGACACCAGCTGTAGGCGAGGACGTTCTTGTATCCCGAAAAGATACACCTGCTACTCGCAAGAAAGCAAGCCGTCAATACTTGAACCGTAAAAAATCGCGCATTTCCGAAACCAGTTTCAGTAGTCCCAATCAGCGATTACCGGATCCCAAGAACCCGCCACCTAATAGTACGAGTGCGAAGGAGGATAAGGTGGTTGCTTCAGAGTCTCCCGCTGGTCGTACCCCTGAAAAAGATGAAAAGGGCGATGATGAAGAAAGGGTCAAGAAGCCCTTGTTTATTATTAAGCCTGGTGGATTAGCAGGATATTTGGATGCGTTGACTGGTTTTCCCAGTTTTGTGGAAATTCGTGCAAAGACGGACACTTATGTTGGCTATGTTTCAAAGAAGCGTCTGGATCGAATCACGGATAAGAATCCTTCGGTCATGTTGAAGTTGGCTAACCAACTTGTTGGACATGTCAGCCCTTTAAGTAAGTTTACCAAGTTACATCAACTTTATTTTGCTATTAACACCTTTCTTTTTAAAAAATAGTTCTTCATATCGATATTTCGTTGGAATGGATGCAAGTCAATGCGGGACAGATTATTTGTAAAGAAGGCGAGCCAAGTGATGCTATATATATGGTCTTACATGGACGTTTAAGAACTATTCATGAAAAGAATGAAGGTGATCTCGAAATTCTCGGTGAATTCGGTCAAGGTGACAGCGTTGGTGAACTAGAAGTTTTAAGTAAGTTAAAAAAAAAAAAAAAAAAAAAAAATGTTGTTTAATCAACATCTAATTTTACATGATATATAGCCGGAGTCCCTACTTCATCCACATTGCATGCTATTCGTGATACCGAACTTGCGCGTATGCCCAAGACTTTGTTTAATGCTTTGGCACTTCGTCACCCTGAAATCACGTTACAGATCTCTCGCATGGTAGCATTTCGTTCACTTCAACTGGCAATGAACCGCAAGTCTCCTAGCGAAATGCAAAATCCAAATGTCTTCCACCTCAAATCTGACGCCGATGCCTCTGCCGCCATCTCGTCTATCACCAGTGGGGGTCCCAATAAGTTTCCAGAGCTATATGGTCGTAACAATGTCAATTTAAAGACAATTGGTATCATTCCTGTCAATTCTTCAGTCCCCGTGACAGAATTCGCCGAAAGTTTGAAGGCAGAATTATTACACGCAGTAGGTGCTACGTGTGCCCTCTTAAATAGTGCAACCGTGACCAGTGTCATGGGTAAATATGCCTTCTCGAGACTTGGAAAATTAAAGATGGCTTCATGGTTGGCAGAACAGGAGGAGAAATACCGTATTGTCTTGTACCTGGCTGATAGTGGTGTGACTTCTCAATGGACACGTACTTGTATTCGTCAAGCGGATTGTATTCTTCTGGTAGGCTTAGGGGATGGTGATCCGTCGGTTGGAGAGTATGAGCGTTTCTTGATTAATATGAAGACAACTGCTCGAAAAGAGCTTGTTTTATTGCACGGTGAAAGATCATGTGAATCTGGATCCACACAAAACTGGTTAAAGGTAAGAAAAAAAGAATGTCTCACAAGAATAAACATTCCGTATATTTAGCTTTTCGCCTTTTTCGATGTAGAGTCGTCTATGGATTCAGGCTCATCATCATATGTACATGCCCATGAGACAAAATGTATCGCTAGCTGCTGCTGAAAAGTTCAGACCCCCTTGGTTAGCAGAGCAAGGTCGTAAAATGACAGCTGGCTCAATCAATATGCTTGCCAACGTCAAAGATCAGATCAAGGAATACTATTCCGCCGTTCCAAACTTTGGCCGCCTACTCGATGTAAAAAAATCGTCCATTAACGGCATCAATGCGATGAGTTCGCCCGCAAGAAATGATTTTGCTCGATTGGCTCGTCGTCTTTGTGGTAAATCGGTTGCACTTGTCTTGGGTGGTGGCGGTGCACGTGGTATTGGCCATGTCGGTGTTATTCAAGCGATTGAAGAGGCAGGTATTCCCATCGATATCGTAGGAGGTACCAGTATTGGTAGTTTTGTCGGTGGTTTATACGCACGTAACATGGATCTGGTATCTGTCATTGCACGTAGTCGAATGTTTGCGGGTCGTGTGTCGAGTATTTGGAGACAGATTATGGATCTTACGTATCCTGTCACTGCATGGTTTACAGGTCATGAATTTAATCGAGCCGTTTGGAAATGTCTGGGTGACAGCCAAATTGAAGACTACTGGCTTCCCTTTTTTGCGGTCACGACCAACATTACTTTCTCTCGAATGGAAGTGCACACAACTGGCTACGCATGGCGCTACATTCGGGCTTCAATGTCACTCTCCGGTTATATGCCTCCTATTTGCGATAATGGTAATATGTTGGTGGATGGTGGTTACATGGACAATCTACCAGTATCTGTAGCTAAGAATATGGGTGCAGATATTATTATTGCTGTCGATGTTGCTTCAGAGGATGATACCAGCCCTGTGTACTATGGTGATTCTATTAGTGGATGGTGGGCCCTTTTACATGGATTTAATCCCTTCCGGACGTACAACGTGCCCAGTATTGCGGATATTCAAAGTAGACTAGCGTATGTAAGTAGTGTTGCGAAATTGGAGGAAGCCAAGGTGACGGATGGCACCTTGTATCTCAAATTACCCGTGCAACAATGGGGTACGTTAGAGTTTGCAAAATACAACGACATCTTCCAAAAGGGTTACGATGTGGGGCGTGAAGTTGTAAATAAATGGAGAAAAGCAGGATATGCTTCCGGCCGAATGACTGACTCTGATAAAGACTATGCCCTGACTGGCAAAGAAGTAAAGGGAAAAAGAGGAAGAAGAAACAGTATTTAAAAGAGTTTGTACCATAATAAAGTTTAAAAAAAAACTGTAGAATAATGTTTTTATTGCTGTACTTTGTGTTTGCTATTATTAAAAAAACAGTATTTGAGAATTCGATTTACTGTTGTAGAGCAACTGTGAGGATTTCCTCCCAACTTCGATACATGTTGAGCCTACGTTCGTTTTCTTCTTTAGCAATGCATATTTTGAGGGAATTCAGTGATCTCTTATAATCCTTTTGACGGTGATGGTATATCCAAGCTATATTCAACTCATTTTTCTCGAGGAAATGCTGTGCGTGGGAAGGATATCTTGTCAAAAGTTCCAAGATATATCCATCATTCGCATTAGTGGTACGTCTGTTTTCGTCCAAGTATTTTAGCAGACACTCATAGTACTCCTTCCCAAATTGATCAATGTACTGAATATTTTTTTCTCGGACATCGTGTAAGTTACTTGTTTGAAGAGCGACTAATAATGCAGGTATATCACTGTGATCTTGAGCGAGATTAATGGCGATTTGATATAGACCTAATTTGCATAATCCTTCGATCACATCTTTTCGAACTTTTTTATATTTTTTATCTGCCTCCTCTTCAGCGTCACTAGTTGAAAAGATAATTTTTTTAAAAAAGCATTTTTCTTTTTTTCTATACAAAAAAAACCCTGCATCATACTTACAGTTGACTCGTGTTTTTTTCTTCTAATGCAAAAGTCAGAGATAGACAAGCTAATATAATTATATCCTCCTGGATTTTATCTAGACTATCCGTCATTATGCCCTCAGGATCTTCATTCACTTTGGCAACAAATTTGATATTGGACTTGAACAATCGAAATAAACGGTGACCAAGATGATCTATAAAAAAGGTCAAGACATTTTTGATATATAAATATGCGATTCTTTGTTACATGCAAGAGGATGGACGAATGTGGAAATATCCACTTCATGGACAAATGCACAAGTTTCCTCGAATTTTTTTGCTGTTTTAAACATCCTCTAATTGTTACATCATGAGTTATTATTGGGGTCATAAAAAAAGGAGGTAGAAGTAGATAGGGGTAGCTGTCTTTACCTGTAAAAGTTCATTTGTGCTTTTGAAGACTTGCATCTGACTGGATAAATCACCTCCTTGCAGTTGAACACGATCACATACTTTCTCAATAAACTCTTTTGTTTGGAAGACCTACAGATGTAAATAGTGAATACCAATGCAGTAAATAATGAAATTCCAATCGCATTTACGTTATCAACCGAAAGGTCTTTCATGTCTGACTTTTCCATAGAAATCAGATCAGATAATATACTTTTCCAATAGGATTGAGTTGATACTTCACCAAGCCTAATGGAATATAAATCAACACATATCTCAATAGCGCCTTGTGTTTGGCTCTTACCTTTCCTTATGAAAGTCCCATAAGACTGAACTAATATTATACATCTCTAACTTCAACATGAGATTTTCTCTTTCGTGCAGTGAGATCTAATACCGTCATATCGTAAGCACTTTCTAGTTTTGGAATAGAAGAAAGGGAGGGGGGCAGCGAAATTAGTTACCTTTTCTATAAAGTTGTTTTCCTTTACAAATAACATCAGTCTGTTTAAAAAAAAGTATCTGGATTCAATATAAAGATCAGTAAGATGACGGGGTGGTAAGACCCTGGATTGATTTTTCAATATTTCGGTAGACATCTGTATCACCGCCTGGGCAATGTCATTTGAATCTGGTCGAAGCGGGAATACCAAAGGAGACTAAAATTAAAAATACATATATACTTGAGCAACAGAAATTCTATTGATGTGTCATGAATTATAAATTTTACATGCTCTAGTGCACCGTAAACAACAGCTTCTTCAAATTTAGCTTTGAAAATATCAGTCACCCTTTGCCTCTAAAATTTTTGGTGTCAATATATCTAGACATTTACAGAAAATAATGACTTGCATAACTTACAGGATCATTGACCGATGCACAGTACAGATTCCTGTTTGAGATATATTATAAAGATTACCTTCAACGAAAAAATAAAATAAAAATCACAAAACTCTCTGTTTACCCTGATTCGCTTGGAGCTTGGATCTTTGCAACGTCAATTTTAAATTCCAGTATGCCACTATCCATGGTATAAATTATGGCTGTATCAATATCTTTTTGACTGTATACTTCAGTGTACAGAACATAATCTTCTTTTAATACTACAGCATCCTCAAATACTGAAACCGTATCCAAGGAAACGGCAATGACTGTATTATCAAACGTAATGAATGCTAGTGCAACAGTAGCAGCAATGCGAGGTGTTGATTTCATATTGTCTGGAATTGCTGAATAAGGTATCGATGTTGTGAACTTTTCATACACGGTCGCATTTTTCGGGTCTATAACAAAGGCGATCAGAGCGTATTGAACGTAATCCCCCAAGCCAGGTATTGTGTACGATGCAAGCACGATGATCTCTTTCTCCCTATACATTTTTAAGTTAACCATTAAAGTCTTTTTTTCAGGTTTTATCTATTTCCAAAACTGACTTCGTGAGACATGAATTCAATATTTCGGACTGGACGTCTGTCTTGAGTACATCGGGTGGGATGTGTTGAGCAATGCTAGAGGAGATCATTGATTCTATATTGATCCGTGCTGTGATCTAAAAAAAATTAGTATTTGTACAATAAGAAAAGACCTCCTTATACCTCTATCTGCCCTTCTGATATAAGTTGACACAACGTAATGCAATTCTTATCAACTGAATAGATACAGTTAGCCATGACATGAAGATTCAAGATGGGTTGAGTATCATGGGGTTTCTTATACTGTGATTTGCATGGTAGTTGGCTACGAATAAATCCCGTAATGAATGATAGAAAGCTTTTATATGAATATATTGTGGAAACTAAAATTTGATCGTCATCGATAGACAGCATATATAATTCCCCAGTGGATGACCCAAGTACTAATTGACTGGCACCAAGTCTTGCAACAGAAGTGATTCGCTCGCTAATGGCGAGCATTGGAATTTTATGGCGCATTGATTGATCTAATCCTTTATCTGTCCAGTAACAAATCCATCCTTTCGTGCTGATCCCAATGGCCCTATGTCCAGTAAGCAAATAGAAAAATTGCACAGCATCAAACGCTGTCAATTGATTGATTTTTGGCTGAGACTAAGGGAAACAGTTAGAAAGGTTTCAAGGCTCGATAGCTCTTAGATAAACTTACCGAGTAAGAATATATGTTGACCTTGTTTTGAGAAGCCATGCATAAGTATTTCTCATTACTATTGGCATAAAATAACGAGACTATTTGAATGCAGTCAATATAATTATATTTCAATTTTTCTTAATAAAAAAGAAGTGTGGTGCTTAACGCGAGTAACTTTTGTTCTTTCGTACCTGGACCATGGTCGGCCTTCAACTCAACAGGAAGCTTTGAATTTCGAACGATTTGGTAGGCAGTTGTTTCACTCAAGATTCGAGGGTTTGCCCAAGGTCTCGGGAACTCGACAGACGATACAGGAACGGTCTCATATCCCAATGTAGGCACATTCTCCTTCCGTTTATTTGAAAAATAAGCATTTAGCTCGGTGAGAGTCATGTTGAATTCCTGGGTGTTGCAATTAACAGGACAGTCTCTAAAAGCGAGAAAAAGGTTGCCTCACACACTTTCTTTTTTTTTTTCGTCGGGTTCTTAAAAAGGCATTTTTCATGTCGATCAAGAAAACGCGTCCAACGCTGTACCACATAAAAACTGTTTTCAGAAAACGTTAGATACCTGAAAGGTGAAGGCGAGGAAGACAATTATTTTTTATGCTGAACACATCATCCTGGGGGTATTTGCTTAATAAGACCATTTTTTTTTTTTTTTTTTTTTTTTTTTGGTTTAAACGAAAAGTAAGAACCTGAGACAGTCTATCAGTTTCGTGTCTATGTGGCAGTTGCTTTTATTCGTGATTGGCTTTACATAAAAAGGTACGAACAATACAGTGTCTTATTTAAATTACAAAATAAAAACACCAGGAAATCGTAGCTATTCTTTGCACAACCACCAATCAAGTCCTCTTTACTAAGAAAGATCTCAGGTGATTAAACGGCATAGTATTAGATTGGGGTGACGGCACTAGGTATATAGATATACTTATTTCAATTATTATTACAAAGGTTATTGCAAAGGTTGTTTATAAATTGCGCTCCGGAAACAAATTCTATAACTAGTTATATTACATCATTAGAAGAGTTAAATTGTATAAGGTAGGAGCATCCAAGACATACTTAATTTCGCCTACGGTAAAATTCTCAAGTAAAATTACTTGTTTTAAATACCAGCGGTTGATACAGTGATTATATTTTATTAGGGAGGGGGTTGTGAAAGACATTATGAAGTTTGAAAGGCGTTAATAACACACTTTCTAAAAAAGGTTTAACTAACTTAAATCGTTTTGAACAGCATAATTATACCAGCAATGACTGAAAGAAGAATATAAAAAAAAAATGATAACGATTGGGAAAATTGAGGGGGGTTACTCGGACAACTTTAGTATATCTGTCTCACGTCCCCTTTAAAAAAATAAAAAGGGTGTGTACTGATTTATAAAAGAATGTCTCGGATAGAATGTTTCTGAAATAAATCTCGGCTTTGCTGGCACATGCAAATTCTCGGGGTTAAGCTACACAATGCATACAACTATCTTATGATTTCTTTGTCCCGACTAGACCAAAGAAAGTCTGTTTATTACCTACAGCGTTTATGAATACAAACAGACTGGAGGATCAAAAGTCGCTATTTGTATATTAAGACCTTGTGACGCTACGTATGATGACCGAACTACTATATTAGCGAACGGTCAGAATATATACTGATCCTTTATGATATGGTAAGATACTCATTGGCAAGAGGTCCCATGGTAACAGCTTTAATATATCCTATGACTACACAGGAAACGTACCCCAACATACCAGATCATAAACTGCTAGCGGCATTGTAATGTATAGATACTAAACTATGCAATCTTGTGACAAGATGTATGATACATACAGGCAAAAAAAATAACTTGAGCAAATCTAGATTTCATCAAGTTGGGGCAAATTGCCCACGAACTAATGCTGGCTGTTTAAAGTAAAACTTTTTAATAGGATAGGATTTGCCGCCTCTATTATCACTGATACATTTTAAAATAAATCATTTAGGCTCGAATCTCTATGTAAACCCTTTTGATGCAGAGGGGTATTTAATATTACCAGTGTTACAATTGATGGGAATGTACATATGTTCCATATTAGGAAAACTCAAAAGAAATAGTCGTCGATAAATAAATTTTGCTTCTGTAATGGTCTGTCACCGGCTTGATGAATATTCAACACAACTACAAATTTACTTCAACAAAAATACTCGTGTCACACTATTAAATTATTTATAGAAATAGGCACAATTTACATGATATCACACATTTGGCGTCTTCAATTAAGATTTCTACGCCAAATATTTATTTTTGCCGGTACTGTTATTTTAAGCTAATAATTGTGTCATATGAGCATGCGTCACAAACATCATATGCGTAAAAGGCAGAATTTTGGGTGTCAAATGGATTCAACAATGCTGTTTTAGGAATCCTTAATTTAACACAACCACGAATTATACCAATAGCCCTCTATTTTTAAAAATTGATATCAGGTTGGCCTAGTAAGTCATTTATTGCTTTACTTTGAATCAATAAACATATTCTGACAATGGACGTACATATCTACTGCATTTGCAATTAATGAGTCTAACATAATTACTACTCTGTAAAATATGTGATTTTTATACATCATCCTATTAAAGTTATCCCTGCTTCTAAACCAACAGTTTGAAGTAATAAGCTGTATTTAATTTTAGTAATAAAATGAAGATGTATAAATCGTACTGGAACTGGGCAACAGACAATGATGTTGGTGAATATATGCAATGCCGTGTCTCTCATTTTTTACAAACATTAATTTCAGACATTTAGCTATTCCATTTTCATTGTTAAGTTCTTATTTCAGTCTATGAATTGGAAGAGGGGTTTTTTTTTAAGTTATAAGCCAAGGGATTGCTGATTTCATTTAAAACTCGTTATTTTACACATATATTTCCCCTTGGTGGCGTTCCAAGTAAAGCACGCACTGAGTAAAAAAAAATAGTCAGAAATTCTGCAATCTAATAAATGCGAGTGGTAATGATGTTGGCTACTACAATGGAATAGGAAACATTGTTGCATTTTGTCGGAACTATCATGTTTGTTTGAAACTATAAATTTATCCGGGGAATCTTTGAAAGTGAGGCACAGTCTTTTAATCCCCAACCCCCTTTTCGTCATTCTTAGACAAGAGTGCCTCTAACGTATACTCGCTAGCTCGTTTGAAAAAAAAGTCTTAGTGGACATGGCAGCCAAGGTCTATTTTAGAAAAAAGTAGAATCTGACAACTATCTACAGCTATCTTAATATATCATATAAATATCTACAATGAATTCACTGCAGTGTTTAGAATAATGACGCAGAGAACTTCCGGGAAAAATCTGTTTTTAAGAGATTAGATCCCTCTAATACCATTGTTGTTTACAATAGAAGTTAGGTTTGACGAGTGAAGTAATAAGCTAATGCACATAAGGAATTTATGGATTATTTTTTTTTAAAGGAACAAAGTTCACAAGATATGAAACCAAACATGTTAAAGTATTACGAAAATTTAATAAATGACCCTGGCGATATACAATTTGTATCAGCAGTATACCAACCAGTCTTTAGAAGAAACTAACGGATGGGGGGAAAGATTCCACAAAACGCTTTAACCGGTAGTCAATAGATAGCTTCATCATGTTGTGATTACTTGCAAGTAGAACCACTAAATGCTACAAGGATACATATGCGAGCGTCAAAAATGAGGAGCATTTAAAGACATCGTGAATTTAGCTACGTATTTATCGTTTTACGTTTTTGGGGGGAAATCCTGATTGTTTGGTTTATTATTTGTTCAGAGATCTACAAGCTTATCAAGGAGAATTACCTTTATATGATGATTGTTTGCATATAGTAGCGGATCGTACTTGTTGAAACTTTTGTTATAGTGTCTTGTGAAAGTAATCTTTTTGAAGAAAAAAAAAAAGGCAGATATTTCAAGGGGGAGAAACAAATTATTTACTTTAGCTTTGACATTCGATTGTAACTATAGTGAATAAAATAAGGGTGAATAGTTTCCCTTAAAAAAAAAGAAATGGTCACCATTGTTTTTTGTTTGTGTGGAACTTATGTATCTTGTCAATCATTATTCGCCCAACAAAGGGTCTATGACCAACCAACTTTTTTATTCCCTTATCGTTGTTACTGCCGTATAAACTATTAATAGACGTCCGGTATTGGATTGAAAAAAAAAGGTCCCTGTCAAATTAGTGTGTGTGTTTATGATGATTACCCCTCATTCTCCATCTTGTAATGCAACCGATCTCACTTTGATATGACGGAACCATTACTGAGACAATTTTTACTTTATAGATATAGTCTGCAGACACTGTACTGCATTATGTTATGTTAACAACTGGTTTTTTCCAAATCCCTAGGCAGATTAGGTAAACAATTATGCATCCAAAAGAAGATTATTTTGTCAAAAAAAAAAAAGGACTGTGTGACTAAAATTCTTCCCATGGAAATTACACGTGTATGTAAAAAAGATTTCTTGTAAAAGTATGCTATTGCAGGAGATGCGGGCTCTGCTGTCGCTCTCCCAGCTTGATTATTTGTTGTGTTTACTCAGCAGCATGCGCAAAATTTTGCTCGTTTCCTTGCTATCTTTTTTTATAATGCAAAGATAAAGGTTGAAGGGACTTCTTTTCCGCTTGATTCTAGATTTAAAATAGATGTGTTCTTGCAGTGTCATGATGTGTTGATATAGGTTTTTTTTGTACTTTAGATATACATTATTACAACTCCACAATATAGTAGATGCATATTTTTCAGGGGCTAAACACACCCATACCCGCTCACTCATCTACACACAAAAAGGAGCCCCATAGTTGCCACTAGCTCATATGGTTTATATGGTGGCAATAAGATTTCTGTTTTATGACATTTTTATTATTAAAAAAGGGAGTCGGTGTGAATTTTGGTATTTTCAACTTGTACCGCCCGCCCCTCCCCTCCTTTCGGTTAATGATAAGAGCGTGTGTTCAGTGGCTTTATGCAAACAAGAGTAAAAAAAACATTACTAGGTTTATTTATAAACAAGTCCAGACTAATGCATTAACAAATTTGGAGATGAAAAAATAGGTATATGGGTTTATTAAAAAGAACAAAAAAAATTTACAGTTACTGACAGAATAAAAACAATGGGCTTATTCGCCATGTTTCAAAACACGCACAAAATCTCTATAATTGAAGTTTCCCTCATCATCAATGACTGATCCTTTAAACATGATATCGACCTGAGAATAATAATTAGTATCTACCCAAGACATCAATAAAATCACATACCTCTTCGTCTGTAAATCTGTCACCCATCGTTGTCATGCATTCTCTCAGATAGGTTGCATTTATCTTTCCGTTGCGGGTGTCATCAAAAGCAGAAAATGCCTTCAGGATTGTATTTTCGGGGTCTGTGTCTGCTAGTTTGTCTGCCATCAGTGTGAGAAATACGGTGAAATTAATGGGGCCTGTTGCGTCGCCCATCATTAATTCGATCTCTTGAGTAGTAGCAGGCTGGCCTAAATCGGGAATAAATGTAAGTGACACACTAAGCGTATAAGTGGCACAATAACAAAGCTGTACCTAATCTCTCGAATGTTACTTTGAGATCATTAATATCCACTAAGCCATCACTGTTTGTATCCATGATGCTAAATGCATCCTTAAATTCCATCACCTGTGCCTTGTCAAACATGGCAAATACGTTTGAATTTTGACGTCTTTTATTCTTTCGATAGGAGATTAATTTATGTAAATAGATAGATGGGAGATTTAATTAGCTTACCATGGGTGCCATTGTGATTTTTTGATGAAAAAGTAAAAGAAAAAGGTGAAGAAATCAAAATGACGATTTCAATTTCCCTTATTTTTGCGAGAAATGTCTAATTTTGGACAAAGAATAAATAACAATGTGCCTTTTTCGATCATCAATCTCCGCCCATTGGACAAAAAAGAGAGAGAAAAGAGTGGAAAAAGAGAAGAAAGGAGGATATATAAATGCGATTAGTTTATATAGATAACACTGCATATGTAGTTTCTACATATTATGCTATCATAGTGGTGGTAGTGGTGGTATTTCATATATCTTGTATAAAAAAGGGGAACCCATGTATACATTTAAATAAAATTCAGACAAGACATTCCAGTGTATCTAAAAGAAATACCCCTTAGTTTAACAGTGAGTGGGAAATAATTTAACATATATATCTTATCATTTCATTATTATTTTGGTTCAGCTTGCATCAAGGGAGAGGAGAGATATCAAAAGAGGGACAATTACCCTCTATAATATTCAGGGCCTGTTTATATGCCACCTTCTCCGTGTCTGGAGGACGGTGATGGAATGGCCGGATTAGACAAGGCTGCATAGATTGGATCGAAAATATGCAAAATGCAATAATCTTTTTTATTCTATATTTTGAACACTTGATTTTAATATTTGTCAGAAAACCCGAACCTAGACTACAAAAATGCGCAAAGAGATATACAGATAATAAAAGAAAGAGTGTTGAAGATCATCTGTTTCCCATGCAATAAACAAAAGAAGTTTTAATCTGCAGGAAAGTTCTACATAGATTTACTATAAGTTTTGCTATGCCTCTCTGTCCGCCCCTTTCTTTTTTTGGGTTATACCCCGTTATTATAAGCTTATAAAGAAAAAGAGAACACCTCCTTTAACAATCCAACTTCTATTAAGAAAAAAAAAAAAAAAAAAAAAAAAAAAAAAAAAAACGCATATATTTCATACATTTTGAAATTTTCTCTTGTCCTTTTTTAACATTTTCTTTTCTACTTCTAATTTTTATTTTCCATACTTTTTTTTATTTGTAATATCATTTTTCATTTCTTTTTTTTTCTCTCTCCTCTCTTTTTACTTGTAAAAAAATAGTAGACAAAAAAAAAAGTAGCTTTTGTTTGAACGATAGTGCAAAGAAAAATGTCTAATTATCACCAGCATAATCTTGCTAGCGAAGATCCAACACTCATTGTTACACCAGATCATTCAAACGTGTTGGATGAAAAGAATGATAATGTTAGAATTGATTTAAGGGATCACCTTACTCCACACAATGACCCGGCTAATCCCTTTGCGTTTGTACCCGACCAATTATCAGCCTTGATGGACCCAAAGAATTTACCTTTGTTACGTTCTTTTGGTGGTCTTGAAGGTGTGGCTCGTGGTCTGCAAGTCGACCTCCAGTCTGGTTTAACACCTAACCCTCCCAAGCATCAAAACATCTCTCTCACACAAATATTAAAGGAAAAGGATGACTCAGTCTATGTTGAGGAGATCGAATTCAAGAGAACCCCTACCGTACATTCTTTGGGCAGACAATTGACCCATCGAACCGATGTCACCGTCTCTGCTCCAGAAGTTACCGCCTTCCCTCAGAGAAAACACGCATTCGGTTCTAATGTGCTTCCAGAGACACAGTCAAAAACCATATACCAGCTCATGTGGATCGCATTTCAAGATAAAACACTGGTAACATTTACAATACCTTAATTACTGGCATTATACTCAATTTTGTTTTCTTTCCTTTCCTTTCTTATAGATTCTATTAGCTATTGCTGCTGTAGTCTCGTTGGGTGTCGGTCTGTATGAAGATATTGCTGTTCCCGAATATGATACTTTTGGTCAAAGAATTCCTGGTGTCAAATGGGTCGAAGGTGTTGCTATTATTGTTGCCATCATGCTTGTTGTCATGGTCGGTAGTGTGAATGATTTTCAAAAGGAGAAGCAATTTCGAAAACTGAATGCTAAAAAAGATGATCGCGCAGTCAAGGTAAACAAAGATGCAATGTTCTATTCGAACCCTATAGAAATTATTTGTAAGATATTGATCGTTTTTATTCCTTTCTATTAGGCTACACGTGAATCTACGGTCATTATGCTTTCTGTCTATGATATCCAGGTCGGTGATATCCTTCATCTGGAGCCAGGAGACATTGTCGCTGTAGATGGTATCTTTATCGAAGGTCACAATCTCAAATGTGATGAATCTGCTGCCACCGGTGAATCTGATGCAGTACGTAAACAGCCCTGGAAGATGTGTGAGCGTATGGCTGCCACCCAGGCCAAAGAAAACGATGTCCGTCATAACTATCGCCCATCTGCTGACTCCCCTTCATCTTCCGAATCCGGATTTAAACCTAGTAAACCTGCACCTCCCGCCGAGCATAAAAATACCCCGGATCCATTCATCATCTCTGGTTCTAAAGTGTTGGAAGGTGTCTGTACTTACCTGGTCACTTCCATTGGTGAAAACTCCTACTTTGGTCGTACCATGATGGCCCTTCGTTCTGAACCCGAAAGCACTCCCCTGCAAGAAAAGTTGAATGACTTGGCTGAAATGATTGCAAAGATGGGTTCTGCTGCTGGTTTGTTAATGTTGATCGTCTTGTTGATTCGTTACTTTGTTGGATGGAAAGAAGGTGTCCCAGATCAACCTACCGAGATCGTCATGGCTATCATGAAGATTCTAATTGTTGTCGTGACGATTGTTGTGGTTGCCGTCCCTGAAGGTTTACCATTAGCCGTTACACTTGGTAAGGTTTCCTATTTTTTTCTCCGATTCATGCTAACCCCAAATTTCTATATTTAGCTCTCGCTTATGCTACACAACGTATGCTAAAAGATAACAATTTGGTCCGTGTCTTAGCTGCTTGTGAAACTATGGGTAATGCGACCACCATTTGTTCTGATAAGACGGGTACGCTGACGCAAAACAAAATGACGGTGGTTGCTGGTACCTTTGGTTCGTCATTCCGCTTTATCAACAACCCACCTGCATCTCGCTCTGACCTGATTGACCTCAAGAAGGTGTCTTCCACTGCACCCAAGGACGCCCTTAACCTGATCAATCAATCCATTGCTGTCAATTCCAATGCCTTTGAAGGAGAGAACGAGAAGGGAGAGCCCTGCTTTGTAGGAAACAAGACCGAAACCGCTCTTTTGCAATTCTCTCGTGAGATTGGTGCCGAACACTATGATTCTTTACGTACTCGCTGGCCTGTGGAGCAAGTATATCCTTTCAGTTCTGAACGCAAGGCCATGGCTACCGTCCTGCAGATCCCTCACCCTACTCAACCTCAACAAATGATTTACAGAGTGCATGTAAAAGGTGCATCCGAAATTGTCTTGGGTCTTTGTGATAAAATCCTTACGCTCAAAAGTTCCTCCTCTACTCGTGATGACTACAATGGTGCCAATACTCGTCCCTTAAACGGTGATGATAGCAACCGTGTTGAACGCATTATTCAAAGCTATGCCATGAAGAGTTTAAGAACGATTGGTATTGCCTATTGTGATTTCGAACAATGGCCACCTAAGGGTCCCGCTTTGAATCAGGACGAGGATGTTCCTTATGACGATATTGTAGAGAATAATGATTTGACTTTCCTTGGTGTTGTTGGTATCGAAGATCCTCTTCGTGATGGTGTACCTGAAGCTGTACAAGCCTGTCAACGTGCAGGTGTATTTGTTCGCATGGTGACGGGTGATAATGTCGTGACCGCTAAAAGTATTGCTAAACAATGTGGAATCTATACTCCTGGCGGTATCGTCATGGAAGGACCTACATTCAGAAAATTGCCCCAATCTGAGATGGACAGTGTCTTACCCCGTCTTCAAGTGTTAGCTCGTTCAAGTCCTGAAGATAAGAGAATTCTTGTAAGCAGACTACGTGAATTAGGAGATATTGTTGCAGTCACTGGTGATGGTACCAATGATGGTCCTGCTTTAAAGATGGCCGATGTCGGTTTCTCGATGGGTATTGCTGGTACTGAAGTTGCCAAGGAGGCCTCTAGTATTATTCTGATGGATGATAATTTCTCCAGTATTGTCAAGGCCATCATGTGGGGTCGTTGTGTGAATGATGCGGTCAAGAAGTTTTTGGAATTTCAAATTACCGTTAATCTTACTGCTGTTATCTTGACCTTTATCTCTGCGGTTGCTAGTGATGATCAAAAGTCTGTCTTGACGGCTGTTCAACTCTTGTGGGTTAACTTGATCATGGATACCTTTGCTGCCCTTGCTTTAGCTACTGACCCCCCAACTGCAGAATTATTAGATCGTGCTCCTGATCCACGTACCGCGCCTTTAATCACCCTCAAGATGTGGAAGATGATCATTGGTCAAGCTATTTACCAAATTGTTGTTACCCTTGTTCTTTTATACAGTAATGTCCTCAAGAATGATACCCAAGAAGCCGTATTACAAACAGTTGTATTCAATACTTTTGTATTCTGTCAAATCTTTAACGAAATCAAGTAAGCTGTAATTTTTTCTTTAATTCAAACATGTGTATACTCATATTTATTGTTATTACTACTATTAGTTGTCGACGTATCGATAGTCATCTCAATATCTTTACTAATATTTTTGCCAACAAGTTCTTCTTGGCCATCTTCCTTATCTGTGTGCTTGGTCAGGTTGTTATTGTTCAATTCGGTGGTGCTGCTTTCCAGGTAGTTGCACTTGATGCGGCCCATTGGGCTATTGCGCTTGTGATTGGTGTGATTTCTTTGCCTATTGGTGTGGTGATCCGTCTTATTCCTGATAGCATATTTGCGTGTTTGTTCCGTGATCCTGTTACTCGCGAGAAATACATGGGAGGTGGAAGCACAGTTCCAGCCGTCTACGTAGCTGGTAATGAACGTTTGCCCTGGAATTCAAATGAAAGATCCAACACCATGCGTTCTCGATCTTCTAAACATGATAACCACTCTTTTGCTTCAGGATCTATTCGTAGTCTTGAGTAAATGCTTCATCCTCCAATCCCCCTTTCTTTCTTTATATCCTTCTGCATAATCTTTTTCCTCTAAAACCCTTAACTCCCCTCCTCCCCTTACAGAAAAGGAACCCTTTTTTTTATTTTTAATTATTTCATAATCGGTATGTTTTCTTTTCATCAACCGAAGTTCATGTATAGTGCTTCCCTTTTTTTTTTTCTTCTTCTCTCTACTTTCTTTTTTTCCAAACCCTCTCTCCTCGCCGTACACTCTATTCTAGGGTAATATCAAACCATCTTTCTCTCACACACTTAATTATACTTTTATTCTTTATTAAAATCCAAAAAATTCAATAGATGATGTATTAATTGTTCCACCCCCTCCTCATGAAACATACGACTAAGGTGTCCAGTGACACATTCCAAAATATATACATATACACCCTGTTTAAGAACTACAGGAGCATCTCATATCCGTATCCTAAACAAACCCCATTAGAATGCTTGATTTTTAAAATGTGGGGTCAAATTAAAACTTACCGGGATTGAGCTCTTGATCCAATTCTCCACTCTAGCATCGTCATAGTGTTCTTTAAAAGGATCGATACAAGCGTCTAGACACACATTCAAAAGCTCCTTGGCTTCTTCTTCCGTATGATCCTTATGGAACGCCTGAATCACCTGCTCCGCAATCGAATTACGAAGGACGAATCTGGGGTTCACAGCATTCATACGCTTCTTTCGCTCTTCGCAGTCTGATTTCTCCTCCAGTAAACGATGGCGGTAAATGGCTAACCAAGGTTTTAAAGCTTCTTTACTTGCTTCCACTTGAGATGCATCTTCGGTAGAGATCTCAAGCCATTGGTTGACAGCAGTTTCTGCATCACTGTCTTCTCCCTTTTCCGTCACTTGATAATTCCCCAGTGATCTGTAAAAGCGGTGATAGTCAATATGATAGGCAGTCATCCAGTCCAATAACGGGATGATCACATTATCCATATCCGTTGCATTGGAGGAGTCTGTCTTTCTTAAGCCAATCTTGGATCTCATCTTGGATAATAAACTTGACATGAAATATTCCTTGTATTCAGTTTGAAGCATGTTTTGTACAATGGTTTGTGCCTTTGCACGATAAACTTCCAGCGTCTTTTCATCAGTCACATTTTCTCGAGTCTCGTCTTCCTTGCTGGGGAACACCAACGAGTCGACCTTTTCTTCGGCGCCGATAAGTTCAAATAAGGGCATGCTTAATCTGACAAGATTAAAAATACAGACGGAGGGCTGGCGATGGAATGCATAACCTACCACCCAGAGACACTCGTTAGTGTCATGCATAATTTATATATATATATTTAATCAGCTTACGTCCGGAATCGTCAGAATGGTTGCATGTGTAGAGGGGGTTATAATAATCCATGATTTGGTAGGGACCATAATCCATGGTGAGACCCAAAATAGACATATTGTCTGTATTCATGACACCATGATTAAATCCAATGGCTTGCCATTCTGCCACCATGTGTGCTGTATTCTTTGTAATATTTCTAAGCATTTGTGTATACTTATTACCTGCACCAACAAGATCTTCCTTGATGACATTGTCAATCGTGTAATCGGCTATCTTACGAACATTGTCCATATCATCACGATGGAAAAAGATTTCAAAATTACCAAATCGGAGCCATGATGGAGACATACGTGCCACAATCGCACCGTTTTCAGGTTGAACTAAATAATTCTATATGAGTATATGGGGGATAGCTTTTTAGCAGTAAATAGTGAGTACGTTACGTTCTCGGAGACCGTCTTCTCTGTAAACGTCTCTTGTTGTATCAATTAATGCAATAGCACGTGTGGTGGGTACGCCCAAAGCATGCATGTGTTCCGACATCAAAAACTCTCGAATGCTTGATCTTAGTACAGCAAAACCATCACCAAATCTAGAATAAGGCGTACGTCCTGCACCCTTCAACTGAACCTCCCAAGATTCTCCTTTGGAATTGACAGTTTCGAATAAGGATATGGCTCTGCCATCACCCAACTGTCCCGCATAATAACTGAGAGTACGGATTACTAATCAAACACTCTTTTTTTTTTCTTAGTCCGTATTTTCTTACCCAAATTGATGTCCAGCGTAACAGAGAGACCAGGGACGAGTACCTGGCAGGACTCTGTTGCCGGAAAAGACCTCGGCAAAGTCCTTTTGCTGGTCTTCGGAAAAATCAAGCTCGATTTCTTGACAGGCGGGCTTGGAGATGGCCAAGACAACAGGATCGGGAGCGGTTTCTGGAAATACGTGAGAATAAACGGCTCCATGCACAGGACGAGGCGTTCTCATTAGGTTAGTTTGATTGTCTTGCGAAACATTGGTTGTGTAAATATCACCGGGTAAGGCCTTTGTAAATTTGGTGGGCAAGCTGGGTAAAGAGTTGATAGACCGACTTGTCATTGCGCGAATGCTCATGGTTGAAAGTAAAGAGAAGAAAAAAAAAACTTTAATTTTTTTTTTCGCATGACGGGTTTTAGTAGAGCGCGCGCGGTTTAGATTTTAGATCCAAATTCCTGGGTTAAAATAAATGATGAGGCATGTGTGATAAAATATGCAGGTTTTTTAAGTAGTTTAAGCGAGTGTCAAATAAGCATTAAAAGGTGGATCTGATTTGATATTCTCCGACTTATATAAGCAAAGTTCTAAAGAGACACAAAGAAACCATAACAATCTGCCCCCGTATTAAGTAAATATATAACAAATGACGTATAATAAAGGAGGGGGAAACCCACAAGAGGATCAAGGAGGTAGAAAATGGTGTCATTATGGGAATGGGGGGCATTCATGGAAAATGTTTATCACTTCAAAATAATAATAAAAAAATTCCTTTCACTCTCTTTTCTTTCTTTCTTGTTGTTTGGGGTGTCCAGCATGTTTTTAAAGAGAAAGGAAGAAAAGCCATCAAATTGGTCAGAAATGTGTTCAGAATTCATCAAAGTCGTGTTGAGACGACGTACATCGAAACACCATCATCGTTTATTAAATGATCCAAATTTATGCCTTGATCAACTATCAGAATTCCAAAAAAGTTATGTTTCTTTCCCAGAATTCAGTGACTCCACCATCAGTACAGAAAGCAGTGACTCTAATCAATCCTGGGCCTCTGCATCCACTACTTCTTAACTCTCTTTTTACCCGCAAACACTCACTCACTTTACTCTTAATATCTAAACACACACTTATATATAAAACAAATCTTTTTTAATGTTTTTCTTGTTTTTCTTGTTTTTTTTTATGCTATAAATAATCTATACTGTTTAAAATGCTTTTTTTTTTGTGGATGTTCCCACAACTAGTTTATAATTTGGAAATGACGGCAGCAGTGAATTCCTTGAGAGTGCTGTTTCCACCCATATCGACAGTCTTGGCTAAACCAGAAGAGATAGTATCATAGACAGCAGCAGAGATTTTGTTGGCATACTCATCCAAGTTCAAATGTCTCAACATCATCACACTAGAAAGCAACATGGCGGTGGGGTTGGCAGAGTTTTGATCTTGGATATCAAGAGCGACATGACGACATCCCTATCATTTATACATTTTTTAATATTTTATCTTCTCTTTAAACTCTCTTTCTCTAAACTTACGGGCTCAAACATGGCGTATTCGCGACCAATGTTACAACCGGGAATTAAACCAGGACCGCCAATCAAACCAGCACCCTATTTATTTATACTTTGGTGTTATTTTTTTTTTCATGCAAATCCCTAAAGTTAAATCAAAACTTACCACGTTAGAGACAATGTTACCGTACAAGTTGGGCATGACCATCACATCGAATTGTTGAGGACGAGAAACAAGTTGCATGGCAGTGTTATCAACAATCATGTCATTCACCTCGAGTCCGTGATGTTCGTATTCCTTGGCAACCTCGCGACAAGTACGCAAAAAGAGACCATCAGCCAATTTCCTACGTTGCTATGCATTTTAGACAACACTTTTCATACACAGACACATTTTTTTTTTTAAAAAAAAAAAAACTTACATGATGTTGGCCTTGTGAACGATGGTAACCTTCTTACGGTTGTTCTTGATGGCGAAATCAAAAGCGAAACGAGCGATACGCTCAGTCTTGACACGGGTAATGATCTTGAGTGACTCAACAACACCGGGAACAGACTTTTTTTTTTTTTCTAAAATTTAGAAAACAAATATTTGTGTGTATTTGTACAACAAAAGACTTACTTGATGTTCTAAACCAGAATATTCACCTTCTGTGTTTTCACGGATAATGGCAATGTCGACGTTGCTCAAACGAGAGGGAACACCGGGCATGTTCTTGCAAAGAGAGAGAGAAGCATACATGTCCAAATCCTTACGCATGGCAACGTTGAAAGACTTGTGACCGAGTTTGGAGGTGGGTGTGAAAAGGGTACCCTTGATACCAACCTTGTTACGGCGAAGAGACTCAATAGACTCTTGGTACAATGTGTCGTCTTCAGAGGTCATGCCAGAGACATCGTATTGTTCGAACTCGACAGGAACATTGGCAGCCTTGAAAACATCCTTCACTGACATGGCAATTTCTTGACCGATACCGTCACCAGGAATCATGGTAACAGTGTATTTACCTCCATATTTCTTGGGGAAGATCTAATGTGATGGTTTTAGTGCGGTTTTCTTTTCTAAAAACATGTCACTTACAGACTTTTGCTCGACGGGAGCAGGAGTGGGGATAGAAGTGAATGTGCGTGTGGCGGACTAATGAAGAGTGTTAAAAAATTATTAATTGTTGTTTCAAAAAAAAAAAACGGACTTACTTGCATGACGTTAATAACAGGTTTGGAAATAATGTTGCGAAGCATTCTGTGTGGTGGAGCCCTTTTTTTTATTGTTTAAGAAGAGGTGAAAAAAAAAAAAAGATCCGTCCCGGGAAAACGTTGTATTACCGAAAAAACTTTTTTTTAAAACCCCCAGGGTAACCATGCCCTAAACGTCCAGAAATGACTTTCAAATAAAAAACTAGTTTTCGTAATGAATTGTTTATGGAACCTGTCAAAAAAATCGCACCCAGCTTCCCCACATTCATTTCCCTAAAATTATTCCAGTTCCCAACTTGTTTGCATGTGAGAAACAGCTCTAATTCTCCTGTGGAAAGTTTTTTTTTTTTTTTTTTTTTTTGTTAATTCATGCAAAAAAAAACCTCAACAATCCCAAGCTTACCATTGGCTCATTCACCCGTTCTACCCCACATGTTCCATTTGGTCACATATTTTCTTATTTTGGCTTCTTTTAAGACATATATATATGCAGATCGATTTTACTGCAATTTGAGCGACAGTTATTCCCCTGAAGACTTGGATTTCCGGATGGAATGTTTGATGAAGACCATCGGGTATCTAGGACGACGAAGCAGCTGAGTCTTCCTTACTGAGAACCCCCCCCCTTCCTTATATCATACTCAATTGAGTGACTTCCTTTATCTTCAGTCCCTACGGAACCCGCCTTCTTTCCAAATCATGATCTTGCGGGGGAAATGGAAGTACTCAACTATTTCACTAAAAGCAGAAAAAATTAATGTCACCCACATATATAAAAAAAATGTATTTATATGTTTAACCTTAATACAACGATACGATTGGTTTCCGAATATAGTTTGGTGTTGCCCCACCGTCGGTATAAACGGGTGTGGGGAGTTGCCAATCTCACCCATATTAACATTACTGGTTTAGCACTATTAATGCCGGAAACGCCCGACGTTCCTGAAAAAAACAGGTATCCTTACATCAGAAATACCCTTATTTGGGACCTTCATTACACCTGCGGATGGAAAAAATTAATGGCGGTATCGGAGAAGTAAACGTCGGGTCATAGAAAAGGCGCCTTTTTCACAGATATTTTGGCTTTGAATTAAATTAATAGAAAGGTGTGTTGATCAAAGATTGTGACATAATCGTGCCATTTGAAGCTATACCATTCCGAAAATTCCAGCGTAGAAAATAAAATTTACCACAAAATATATGCACTCTCAATGACTGTACAACAAATCTGCTCACAACAATAGTCTAAAATTACAGAGACCGAATTGATCAAGGGTTCTCTGGAAAAAAAGAAAATAACTTTTGATTGTAAACATCATATCCACCTAACGCTATGCGTCGGTAGAAACACTATCAAAATTACGAAACGTCAAAAAGAAATCCTAGTCCACCTAACTCATTTACTCTAAGCACAAGAAACGCATTCAACAGAAAGTGGGAAAAAAAAGACCCCCACCTTTGTACTGATAACACTATCGCTGCCATGGTGACGCATTTTAAGGATTCTGTAGATCTCGATGTCTCGAGGTTAGGATAGTATAGTTAAATAATTCAAGCTTTATTTACAAAGGCGGACGAACTATTGGGTAAGTATCTCCTAGGAAGAGAGAAGAAGCCAGGAAGGGAAAATGCAAGTGTAGAATATGCTGCATAGGTAAAAGAAGGTAGAGTTGAACCTCATAGTAACTATGGTACTTGCTCAGTCTTTAAAAATTAAATGACAGCCTTCTTGACCAACTAAATTGTCATGATGGTTACACAGAAAAACGTTTGTAATGATGTAACTGAATGAATAAAGAAAAGAAGAAAAGCTTGTCGAGGCTTCAGCTCCTTGCTTGCGTCCGCAATAAAAGGCTTACTGTTGCATAAAGTTGGTCCAAGGTAAGCTTCAGTTGAAGAGGAAGAGTTTCAAGTACAGCAACTTTTTTCATCGGCACTAATGAATCGGTAAACAACATGACTGAGAGTATAGCTGACGTGCTTCTTTATACCTTAATGCACTTTTAAAGTATGTGGGTATTCCAATATCAAAGTTCCAGACGTCTGTCACTTTTGTTGCTTGTTCGGAGTTTCAATATACCTTTTTTTATTAGGGTCCTTTGCTTTTGCTCAAAAAATAAATTAATAATGTCATTAAAAGCATAATAAATAATAAAGTAAAATAATAAAATAATATTTATTGAGATTAATGTGTAAAAAATAAAAGATGGGAAAAGTTTTGTATGGAATAAGGCGAAATAAAGAGACCATCCGAGAGTCACCAAGAACCAGAGGAGAAAAAGACAAGCTGTTCTAAAAAAAATTACTCATTAAACTTAACCCCAGTTCGCAGGGTATTCCCCATTCGCAGGGAATATTATAATCGTAAATATGTGGAGACTACCACCAGGGGATCTTTGCCTACACTAACGAGTTGTTAGCCTCCTAAGCCCTGGAGCACATATCTAAATCGTGACTACAGCTACAAGCTCTCACCGGATTTAGCCACGCTAAACCACTAGCTTATACTGTACCGTGAATAAAAGAAGATCAGAAGTAGAACAACTGCCTTAAAGCCTTGGAACTTTAGATGAAGTTAAGATAGCATAGCCTTGACGCCAGTTTGAGAGATTTGCAGAGTCTTAAAGGGGAGTTTTGAAGAGGCTTGACGCCAGTTTAAGAGATTTTCAGAGTCTTGGAGGGGAGTTTTGAAGAGGCTTGACACAAGATGAGAATATTTGACGAGGGTTTTAGAGTTTCAGAGGCTTTGGATAATCTTTAGAGAGACTTGACAAGAGTTACGTGCTTTGAAATAGACTATAGGTTTGCAGAGTCCTGGGAAGATTTGATGATATTTATAAAGTTAGGAAGATTTGAAGAAGTTTGTAAAGGTTTGCATATTAAGAAGAGTAGTAGTATAAGTTGGAAATAAAGATGAGAGAACGAAGTGTAAATACCTTTAAAATAATACATAACCTTCATGTGGCTCATTTTTTATTTACACAGTCCATAATTAAACTGGTTTAAGGCTGAAACGCTGGTCGGAAGTCAGTTGCGATGTTTTTTTTTTGGTTTAAGGAATAAAAAAAAAAAAAAGACATGGGCAATACAGTGCGTTGCGACATCACTTTATACGAAGTATATAGAAATACCATAAAAGATAAATGAAGTGGATAACGCTTCATGAAAACAAGCATACATATAAACATCAGCGTACAGGTGAGAATAGAAAATCTTGTAAAGTACATGATGTCAATATTAGTCAATAAAACATATAACATCATATGACAAGATCAAATATTGATGTGCGGAATCATAATAGATTGTTCTGGCTCAGTAATGTAATGTTTACCTCAAACCAGCAGAATTATTTTTAGTAGACTTTAGCTTCTTTGATAGTTATATTATCGCAGTAGAAAGTGATATTTCATTTTATCAACATTAGCTGAATATTTCAGCACAACCGACTATACACCCACGTTGACAAATTTTGAAGGGAAAGATAAAACAGTTCATTGAATTCAGATACAGTGTCACTGTTTTGGTCAGAGGATAGTTATAAAAATTACTCTTAGAATTATGTAACATCTTGTAACCTAAACTTTAGTCAAATCGGACCTTCCGTTTAGAGTGTTAAACCTGTTAGATTATTTAGATGTAGGATTTTGGGGTCATATTGTTATTTAATAAATCGAGAGATCTCCAGCGAGATACCTGAATGCTTATATAAGTAGTAGGTTTCCGATAGATTTCCCATCGTCTTAGAGAGGCGCTATTTACGCTAGTATACCTTTTAAAAAATATATTGGAAGATGATAGCATAAAGAGTAGCATGGATGCAAGCGTTCTCCGCACTCCATCGATGTAACTATAGGCGTGGCCTTAATTAGTTTCAAACACTTGATTTATCATGAAGAGGACACGGGCTGAAGGAATCATGTGAAAGATTGTTTAATCTTGCCGATCTTTTTTTTTAATCCGTTGCACAAAAAGAACATCTCCCATGATAAAGCAAAACTTCAATGCTCATTTTCTCAACATCCAATGAAGAAAGTAACTATGATATGCACACGGATGTGATGAGAATTTCACGGATTATTCAAAGGATGACACATATGTTCAAAAAGTAATGAAAAAAAAATCAAGTTTGTAAAAGTAGCCTAGACAAAATCAACAAAGTAAACAAAAAAAAAATTTTTTTTGGTATAAAAGGGAGACTGCTGCGAAAAAAACGTCCTTTATCTTTTTATTCTTTTTTAAACATTAGAACAGAGAAGTTAGCATGGCTCGGCACAAGAATGACACTATCGACTCTGTTCGTTTTCCGTTAAATCTATCCACTTCATTACAGATCGGGCAGTGTTCCAAAGGCCGTAGTAATCCCTAAAAAGATTACATTGAGGAGTCTGCTGGTTGTCAAAGTCGCTAGGCAATGGCCTTGGTCGTTGTCTGTATCGCTTCATTCGGATTTCAGTACAACAATCTGACTGGGGCTTGTCGCCTTTTGTTCCAGGAACTTCTTACTAAAACTAGTGCCACACCCGTTGCTTGGTGGAGGGTGAATATAGAGCGTGTTACTAGACGGTGGGATGGTCGTAGCCGTTTGAAGCCAGTCGATACGTTCTTGGTCATTGGAATTGGTGTGGGTTGTTATATTTGGTCGGTATCTGATGACAGTAGGAAGTTTAGTACCCGAATGCATCTTGTAAGTGCTTTGCCTTGTTTACGTCTACGCTAGAGATATTGCATTCTATAGGCAGCCATAGATTGGCATCCTGTTGGACAGCTACCTCATCTACACGGAATGTTAACCTTAAAGCCAATACTCGTCCAGGTGCGGTTGCTACGATTCTACTGCCAGGGTAAAAAGCACCACCCCAACATGGTGTAGGGGGTATTTGGTCCTGGTGATTCTTATGTTGCGCATTGTGGGTAGGTGGCATGTAGGATTATCAGGTTCTGTATTGAAGATGGTTTATCGGAATTTACTTTTTGGGTCAGGATGTGCTTCCACCTTCTCGTGGTCTGGCCTGTTAACCAGTTATTTTATGCTGGGAACTAGGAGAAGCACTTATTAGTATAGTTTAGATATTTTCATTATCATTTAAATAAATCTTTTTTTTTTCTTGGCTTGATCATAATTAATTTTTTTATATGTCTTTAAAATGTTAATCATCATCATCTATATTTGACAGGTTTTTTTAGTCCAAGTGCGTATTACAAATCAAGGCCAAGGTAAAGGAAATGTCCCAATGTAAAGGTTTAATTGAAACACACTCATAGTCGTTGGAGTTAACAGAAAATCCTTTTTATAAAAGATAAGTAAAAATAAATTTTAAAGCTAACTTCTTCGTGATTTCCTCGGCATTCTTTTATCAGTGTGTACATTGCTGTGGATAAGCCTAGAACAGTCTCTTGTGGCCTCTCGCATTTTATTTTTTTATTCCCGCTATTATGTAATTGAAATATATTTACAAATATGATGTAAGCATTGCTGCCCGTGGGTGTATGGGAGGTAAAAGCTAATTAAAGAAAAAGCAATGGCGATGCTTTTGGTTATGTCTCTTCTTTGATTTTTAAAGGCGTTGAAGTAACTCCTTGGCAGCTTGTTTTACTTCGTCCACAACATCAATCCAATAATTCATCTTAAGGGGGCTTTGTACCACTTTATCTTTTGCGTTTTTCCATACACGATCCACAAAAGTCTTTGATTTTTTCAACAAAGCATGCACACTTTCAGTATCTTGAGGAGAGTCTGCGGTATGCTTTCTCGTCAGTTTCATCTAAGTCCCTTTCATGGAGTGGGGAAGATGCTGAACTAGATACCGACACGTAAAGATTATCTACAAGGGAGCGGTCAAGAAGATTGTCGACCATTTTTTGTAACAGTTTTTGCTTTGATTGACTGGTGATGTCCGAAGGTGACTTTCGGGTATAGCCGATTGTTTCATAATCGTTCTTTTTTAGATTAATAATGGATGCTCTGTATCTTGGCAAATAACTGACTGACCCATACACGGGGACAAGCGGCATACTTTGCCCATTCTTGCTGGCCAAACGGCATTTGCGTGTGGCCTGAAAGCTTAATTGCCTTGAATTGCAAGCAATTTAAGCATCGAAATAACAAATAAATGCCACCCTATTATTAAACTATAGAACATGTGTACACCAACGCAAATGTTTAGTACCCACGACCAGATTATTGTGATAGAACCGATGTAACTTACGTGACTATTTATAGTGGCACACGCTTAATATAATAATCCCAACTTGAAGCTGGGATCTTTATTTCAAGAATAGCTACACATGGCAGACTATCTCCAGCCCTAAGGTGGCACATACAAAAGAGCTTTTCGATGCTATAGTTTTGTGTTATTTCTTGGTGTCTTTTGGCAAATAAAAGATAATGTCGACAAACCTTTTTGTTTTCTTGAAAGAAGAAAAAAGTGCTGAAAAGATGAAAAGTATTTACATGAAAATAAATTAGAACTTGTTTACGTCAGGATGAGTTCATTTAATCACATTATTTGGTTTCATAACTTTATTCACATACAACTTTTTGATAATCTTTAAATCTTTGAAAGCTGATGTATGATGAGTAATTCCTCCAGTTGATAAGTGGAAGTCTGACTTGTCTCCTATAGTGAGCAATAAATCATTCAAGTTTTCATATTATACCAGTGGCACTGTACATTACATAAAGTGTTTCAGGAACAATTTGCCACTGATAAATTAATTTTATTTTTTGTAAAAGTTTGTGAGCTCATTGACAATTTTAAAAGCAAAAACGATTTAGTTCCGAAATCGCATGACTATGAGGTATCAAAGTTAGTTTGGCAAAAGCATAATTTTTTTTTTTTTTTTTTAAAAAAAAAAAAAGGCTTGAACTTAAAGAATTATCAGGCAGCTTAAATGGAAAAGCTAAAAACACTCAAAACCATTAAAGATAAGTTGTTTTGGGGCCGTTCGGAAATACAGGGACGCTTTCTTGTAAGCTGCATCTGGTGAGATTATTTTACTGAAATCAGCTGATGTCACAGCTTACTGGATAGACCTACATCTTCTTGCTTATTTATTGATCAAAGTATCATTTAATTTCGAAAATCTTTCTTCTCTTTATTGTAAAATTTAATAAGGGAGTTACTGTATTGTCTCTTCAAATTCCCATCACGGGAACAGATCAAGATAATATGTATTACTTCATTTCCAAGATCTTAACCAAGCCTTTACTATTAGCTGCTATCATTTCGGTCGTGCCTTTCTTCCAACACACTGAGCTTACAAAGGTAGCAGATATGTCTGCAGTAGGTGTATTCTCATCCTAAATACAAAGTCAGTAAATGTCAAAGACGGTAGTAATAACACTGACATGTCCGTTATCTGCAAAGTCGAAGGTTGCTACTGGATGTTGCGAGGCTTTGTGATATGTATAAACGGTGTTGTTTTCACTACCGCAGGTGATCCAATCACCGTTTAATGATAATCCAACAAAGTTCTTTTCGTTTTGATGTCCATCAAATGTCATCTTACAATCCGTCGAATTTACATCCCATAGTTTCAATGTGCTATCAATTGAGCTACATGAAATTTGATTGAGAAAGATATCGGTATCCAAATAATTAATACCTACGCTGATATGATTTCTTCGTCATTTAGCCATTTGACATAGGAAACAGCCTTTTTATGACCTTCAAATATTTTAACGGGTTCGTTTGGAAAACGTAAATCATAAAAGCTAACTCCATGATCTGTATAAAGAGTGAAAAATGAGCTCAATGTTTGTAGTAAGATGTATGCATTTGAAATACCAGCACAACCAACCGCTATGTGGTGTATATTATTTGGAGAAAACTTTGCGCAACAAACATTTCCGTTTTGTTCCAATGTATAGAGCGATGTGTTTTGAGATAAAGACCACACTTTAACGGTGGAGTCGTCACCACCCGAAGCTAACATATCTGGGTTTTTGGCACAAATATCAACACTCCAGGCACGACTCAAATGTTCTGTAAATTTCTGTGTCTTCTGGCCTGTTGTGACGTCCCAGATATCTATGATACCTTGATAGTCCGAGCTTGCTATTAGTGATTTGATATAAGGACTCCATGATAAACAACTAATCTTGTTTAAACAGTTTATAGAACGAACTGGGCAATGCAATGTGTTGGAGTAACATTTTTGCCCTATCAAGTTATAGTCATAAATTTTGATCTGCCTAGTAACACCACCCATTGCAAAAAACTCCTGATCACGGTCAAATTCTATGGAAGAAACAATGGATGATGTTGCAGAACTTTCGGTATAATTTAGGGAATCCACTTCGTCAAAATAGGAGAATTTTGTTAGATCATACATTGTTGTTGAGAAAACGTCCATTAATTTCCTCCCTAGTATAGTGTGAGTGTTTTTCATGAGTGTATCCGAGTAACAACATACTTTTTTCGATATTTAAATCTGTAGTAAATGTCGTGCGGTAAAGAGCTGTCAGATCGTGGAACTTTCCTCTGAAGTAAGTATTAGTTGATTGATTTGATTGGGGGGTTATACTTTAAGGATACTCTGGTTAGTACAAACTAGTGGAGATGGATCAAGATGCATACCTCTTTTGGTCATAATTAGTTTTTTCTTCTTCATTATTTGATTCTATTTCCTACAATACATAATGTAAATAACCGTTAAACTTCTTAGGTCAAATAATTACCGCATATCTTCGCTTTCGTAGTGTCTGGTTTTTGTTATCTAAGCACGTAAAATCATTATCAATGCAACCGTTTTCAGCGATCAAAGTATCGATTGTCTTTTATGAGATTAGTCAAAGGAAACTAATTCAGTTAAAATGAACTTACTTGTTCATTTTCTTTTTTGAGACACCCTAGAAAATGTTGCATCATTTCATTTTTTTCTTTTTTACGATCTTCTCCCGTTTCCTTGCTATTGGTGATAGCCGTTTCGAGTATTTCGACTAGATCTAGGATACTTTTTAATGAGCAAGATTTATTTCTAGTCATTACCCTTTTTTTTTTTACCTTTATGAGGCAGATATGAGGATAAAAGCTTGGCTATTGATGTACAATCTCCATTACTATTCTGAATGATTCTTTCGATAGGAACATGCCGTTCCGGGTTATTTTCTTTTAATGCTTTAATGCGGAGTTGAGCAAGCTTATTTACTACAAAACAAATCAGTACTACAGTTTTTTTTTCTTTTTGCAGAGAAGTTGTCTTTACATTGAAAATTGGGATGTATTTCGGCTCTGGTTAATACAGATCTGCACAGGGGACATGTCGTTTGTTGTTCAATATGCGCTTTGATGCATTGATAACTATATTCCTGTCAGAATATTTTATCGCACTAGTAAAAGGTTGTATTACCAATATGAGTGGCCACAATTCGTAGAAAAGACTTCATTCATTAAGTCTTGACAAATGGGACTATAATAAATTGTAAGTGACCATACACGCTTTTTGGTGTTTTTTTTTAGCTTTACCAAGACAATTCCTCATCAATTGTTTCGTTTCCGTGCTTATTTTCCACTTGGTCTTGTTCTGATCGCGATCCACTAAATAAAGCCATGATTGAAGATAATGAGGGCCAGCTATTGGATTGTTGAGTTCTTAATGGTGGCTGCAAGACTGGTCTTCTATTGTTCTCGGGATCTGAAAGGGGTATGTTACTTTGGTTAGATTGTGACATGTACAGAAAGAACCAGAACTTATTTATTATAAAAAGAAAGAAAGTGTGAAAACCACAAAACCACGTGATTATTTTAGACTACAAATGAAGGTTTTGCGATGACAATGTCTAAACCTATCTAAAGACGGCTTGCTACTCTATATTCTGACCCACCGTGGTTGGTAATGTAAGATACAGGCTTACAATGCCTACAAAGGGTAATGGGAAAGTCTTCATTATGTAGAGAAGTCTAGCCCTAGCTGTGGTAATAAAAAATGGGAGTCTATTCTAGAAAACAAAATTTGTTATTAACTAACCTTTTACCAATACTTAATATTCCTCTTTAAAAAGATGGTGTTATACAGCATAAGAATAAAAAAGAAAAAAATGAGAAGAAGGGAAGGAAAAAAATGTTTAAATGATTTTTATTTGTAGACTGATCAAAAAACCTTCGTATACATCAGGATGATTCAATTGTCTATTTAATCAGAAGTGAGTTTTACTTATAAAACTGATAAACAAGAGCTGGCTTACGTCAGGATGATTTAGTTGTATATTTAATCACCCATATGTTTGAGCCTTCACATACTAGAAAACAGGCGTATCTACAGTCCTAAAAAAACACCGGCGCATAAAAAAGTACGCAGAAAAAAAAAGACGTAGGTGTAGACATTCTCTTTTGTGATTACATCATTTGAAGGGAATAAACTACATTTTACAAGGAAGGGCCTGTCGTTGTCATGAGCGAAGGACTCCCGTGATACATGAGGTTGGTCAAAACATCACTACGTTGTTGGGTCATAAGAAATGAATATGCCTTATGGTCAGCCTTCAACAGCTCTATATGAATCCAAGGTGTTCCTGCACTTTTCAGGTGTCTATTTGTAAAGATTTTTTTTTGTTGCGGGATGCCTGGTGTCTTCCTTCTTTAGACCAATCTGTTACCCGCATATATATTCCTCTGCCATTTCTTCGAGATTTATTTCTCCTATATTTGGTCAAATTGTTTTTATGAAAACACTCCGCCTTTTTAATGTTGCTTATAGTTACTCGTATGTTATGCTCCCGAATAACCACTTACAACAATGTTTGTGCAAAAGTATAAATGCAACAGCCCTTAAATCTATTAATATACATGACCGCAAATGCCTTTCATTAAACTCATGCATTGGGGGCAGAATTAAACCTTAACATTAGTGCTGACAATAAGAGTAAAAGAAATAATATTCGTATGATCACGCAGTAATGACTGAGCCAGATGTCATTTGCTCAGTGATTTTTTTTCGAGCACATTATGCAATGTTCATGATTGGCTAGCAGAATAATTTTGGGATAAATGTTTATATTTTGCAGATCACAAAAGGTAATAAAAGGAGGGGGGGGGGGTAGGGGGAATTAATTAACAAGCACATCCATTATTGGGAGAATTTCCAGAGTTTTCTAAATCCACAGCACCTCCACGATTTAATCCAGCTCTATTTCTACCACGCGAACTATCAGCGAGTTGATCAAGAGGCATACGTCTCGCTATCGCATTGAAAAGTTGGCTCACGTTATCTGCGGTTTTTGCGGAGGTCTCAAAAAACAATAAACCAGCTTCATCGGCATATTCTTGGGCAGTCTAATGGAAATGGTTACAAATGTGCTGCCACCAAATACCTACAAGTACTAACCTTTGTCTCAACAGCTCTTCTTGATTCAAGATCACACTTATTACCAGCTAATGCAATAACAATATTGGGATCTGCTTGTCGTTGTAATTCATTTACCCAGGCTTTAGCCTTATCTAATGATGACTGAGAAAAAAAAAGGTTAAATCACAAGACAGTCGGATTAGTAGAATAATATGCTTACAGCTTGTGTGATATCATAAACTACAACAGCACAGTTTGCATTACGATAATACATGGGTGCCAAACTCTATTTAATATGTGTAAGAAAAGAAGGCATAATCGTTGGATGAATTTGTTTTACCTTGTATCTTTCCTGACCTGCTGTATCCCTAATAATGATATAAATGTTAATTTAGATTACACAAAGAATTACAATGTGATGATTTACCAAATTTCGAATTTCACTGTGGTGTTATCATCTAACGAAATGGTTTGTGCCAAGAAAGCAGCTAATAATAATATAAAATTAACTTTCCTCTCCCTTGTATATTAAGGAGTAAAAGTCTTACCACCAATAGTACTTTCTCTATATTCATCGAAATGGTCCTTGACAAAACGCATTACCAAACTGAACCGAAATTAAGTTAGTCATTGTAAATTTGTAGATGGTTTCGTTTAAACAAACCTTGACTTTCCTACGGCTGATTCACCTTCATTACATAAAAAGGAAAATTTTAGTTTATTCCCTCTCCTTCATCTGTTCACTAATTTACCTAGAAGGACAAGCTTAAACTGATAGGTCTTTGGTTGTTGAGCTTTGGTTGACATTATTATTTTTTTTTTTTTTTAATTGAAAGAAGCGGAAAAAAAACGAAAACCCACAGATGAGTGAGAAATATAAGAAAAAGAGGAACAAAGAGAGGGGAAACAAATGACGTATAAAAAATTCAAGCAATTTCTGTGCAACTTAAGGGTCATGATTTATCAAGACAATGAGGTCATGATACGCAATATCGTTCTTTATGGCAAACAATACTTTGATTCTAATTTAACGGTTCATTGTATGATGGTATGACTTTAAATGGATGAGGAATAAGGGCACTCGAGATATCGCCCCACCAAGATTCTGTACAATTCCTATACCATTCAACTAACACAAGCTTATGAGTAACAGTTGAAATCTCACAAAATAGGTTTTACTTACTCGTTTTTAATAAACCGTCTTCGAATCCAACTTTAGGTTCCCAACCAAGTTTCTCTAATTTAGTACAATCTATCGCATATCTAGTATCATTAAATGCTCTATCTCTAACAAATTCAATATGATCATTGACTTGATCTTGCTTATATCCAAACAGTAAAATCAAACGTCTTGCCATTTCCAAATTAGAAATTTCAGAAGGAGAGCCAATATTATAAGTTTCCCCCACAACGCCCTTGTGGAATATAAGATCAATTGCATTCACAACATCTGCAGCATATAAATATTTTCTGGAGTTATGCCCATCACCGTGAATGTAGCACTTTTTGCCTCGTAACAGGCTACAAATGAATTTAGATGTGATTTTCTCGGGAAATTGGTAAGGTCCATAAACATTATTGGAACGTGTAATCATGATGGGCAATCCAAACGATTTTTGATATGCCTTTACCAACATTTCTGCTGCAGCTTTAGTTGCTGAATAAGGATTGGTAGGTGACAGGATCGTATCCTCTGGACAGTCTGGCTAACAAAATTCATGAGTCTACATATCATCCTCTACAGACCTATTTAACTTACACCATTGATAACTTCTCCGTATACTTCATCCGTACTGACATGAACAAATCGCTGAATCTTTCTAATTTTAGCAGCTTCTAACAAAACATGTGTACCCATTACATTATTTCTATTTTAAATTCATTAGTCACTAAATACATATAGAATATACCATAGTCTTTACTTTGTAAATTCGAAAGAGTCACCAAACGAATTATCGACATGAGTTTGTGCTGCCAAATGAAATATAACGTCAATCTTTTTTTCCTTGAGGAAAAATGAAATAAAGTCTGCTGAAGTAATATCGCCCTAGTATAAAAGTGGTTAGGGGAAAAAATGAAATAACAAAAGAATAAAGCGTAGTTTCTCTTACTCTGACAAACGAATAGTTGGGAAATTCTTTGACACTTTTCAAATTATGTAACGAACCACAGTAATCCAGTTTATCGATGACATAGATATGGTATTCGGGATACAATACGACTAATTTACGCACAAGAAAAGAGCCACTATTGATAAACATTAATAGTTGGCACTTTCACTCTTCCCTTATACCTGATTTACATGAAACCCGCACCTCCAGTCACAAGGATATTCTTGACTTTGTTTAAATCTTGGGATAAAGCAGTTACTCGCTGTCCAATATCTTCTCGGTCAAAATCGGTAATCGTTTTTACAAGTGCCGCATGCTTTTCCAGATTTATCGCCATTGAGTCTTCCATGGAAATCGTACAAGGTGACATGGACGTAACAAGTTGCAGAAGGAATGGAAAAGAAGAAAAAGATGACAAGACTTTTGAGACAACTTAAAATTGATTTTTTTAAGGCCACTAAAATGTTAATAGTTTTTAGACCAATCAAAAACACCTTTAAATTTACTCTTGCGAGTGGAAATCTTGTTGCGATACGGCGATATTTCTATGTCCAAGGGATCATAACCGGACTATCTTCCGTAGTTACCTTCAGTGCAACCCGAAATTCTAGGAGGAAGCCGTTTCTATGAAGATTCGTACCCTTGAAGAGTAATGAATTAGCTTTTATGGCTTGTGACCTGATGGGATAAGCGTCCCCAATGTTTGTACGATTAAACAAGAATATCAAATCAATTTTTTCTATAAAAACCGGTGTTAAGGTAGATATGTAAAAGCATACAGCGTTTATAGACATCTAAACATTGGACAGTATGTCCATAATATGTTAGCTAGGAAAACACTTTTACTTATTGTGCTCGATCTGAAACCCATAAACTCTACTAAGAATTCTTTAAGTTCAAGGTGATCGTAATTTTTTGGAGAAAATAGACTCCCCAAAGGTGAATTCGAGTTGTCATTAAACGTTTCTTAATACAGTGATTACTATAATAATATGGTTTACTGTGTGGAATTAATTATTTTATGCGAACTATTAATTTTAAACACTAAACTAAGCTGACGATATAAAAAATATTGACGAAATGGTTTGACTTGATCATGGGAAACAAAGCTATTGTTGTGAAGACAATTAAAAAAGCAGCAGAATTAAGGGAGACTGACTTAACAATATATAGGGTGGCATTAACATTTTGTTATAAACTGTGGGAGAGAGCAAATGCCTCACATCTATGGTTTTTAGACCATACTGAGTACCTAGTAGAAATTAAATACTTCGTTACCAGAGTAGAGACTGCAGTGGTCGTAGTATTAATCCTAGTTAACCGTTTATTAAAGTTTGAGAGCATCGACTAAGTTGAGCCAATTTGAATGTGCCGAATAAGTTGAACCAGTTTTAAAAACCCGTTTATTTGAAGGAAGGGGGAATAGAGTTTGCTATAGCGGCATAATCTTGTACATTCTTATAGCCATCCTTTCCATGCCAGAATAAGACCCAGTTCGTATCTTTTAATCGCAAATAACCATTGGATCTTTCAAAGTACCTTTAAGTGATAAGTATTAGTGATTTTTTCACAAGAATAAAAAGCGAAAAACATACCACTTATTGACGCCATTGTCTTTTCTGCTTCTCCAAAGCAATTCAGGGTAAGCATCGCACATTTGTTTCCACAGGATATCTGTTAATCCAATTCCCTGACTTGAAGGAGCGATAGCGAACTTATCTAAATAAGCATGATCACCTTCTTTTGTCATGATAACCGCACCTTCATAATCACCAGCAATAATTGCTCCAGCCAGCACCTTCTCTAAGCGTTTATAAAATTCATTTGTATTCACATTTTTTTTAAAACTAGCTTCCAATAATTTTGTCAATTTGTCTAAATCCAAATCTTTGAGGTCTTTGTAGCTATTAATCTTGATACCATGTCTCAAGACTGTGGTTTTCGCCTGGTTAATCACACGACCTGTACGAGGCAAGGAAGAAGAATATAAAGGCTTGTCTGTAACAAGATTTGTGATTAATGCATTTGGTAATGATGAAGTGGGTACAATGATGGCAGATGATGTAGTAGGCAATTCATTTAGACAATCTCGGATTGTAGTGAGATTATCTAGTGTGCTAGGATAATTTTGTTGCCATGATGGGTTTTGCTGAAATGCCTTATTGATGTCGTCGTATTCTTCTTGCACATTCACAAGACTGTGTGCTGTGCCAGGCAATTCGTGATTTGGTATACCGCCTTCTTTATTGATAATGACAATTTTTGAAGGTACAAGTTTTGGATCGACCGCTTGATTGACCAGACGTTGAGTGAGTGCTAAAATAGCTTGGTTCGATTTAATAGGTACTTGCTGGCCATCTTGTTCAGTCAAAATAGGTACGACAATAGGAATTTGATTATTGTTAAGCGCAGATTGAATAAAATCCAAATTGATTGTGATTGATGCATTGGCAGATCTTTCTAATGCAGAACCATAAATCAATCTAGCTCTACCGCCGGCCTGTTCAATTGATTCCACTAAAGTCATACTTTCTCGGATCATACGCTTTGTTAATTCACCATGACCAGATTTATCTGTAGTCCAGCATGGATTATCCGAAACGACAATAGAGGAAAGTCCAAGTTTTTGCAGTTTATATAGAGTGTTTCCGACGCTTTGCCAATCCATTTTATCAAAGGGACCTTCCACTTTAGTGAGAGCTAGTTGGTGATAGGAAGGAGCTAGTAGTGCATTCACATACTCCTTTGGTGATTTTAATCCGGGTGCTCCCTTCACTTGTTCGAAACCGGAAAGTAAAGTTGGTGTATCTGTCTTTTCTTGACCGAAGCGTTTCAAAAAATGTTGCAGCTCTCTTTTGCTTGGTCCTGTATCCATTAAATTAACGAGCAGCTCCTATAATCATTTATTAATACGCGTTTTATTCTGACAGTTTAGCCGAATTACTTTACTCGAACTTGTTTTTGTTCAGGAATAGGCTAAATAATAGAGAAAAAAAGGTGTCAAGCCAAGCTAAAGTGAATGTCAAATAAAAATTTACTTTTGTCTCGGTGGTGTATCTTTTGCATGCTCTCGCTGTCCATAAGCAGACAATGGGCCGATTCAGTCGTGTAATATTCATTTAGAGAATGTGAAAAGATAAGAAGTGAAGTGTAAAAAAATAAAATATTTATTTTTTATTTATTTTTGACCCCCAGCATTGAGGGATGAGCAAAGGTGTGTCACAATGACTGGTCAACCTTAATTTTTTGTTTTGTTTTTACATACATTTACAACTGTTATGTTTCTCGTTGACTTTTTTGACTTTTTTGACAGAAGAAGATTTGGTAATACCCTCGTGTTGCTGTTTTGTAATTGACTTGTTTGTATCCATTAATCTAGTTTTAGCACCATAGTCACCTTTGTCAGCAGCCATTTGATAATATGTTTCAGCTCTAGCAAAATCCCTCGGCACACCAAATCCGATCTCATAAAACCAACCAAGTAAAGACAAAGCGTCAGTGTTACCTGCTTTAGCTGCTTTCTCACACCAAGAGAAAGCCAAATCCTCATTCACTGGTGTAGCTATTAACCAACCGCTAACATCGTTTTCCAATCTGTTGGCTTCTAACAGATCTCCGGGACCATGGCTTCCTCGGTTATTGAGTCGACATAGCCCCAGCATTGCTTTTGAGTTCCCGTTTAATGCTGCTTGCTCGTAGTAATCAAATGCTCTGGCGAAATTCATTGATTCGCCATATAAACCGTGTTCATAAATGGATCCAAGCTTAGCCTGTGCTTGATCATTATTTAACCTAGCTGCACGTTCATAATATAGAATTGCTGCATCCTGGCCACCAAATGGCTCCAATAATGGTCTGTAGCATAGTTTCGGTTAATTGGAGTTATGATTACATATCGATTAACTTACAAAGGGAAATCTACTTGTTCATATTCGTTAGTTAAAATGAGGGCAAACGTGTAAGGTGGTACATTAAATTCTTCGGATGATAAGGTGCAAGCTTTATGCATGAGTTTCAACCCTTCTGTCAAGCTTTGGCGTAAACCTAAACTGCCATGGATTGTCAAGAAAGCCAATTTCTGTCTGGTGGATGAGAAAACCTTAATTAAATAAATTATTACGGAAACTTACGTAGATAGCATTGACGTATCCAAAGTCAGAAGCTGTTTGATATAATTTTACTATTTTTGAATCTTCTAATCCTTTTTCTTGTTCAAAATGACTAGCTACGGCGAAAATGGATTCGGGTATGTTTGAATCAGCTGCAATTTTATGCAATGCAATTGATTTTGACTTGTTTTTCTTGAATCCATATGATTCCTTTTCCATCCAAGAAGCTTGCATGTAGCAAGCTTCGGGGATATTTTGTTTCGATAATCTGACAATCCATTTGACACCTTCCTGTTCTAGCATTCTTCTTTTTTGATCCGATGATTCATTTGATGTTGTACTTGTTGTAAGACTGGCCTGCTGTTTCATTGTGATATTAAATAAACTTTGTTGTTCAGATCGTTTTGTATTTGAGGAAGTAGAAGAGTAAGCAGACGAGGCAGGTTGTGGCACAATCAAAAATGGCTCAGGCCTTGTTGATTTTTTAGTTGTACTACCTAACCCCCACATACTACCCACAACACCCTGTTGGTGATGAAATGTATTGGCGCTTTCTAATAAATATTTAGCAAACATAAGCTGTGTTTTCGTATCTTTAGTCTTTTCTGCCATATCGCGGTATTTTTTAATTGCATTAGGTTCGTTGGTTAAATGGTAAGATACTTTGTTATATTTTGAATTTGTTGAAGTAAGGTTTACGAAAGGTGGCTTTTGAGTGTTGGCAAAGTTGGGCGAAGTAGGCGAAGCGAATTCATTGGGCAGCTATTTAAATCAAGTAAATACACGGAAACTATCATGTGCGTATTTCACAAAAAAAAAAAAAAAAAAAAAAAAAATATACCTCGTTTGGTTCAGATGCAGTCTTTGATTCACGACGTGCTAATTGAGACTCACTTGGGTTTACTGAATTAATCAATGAATTGCCTGCTATAGTTGAACCTTGTTGATAAACCTTCCATTCTGTTTCACTTGGTGTATCATCAAGAACTGAAACTGAGGCAACGTGTTCTTGGATCTTCCCGCTGTCCGTTTGTATATTACTATTCTGCTCGTCTGGATTGATGACACGTAACCCAAGAAGTGGATGTGTAATTGGTTTTCTTCCTTCTTCTGAAGAGTCTGATTCATACCCACTTGCTGTTTTGGGCACAATTGAATGAAATATTTGTGGCGTAACAGGCATAGACGATGTCGTACTGTCAGAAGATCCCCCTCTTGTGAAATAAGATGGCTGTTGTTGCTGCTGTGTTTTGCTAGTCAAGGTACGAAATGTTTCTGTTGATATTTGTTTGTCTGACATCGAAAAAAAAAGTAAAGGATAAAAGAGAGAACAAAGAAGAAGAAAAAAAAAAGAGGCCATGTTTTTGTTTATTTATATGCACAAGGTGCCTCCTTTTTAATGGGAAGGCAAATTTTGTAGTAACCTACTGATCAACTTATCCGCTTTACATGCCATAACAATGTCTTCTTCAGCAAGGTTTAAAGAAAGTCGCATACAGATATCCATTCTTCCACCTTCCATCACCAAGGCATTCGTCTGTCCAAGAGATTCACATACACGCATCAAATCACTGGTATTTGGAGGTTCAATATTATGCCATTTACAAGTTTGGATATGATAATGAGCGACATCTCCAAATTCTATTTCAACTAGACCAATTGCTCTAGAGCGCTGCATACAGGCAACTAAGAAAATCTTTTGGTGTAACGAACATGACCTAATGAAAGCCACGGAAGGGGAAGTAAACATTTCTTTCACTGCTTCAGTTACAATAGGAATTGTCACGTGAGTGCCCATTTCAGGCCTTGTTTCGACAATTTCAACAGCACGTCGACAGATGTCAAGAGCACGACGCGCATCACCACTTACTGCACTCACTTTACGCGCAGCAAACTCAACCGCAGAAGGCGTGAACGCATCTATACCTTTTAACCTTGATTGAACAATCTGAATAATTTGTTCGAATTTATAAGGTTGGAAATTGATACGTGTTAAACCCATACGACTGGCAATTTTGTTACTCATAATTCGCTCTGGCAAATCCATAGTATTGGCTACAGCTACAACAATCAACTTTGAAAGCGGTCTGCTTGGCCAATCGAAAAAATTATACATCACTGTTTGCTTTTTTGTCACTAAAAGATCAAGTTCGTCCATCAATACAACTCTAAAAAAAGATTATTCAGTAACACATAAGAAGCACAATGTCAGTTTATATTTAACCTTACGTTGTTCTTTGATCATTACTTTGCTTTGAAAACTTTGCTTCCAACATCTGTAATGCATGCGAGGCAGTATATCTCTTCTGTTTCCCTTCATTTCTATCCATACACTCCCACAAAATACTGTAAGCTTGGTTAGGATCCGTCAGTTTCATTCCATTAATCTCAACAAAATCAAACTGAGGTATAGTCTTTTCTTCCGCTTGATGTTGTAAATGTCGAATGACTTCCAATACAGTTGCTGTTTTTCCAGTGCCTGGTACGCCTGATATATATACGCAGGTACCCGTTGCCTCGTGAATCGCACTTTCAATATATCCTAAAATATTCATAAATTCATCTTCACGGCAAGGTAACGAATCTGGTACTGCAGATACGTGAAGTCTTTCTCTAGCTAAAGCATATGGTGTCATTGAGCTGATATCACTCTTTTCGTGAACTTTTCGTAAGGGTACAACTGGAGCTACTTGATTGATTCTAATCTTTTCTCTTTTAGTTGATTTTAATCATTGGATTCTTTCTTAATCTTACCTGTGAATGGTTCGATTGGCAGACAGTGTAGGTTTATTTTTAGCTACATGCCGACTAGGCACAGCGACCTTTCGTTTTTTCAGCGTTGTAGGTCTACGTGATTTTTTTGTTTCTTCAACTTCAGACTCGGGCTCTGACTCTGACTCTTCTTCTGACTCTGATTCCGAATCTTCTTCAGATTTTACTTCTGCTTCAGATTCTTCATCGGATTCAGTTTCTGGTTCATCGACTTCCGAAGAATTAGGATCGACTTGACGTGCAGGCGATTTACTTCGAACTTTAGAAGAGGGTGGTTTTGTTTGTTGTGTGGATGGTTTAGCTTGACTTGGAAGTGGTTTAGCTTGACGTGGAAGTGGTTTAGCTTGTCGTGGAAGTGGTTTAGCTTGTCGTGGAAGTGGTTTGCTTTGTCGTGGAAGTGGTTTAGTTTCAGGTGCAGGAGCAGGTGCTTTAGCTTGTCGTGTACGAGTTTTAGTTTGGCGTACAGAGGGTTTAGTTTGACGCGTGGTTGGTCTATTGGAAGTGGTTGTTTCGTTATAGTCGGTTACAGTTCTTGTTCTTTTCCTCCTTTTGATAATATGTGAAGGGTCAATGTCGCTATTAATACGTGGCATTTTGTATTTTATGAAAGAAGATCAAATGGAAAAAAAAAGACCTTTTAATGTGACTGTCCCAACTTGGCCAGATCAAATTGCCTTTTAGATCGTCATTAAATTTTAGCAGTAATCTTATCCCTTTGTTGTCCTTCCTATCAATCTAAATATCTCTTTTCATGGCGGTATTGAATTCTAGAGATATCAAGTTCGTTTATTCCGCTCGCCCTGAAACTCGTACTTTCAAGGTTGTGTTCAATCTAACAAGCAAATCAGGCGCAACTATCGCTCTTATAGTAAATCGACTACTATTAGTATGCTACAACACCGGTATGATCCTCCATCTGGTAGCGTGTCTTTAGATCCAAAAAATCTCAAATTGTACACTCTAAATATCTTGCATAACTATACGGTTTCTGTCATTAAGTGACTATATAGCACTACCAATTGACAGTGATGATATACCGTCTATTCAGGTCAAAAGCATATCCTCCTCAATTAAAGAAAAGTGATAATTGTTGCTTTAGTATTGACGATTGCCAGCAATCTTTTCAGGAAAATTTAAAAGCTATCAGTATACACTTCTTTATCATGAGCTTGCCTGAACTTTACTTAACCAGAGTTGAAGATAAGGCTAGTCAGCTTTCCCGTAGCCAAAAACAAAGGCTTGTAATTGCCCATGCGTTTATCCGAAAACCTAGGGTTTTATTACTTGATGAATCTTTAATAACATAGGACAGTGATCATAAAAAACTCCCTCAACAGGCCAACAATTGGGTTTTGTCACATTGATGCTCTCGCACTCAAATATTTAGTCTCAATATCTCGGCGTTTATTTGTGAAATAATGTTTTACCAGAAACATCTGATTTTATAGTATTAAGCACATGTTTTAATGAATGCTCTATATTTTTTTTTTTTTTTTTTTTTTTGGTAAAAGTAACATAAATGTCATTTTTGGTTTTTATTTATTTTGCATTGAAATTTAAATTGATAGAAAAATAGTTAATTATTGATTGGCATGATAAGAACTCAATTTTGCGGCATCTTGAACAGAGACACCCTCAGCCTTTACGACATTTTTTATAGCTTTCTAAGACAACGGGTTAATATCAGAAATATAATTTATAATAGATCACTTACAGTTCCTTCATTAATTTTGATTAAATTAACATCGCCGTTCTCATCGACGTCGACAGTACCAGCGGGTTTCAAAGAGTAAACTCCTGGAATACGTACATAGTTTTCTTTAACGCCATGATGTTGACCACTTTCGGCAACATTGTGGTTGATGTGTTGCAAAGGTTGACCATCACGAAGAGAGTTACCATTTTGAACATTTTCTTGAGCACCCGTATTAGTATGCTTGATGTGTTGCAAAGGTTGACCGTCACGAAGAGAGTTCGCATTATAAGTATTCTCTTGAGCACCAGATGTAGGACTCTTGAAGTGTTGCAAAGGTTGACCATCACGAAGAGAGTTACCATTTTGAACATTTTCTTGAGCACCCGTATTAGTATGCTTGATGTGTTGCAAAGGTTGACCATCACGAAGAGAGTTCGTAGTTTGAGTATTCTCTTGGGCACCAGCTGTAGGATTCTGGGAGTGTTGCAAAGGATGGCCATCACGAAGAGAGTTAGAGGTTTGAACATTTTCAAGGTCACCTGTATCAGTATGCTTTATGTGTTGCAAAGGTTGACCATCACGGAGTGAGTTCGAGTTTTGAGCACCTGCATTGGTATGCTTGATGTGTTGTAAAGGTTGACCGTCACGAAGAGAATTAGCATTTTGGACGTTTTCTTGCAAACCCGTATCAGTATGCTTAATGTGTTGCAAAGGTTGGCCATCACGAAGAGAGCTAGATGTTCCAACATTTTCATGGCGACGTACAGTAGCGGGATCAATGTGCTGAGCTTTATGAGTGTGCATTTCTGTAGGGTCAGTACGATAGACATTTCCGTTTTCATTGCGGGGAATGGTGGTAGCCCCAGCAGCGGCAGTAGCAACAGCAGTATGAGTAGTAGAGTCAGCTCCAGTTCGAGATGCTCTACGATTACTGTGGCTTACTGTAGGCTCATTTTGACGAACATTGTAATGGCGAGGGCAGTCGCTAGTATCGATACGGTGAACAGTACCAGGCTGATTGTTAAGGGCTTGATGACTTTCATGAATAGGACTAGTTTCAGTATGTACATGTCCAAGACGAGATCCAGCATTGGGTTCTGTACGGTTCAGAGGATGGTGATTATCTTGAACACTATGACGAGTCTCTTGATGAACACTACTAGAACCGCTCTGTCTGCGTTCTTGATACACTGGAGCAGGCGCATTACCAAAGGCAGAACCTCCACCAAAGGCAGTCTGTTGGTTATTACCGAAAGCAGATTGTTGATAGTCAACTGATTGTTGTTGGCTCTTATACATTTCGGCATCAGACATTCTTCTTTCTCCTGAAGTTCCCCCACTTTGGCCACTTAAACGGCGAACGGCGTTAGAGAATTTGCTTCTGAAACCTTGAGTAACGCTGTTGTTACGGCGCTTGGGGTTGTTAATATCATCGATTGTATTGGGTGTGTTCTTGAAATTGTCGTATTGACGACCCTTGATTTCTTGTTGACGAGTGTCGGGAACAATTTTTCCAGTAGTAGCACGAGTACTGCTAATACTTTCAGAAGTATCATTGCGAGATCCTAGAGCAGATGCTCCAGTAGCATTAGCGGTACCAGCGGGACCCAAACCATTAGAAGAGGCAATACCATTTTGAGTAGTTACGCCATGTTGACCATGGTTCTGGCCGTTCAATACTTGATCGCGACGTTGAGGAGCAACAGGCGGGGCTTGATTCTGGGAGCCATTAGCCAAAGATTGGGGAGGAGTAGTAACATTGTCATTTTTAATAACAGGAATTGTTTGTCCTCGGTGAATTGTACCGTTGTTGTTTTCAGTCCAGTTTTCAGTTGTAGTTTGATGTGAGTTTAATTTACTACCAATGGTTGCGCCACTAATACCACCGGCAGCAGCAGTACCAGCAATATTATGGTTACGACTTTCACTAACACCATTAGTAAAACTACCAGGGATAGTACGAGTAGATTTGGTAGTAGCCTGAGAATCAGTAGCACGAGCCTGGAGATCATTACGGATTTCTTGATTATGTTTAGCAGGAAACGAATGATTACGCTGAGAAGCGTGATCTTGATAATTGACCGAGGAGTCATAAGTTCCAACACCATCTTTCTCAACGTCGTTCTTACCATTCAATCCTAAAGCACCACCAACAGTTGCAGCTGCAGCACTGACAGCACCGGCAGCACCAGCAATTACGCCCTTGTCATGATTATCAGTTTTTCCTGCATCGACATGGCTGTTATTGACTGCGGTATCTTGAGTGGAATTTCCATATACATTTTCAGACAAATCGTAGACATCATTTCCAGTTTCACCTTGGGTTGATCCGCCATATTGATTGTCGGCAGCCAAAGTTTGAGGAGCAGTAGTAATACCTGAGCTTCTTTGGGCACTTTGAGCAGCTGTTAAACCTGAAATACCATGGGTGGATGTATCCTGGACGTCTTGAGTAGACTCGCCATATTGATTACCAGCAGCCAAAGTTTGAGGAGCAGTGGTTACCCCAGAACTTTGATGAGTCGCATACGGATTTTCAGAAGCCAAAGTACGAGATGAAGCGATTGCTTGGTCTTGCTGAGTGGAGGAATTTCCGTGAGCATGTGTTGTTTCATTTTGACCAGAAGTGGGATCGTATGAATCATCATAAGTGTCAGCCATCTGGTTATCACGGGAATTACTTTGTACGGAATCCCTCATATAAGTGTGGGACATCATATTGTCATCCTGTCCGAAATCTTTTTGAGCATTGTTAGACGTATTACTGGGATCGTGCGGTTTACTATAAGTGTCAGCCATCTGATTATCACGGGAATTGTCTTGAACGGAATCTCTCATATAAGTATGAGACATCATATTGGCATCATTTCCGTAATCCTTTTGAACATTATGAGACATGCTGCTATGGTTACCATCACCAGTATGATCCTTGCGGGCACTTGAAGAAATTTTATCGTCCACTGATTTAGCATGAGAGCCATGAGTCTGGTGACTATCTTCCTTCTTGTCGATTTTGTTAAGACCTAGAGCATCACCGACAGTAGCAGCAGCGGCAGCTACAGTAGTAGCAATTGGTCCAGCACCACCGGTGTTGTGGTCTGTTGCGTGAGCTTTATCATCACGTAATCCATAATTGTTGTCCATAGTACCAGTATTACGTCGAGCATAAGATTCGATATTACGTTCCGCATACGAATTGCGATGAGAGTTACTCTGTGAATAATCTTGACTTTGAGTTCCAGAATTACTATGAGAATAGCCCTGAGAATTGACATTTCTTTGAGCATTATCCTGAGTATAGCCTTCAGTACCAGTAGTGTCACGAACGTAATCCTTAGTGCGAGAATGATCTTGGGTGCGAATTACATCCTCACCAGAATTGTTATTCTGGATTCCAGTACGAGCAACCTGGGAATAGGTCATATGCTGCTTACCAGTGGAGGCCTTTTGAACTTGCGAGCTATCTTGTGTATCGGCACGAACCTTTTGTGTGTAATAATCTTTCTGGGCATTGGATTTCGTCGTATGTTGAGATCTATCTGAGGTAGACTGGTCATACATGGTCGATCCAAACATTCCACCCAGCGCAGCTACACCAGCGGCTTTATTCCCGCTATCGGATCCAGTACTCTTGCGGTGTACATTAGAAATTTTGGGATGTCTTTCAGATTTTACACGTTGCTGATATTCTTTATCCTTGATACTGTAATCACGTTGAGTAGTAGTGAATCCTTGATCTTGTTTAGAGTTGATTTCACGATGACGTTTAGAAGTTGTAAATCCTTGATCAGGTTTATCTTCGATATACAAGACGGGCTTGAATCTTCTGTGGTCTTTAGTAGAGACAGCAGTCTTGTTGGTTTGAGCAGTAGAATGATCTTCGTTAACTTGACTAGAATAATCTTGGCTGTCTTGGCTTGAGTATTCTTGTTCATCTTGATAAGTATTGTGTTGATCAGGAGTAAATCCTTCGAGTTGGTCAGCGGAACTTCCTTGGCGGCGTAAAACGTCAGTAGCATTAGGTTCGTTATCTTTATTTTTAATGCCTAAAGCACCACCAACAGTAGCGGCAGCAGCACCTGCAGCACCGACAGTGCCAGAAATTACACCTTTTTTAGGCTTGTTAGGATCAACAGTCTTATTGTAGGCAGATTCATATTGACGGTCTGAAACTGGAGCGGAAGGTTGGTTATCCTTTTCAGAATGGTTTAGACCCAACATACCACCAACAGCGGCGACGCTGCCAGAAATCACACCTTTGCCAGATTTGGAGCTACTGCGACGACGTTCGGCCTTAGATGAATCAAGATTATAACTCTCAAAATTATCGCTTCGGGAATTTGAGCCATGACCTCGGGGAGCAGTGGGTACAGCCTTTGTACGGTCAGAAGGAACAGGTCCGCTTCCATATTCAGAGGATTGATTGTGAACTTGTCCGATTTGATTTTGACTTTGGTTCAATCCAGACGAGCCAATTATATGAGAGTTATTAGCGCCTTGTCCAGTACCTTGATATGATACATAACGGGTATCATGAGCATCTTGATGATGTCTATCTTGGTTGGATTGATGGCGAATATCTTGAGTAGATGTGCGACGATTGTCTTCAATGAACTCCTTAGAAGGTACACCAGGGGCAGATTTTTTGCGACCGTTACGTCCAGCTTCAGATTGGTTACTGATGTAGCTGGATCTTAAAGAGTTAGAACCAGCTCCATTATAGTCCTTGTCATAAGAATTGCTGTCATAAGAATGTCTAAGACTATCACCTTGAATAGAGTTATAACGGCTACCACGTACATCAGCATCAGCAGTATGCTCAGAATTGTAGCGACTACCACGAACATCAGAACCTGAGGTATGGTCATTGTTATGACGACTGCCACGGACATCAGCACCCAAAGTATGGTTGTTGTTGTGACGGCTACCACGAACATCGGCTCCAGTAGTATGATCTGTGCCGTAATAAGCACGATCAATAGAGGTATTGCGTTCATTAGTCATAGGTAGTTTCTTATAATCGTAGGTACCCTCGTAGTGTCCACTAGTATCAGTTGACGTGCGGTGGTTGTTCATTCCTAAAGCGCCAGCAACGCCTGATGCAGCACCAGCAACAGCATTTTTGACAGAGTTATTATGAGATTCAAAGTTGTTACTGTCTTGGGTAGAGGAGTAACGGGAACTTTCATTATTTCTGTGGTCAATGTCATAGTTCTGAGATGAATAACGAGAAGCTTCAGAGTTACGATTATGATCAAAACGGTTAGAACTATCATTGTCAGAAGATACACCAGACTGATTATCACCAGCGAGTTTCTGAGGAGCAGTTGTTACATGTTGATCATCG